AACTCAGTGGACAGCAGACTGACAATAGGGCAAATATACAGGAACCAATCCTTGCATATGAGATTTAGAACTGCACAAAATACAATTAGAACTGCACATTTTGTGTAGAACTGCACGTTACAAAAACGCTGATCTAAAAAAGTAGAGCTGGTAGAGAAAAACTGATTTTATATTTAGATTCAGCGCCTTAAATATAAGTAAAATTAGTTCTAAAATCCTAGACACCAAAAAAAAAATTTTTTTTTGTAGGCAAGCATTATAATGCTTGCCCCATCTACCAGAGTTATTAGAGACTGCTGTTGGGCGGGAAACATCCGTTAATTTGGCTCAGTGACCTCCTTTGGAGATACGAGGTTCTTTTACATGCTGTAAAGCTACGACACGGGACCCACGGCTTAAAGTCCCTCCCGGAGGACTTGTTCCCTGAATTTTTCCACCCTTAAAAATTTGACGACCTCCGCCGGGTATTTGAACCCGCGTACTACGAGTCATGAAGTGGGAACGTTACCTCTAGACTACAGAGGCCGCTTACCTCCTCCTATAACTCACTTCTCTGTTCTCTGTCTAAACTCCAACTGTACTCCCACACCCTCAGGCAACTCCCACCCACAAGTCCCCCAGTGGTCATTACTGGGAAACGAGGCAGCCAAGGGTCAAGCCAGGCGCCAGTCCCACATCTTTTTTTTTCCAAGATGATCTTAAACCTCAGGTCTCCAAGGCACATGGGCAGGCAATTCAAGATCTCCTCTGGCAGTTCTCACACAGTGTCAAATCCTGGATTTATCACCCAAAATACCTGCCTATCTCGACGGAAGATAACACTAGGAGCAAACTGGCGACATTAATGACAATAGTGGCACCATAAGCCTAAGGAGGACTACGTTGAATTACAGTTAGACAGTCACAGGATGGTACCATGCCATAGGAGCGCCTCTCAGGGTGTGAAAACAATGCATAAAATGATCATAACCACAATTAAATAATTTTCAGTGATGGAAGTACGGTTACAGTAATTCTGTTATGGTTATGGTTAACTTGTAATTACAAACCATAAATGGTCAATAAATCCAATATTCAAACCAAAATCTCATCAAGAGTCACTCATACATGTGAAAATATGTTAGATTTATTCTTACAAATACACACTTACACAACTTTGGTTTATAATAATGGATCCCACCCCGTGATATGTGTCAGCATTTTTTTTGTCATTGTTTTCAGGGGTTTCCTCGTCTCCAGAAATTAACATTTTCCGCTTCTCTGCATGTAAAATGAAAAAAATTTTCTCAAGTTTCATTATTGTTAAGACTTTGTGAAGCATGATCAAAATGAACCTAAAGTGTATCCATTTTTCGGTTAGTGGGGGGTGGAGTCTAACTGGGTCTCCGTTGGACGGCGGCCACTGATTTGCCTATTTTATCTGACCTGGTTGATTATGATGATGGAGAATTTGTTGGAATGAAGATTGGCAAGGGAAACCGAAGTACTCGGAGAAAACCTGCCACAGCGCCACTTTGTCCACCACAAATCCCACTTGACCAGACCCCGGGATCGAACCCGGGCCGCTGCGGTGGGAAGCCAGCGACTAACCGCTTGAGCTATGGCGCGGCCTAAGTGTATCCATTTCTTCAGTCATTCTATTTTGAATTATGGAAATACTGTCTCCTGTTACCTGTGATGAGGGAACCACTTCTGTGTATTTGATAAGGGCTGGGTGAGCTCAAGTCAATTTGGACATGATAATGGAAAGAGAAATCCTTTCTTTTATGGAGAATCGGACTCCAGTCATGCAACCAAAATGCAGTCTCTTTCAATATGAGTAGAGATCTGAATCTTCACGGTTAGGTTCCTCATGAATTAAATAAATCTAAAGGTTTTTGATGGTGTATTATTAAACTGACACAAATTTTGGATTACCCATTGTCTTATTTTTGGCAAATGAAGGAAGCACAACATTTTGGAAGCTGACTGTTTCCGTCACTGGATATGAGTGTGCATCTTAGTCAGTCAGGTCCATTGATTGGGGCTGACTCTGTCCCTTTACAGCAGCAGGAGTTCTAGTTGGAGTACATAAACCTTAAATGCTCAGTGTTGATGAATCTGGTAGTGTCCATTCTACTCCACAAATCAGAAGCAGTTGCCTAGAAATTCTCAAAGATGACGACCAAAAACTCCATGTTGAAATCAAGATTGAGATATTTTGTGTCTTGATTTTGATCTTTAATATTTGAGGCGCACACATGCCTAAAGAATACCTCTAAATAGTAACACTGCTTTAGTTAAAACTAAAATCCATGGAATGGAGGGGAATGGGGTACGGCCAAGGTGAGTTTCTTTTGATTAATATACTGAAATATGAAGTTTGTGTATCATTGTGTGTTTGTAGGTTATTCCAAACCCTAAGTTGCGCACATCTCGTTGGATCAGTTCATCTATCCCTGAATCAGCTTGGAATTCGGCGTTGGCACAGTACTCGTCTGCCGCATACCATGTGAATAACCTACTCTCACCCGTCCTCTTCCATGAAGCACTTGGACATGTACCTGAAGGTGCTGTGGTGGTAGAGGTGGCACCCCACTGCTTGTTGCAGGCCATCGTCAAGCGTTCTCTTGTTAATGCAACCAATGTTAGCCTGATGAAACGTCTGCATGCGGATAATCTTCAGTTCATGCTCTCTAACCTTGGCAAGTAAGTTAAATTGTCACAAAGATATCTCTCTCTAGTTTTGTTGAACCTTCAGTAAGAGGTAGCAAAAGTCTGGAGATAAACTTGGAAGTGTTAAATGATCTTCACACAAAGTTTATGTCTAAAAATGACCATGTAAAAAACAGAAAAGGATAATTCTCTTTTTTCATATATTTATTTATATATTTAATATCTCTTCTTCAACTACATAAGTTACCCAGTAATCATGTGATATGGTTATCAATGGTGAATATGATAAAATGTATAAGGAAGTGATTGGCACAAATGTTAAGGTACTGTCCTAACATTTGCATGGAAGTACTGAGGAAAAGCGCAAAATGTTAAGACAGAATTGCTGGCCTGTTGGACAGAAATTTAACGTGGGAACTGCCTCGTAGATCAAAGGTACAAATGGATGTTGGAGAAGATGAAGTTAAGGATTTGAAGTGGTTTGAACTTTCAGAATAGATGATGAGGTTAAGTGGAGGGAATGTGTTCAGGATGATTTCCAGTCATAAGCTGTGGTATTGGTGGCATCAAACTGTCAAATTCTGTTACTGGACAGAGAGACAGAAATATGACTGTGACAAACTGTGGCAGAATCACTGAGGTTTGATTCCCAGCAAGGACAAAGAAGTTTCTCTTTGGTCTGTGTCCAGACCAGCAACGGATCCCAATAATTTTCCTGTCCAGTGAATTCTGGGGGCTGTCGATTATAAAACTGACCATTAATTTGCATCTGATGCCAAGATCTAGAATGATGACCTTCCCTCTGCTCAAACATGCTGAAGCATGGTGCTTAAGGATGGGTGTAAAAATTATGTATCCCGCATTCCTAGTCATGGAATACATTTCTACTGTTACAGACATTATTATCGGTATGCTGTGGTGAGTTTTTCACAAAATCGCAGTAATAGATTTCTGTCTGCAGCAAGTGAACATGTAGAATACTGAGGAATGAGAAATATAATTTAATAGAGAGCATTATTGCAGGTGGACTGTCTACATTAATTAAATATAACAAATACCATCTATTTCATCCAGTTTTTGTTTTAAATTAATGGCAAGTCATAATAACAATGCAATAGCTCCAGCACACACAGACACCACTTACAACTAAACTGCAAGACAGGATCAGATAGCTGCCAGACAGTGTTACTTCTGCATCACATCCCCTACCAGAATACATCAAGCAGAATTTGTATTCATATATTTTAAATAGTTCATTTAAATTTTAGTCATTTCATGTAAAGTTTCCTTTTATAATTTGATGCCCCTGAAGATGGCTATATATGATCAATACATGTCAGGCTTTATGACTGTTTATTATAAAAGATAGAGCACTAGATGGTGTTAGTTATGTTTAATTTAACACAAAAAGAGTTAGGTAAATGTGTGTGGGGGGGGCATGCGGTAGCGTAGTTGGTTGAGGCACTATGCTAAAAGTCGGAAGGTCGCGGGATCGAGTCCCAATGAGGTCATTGGATTTTTTCAGTTTACCTAATCCTTCCAGCAGCACTATGACCCTGGGGTCGACTCAGCCTCTAACAGAAATGAGTACCAGGAATATTCTTTGGGGTAAAGGGCGGCTGCTGCATAGGGCTGACAACCTTGCCGCCATCTGTGAGCCAATTGTGTAGAAAATGTTGGAACCTCAACATCTCACTACCCTATGGGCCTCCACGGCCTGTTACAGGGATAGCTGTACTTTACTTTTTTTTTCTTTTTTAATGTGTGTGTGTTCGTACATGCAGAAGTGCACATGCAGAACAATTCCCCACTTTTGTTTCAATTTCTGTATAGGTTGTTCAATGCTGGACTGCAGCCCAAACTGGCTCGGTTGCACCAGAGAGTGAATTATCCTGTAGCACGTGGGACTCCTATGCTTTCATCAATGGTGAAATGGGATCATTCAATGGAATGGAGTGTTGCCAACTTTAGTGAAAAGGTAAGTACCTAAATATATTTCGTCTCTCACATATTAAAATTGAAAGATAATACAAATTTTGGGAGGGAAACTTCTGTACCCACATAAAATTGCATGATCTCTGTTAAGTGGCATTAGGTTCGCTTGCACAGTTACCGTATTGTTGTTGATGTTATGAAATTGAAAGGTACTAAGGTGTGGTGTTCATATGCAGTTACATGAAAGTTTGTTTAGAAATTACTGGGGAGGGCAGACACACAGTTGGACATAATTAGTACAATAAGAAATCATTGTTAATTTATATGTATTTTATCTTATATACCAATAGACTTTCTACACATATTTCAGAATAAATAATTTTATGTGGTAGACGGAGTTTTCTGTAAAGTGTATCCCTGGCCATTAGAACTGAGGGTATCAGATTAAATAATTTCTGACAGTAAGAAGACGCTAAAGACAGATTTGTCACATTGCTGTTTTGACATCATTATAGTAAACATTAGCATATTGCTGTTTGAAGTCTGTTATCTGATTTTATTAGTGGGTTTATAGTGAACTAAAAATATTGAAATGAAGAAACTAAATTCCCTTTCTTCATATGACATTTGTACTTCTGTGTGGGTGGTCTAACGAGTTCACTATTTTCATACGCGAAACACAAGTATGTAGGCTTAAAATGTAATTATTTTAATTCTGATTTGTTAAATTTTATGCGAAACACGAGTGTGTAGGCTTAAAATGTAATTATTTTAATTCTAAGTTTAAGGTCTTTCATTCTGGTCCGTCACACTAACCAATTAACAATCAAATTCCTTCCGTCAAATGTGACACTTTTTTAAGTTTTCCACCTCGTCACCACCTGCCTTACATGTTTCGGCTCACCACGGAGCCATCATCAGAGGCATTTATAGTAGAAAAAGAAATCACCAACACACAAAACTTCACTTTGTCCAAGATAGCCACGTTCCAGTTAATTAAAATAATTACAAATAGTTAAAATTAGCCAGAATGTCGGTTCACTAAAAGTTTTTCACACACCACAGTAGCTTTCTTATTTGATTCGTCGTTAATTCTGTAAAATTATGTTTCGTTGTTTGAAGTAAGAATTCTTAAAATCCCTAGAATTCTTTCCCGCTTGGCCCAATCTTTTTGCTTCGGGATGTTGTTGACGTGTGTTGTCTGTCGGTAGTTGGTGTTGCTTGTCTGTGACACAAGCATCACAACGCACAGACAAGCAACATCAACTACCGACAGACAACACACGTCAACAACATCCCGAAGCAAAAAGATTGGGCCAAGCGGGAAAGAATTCTAGGGATTTTAAGAATTCTTACTTCAAACAACGAAACATAATTTTACAGAATTAACGACGAATCAAATAAGAAAGCTACTGTGGTGTGTGAAAAACTTTTAGTGAACCGACATTCTGGCTAATTTTAACTATTTGTAATTATTTTAATTAACTGGAACGTGGCTATCTTGGACAAAGTGAAGCTTTGTGTGTTGGTGATTTCTTTTTCTACTATAAATGCCTCTGATGATGGCTCCGTGGTGAGCCGAAACATGTAAGGCAGGTGGTGACGAGGTGGAAAACTTAAAAAAGTGTCACATTTGACGGAAGGAATTTGATTGTTATTTTAATTCTAATTTGTTACATTTTATTTTGTTGATCTTTTTTTCTGTAGGGAGGCATGAGGTCTGGTGAATGTGTTATTGATGTGGATTTGACCAAAGAACAGTACGAATTCCTTGCTGGCCATGCTATTGATGGACGAGTTCTCTTCCCTGCTACAGGCTACTTGGTTAGTTGATAAAATATAATCTTAAATTCATTCAAAATTGGTGTTGAATGTGTAAAAAAGTAATTTTGGACTACTGCATTTCTCTTTGATCTTATGCATTGCATATTGCTTATTTCATTTATCATGATTTGCACATCATCTTCTATCAGGTGCTGAAAGTGCTGTCTTTCATGCACAGGACTTCTTGTGACTTCTTCTGTCATGTCTTTGTACTTCCGAAACGATCTAAACTTCTTGGATGTGTGGTAGATTATATAGAATAAAGCTGAGAATGTGCATGAAGTTTACTGTCTTTTGGATATGATGTAATGTAGTCTGGTAGGAAGTTATTCTGTCAGAGAAACATGTGAAGAGTGAACCCTGAAGATGGAGGCAGTATGTTGCTTCTAAACATTGATAACTATCTATCAGCTTACACAATGACCCCCTAGAAGACATTAAGCTGTCTTCATAATGACCACAGCAAGCAGCTCAATTCTCACCAGCTACAGATGATTTTGATGTTTGACACTTTTACAATGAGAGTTTATGAAGCACATAGCATGTAATTTTCTTCAGAGCTTCTTTTTGGTTTATTCCTTGAAGGTGTTAACTGTCTTAAGTATGTAATCATTGAAGCATTAAAACGGAAACATATCTTGGGTTTCCAATGAGATCCAATAAAGTGTATGTTAATTTGAAACATTGACCTTAGAAGTGCACATAACTAAGCCAATAACCACTGCCTTTTAGAGAGAATATTGAATATGTTCTGTTTTACAGACTCTGGTATGGAAGACATTTGCCAAATTGCAGGCTAAGTCATACGAAGACCTCTCTGTTGTTATTGAAAATGTACAGTTTCATCGTGCAACCATTATGCCAAAGGAAGGTGAGTATGATGCATAAAGTTATTACTCAACTTTTGCTTCAGTTTTAAGATAATCTCCTGTATTACTACTATCTGACAGTACTGAAGGTGAATGGAGTTTTACCCTCACTTTACCTAACATAATATGAGCAGCCACTACTGGTGGATGAGGTTCTATTCCCCCCACGGTTAACTGTTATCTATCTACCTTCAGGATTCAGTCAGAAGTAGCAGGTTTTATGTACGAGTATATCTACTTTGAAATAAAACAAAATCATTTAGACATGATATAACATTAACTTGTATAAGCATTCTACAATAAAGTAAGCTCTCCTTTGGCTAGCATTTGTGGGAAATGTGGTGTTCCAGTTACTTGAATCTGCTGGTTGCAGTTGGAGGAGGGATTCTTTTAGAAATCCAGTGTGGCATCAGAACAGACTCTTACTTTGTTCTTGCATGCAAGTCTTCATAGGTAACAGTGGAATTGTGGGTGAAAGATTCTGTATTATGCTATGATGAGATCACAAATTCAGCTAGCTTCAACAGTAAAGGCACCTGTATAAGGGAAGGCAAGGGGAACTGTCATGTATGGGATAACTTAAATAAAAGTCGTTTTTTGGGGTTTTTTTCCTTGATAATTCTGAATGTTTAGGTACTAGATAACTGGGAGTTTTCTATATGCACCTTAACGGAACTTTTGGAAAGATAATACACAATTATTTTGTTCTGTTTTTTCTTCAGGTGTACATTTTTTATATTAATGTTTATTAGATTTTTGTTTAATGGAAACGATGGGTATTGTGTGTTCTCCATATTGCATCTTCCAGAGTCAGATCACTGTATAATTTGACACATGTTAAATTCTATACTGGGTTCTGTGAAACGTGGTTTATGTTTGAAAATTTGTATGGAGATATATCATAAATCAAATTCTGTATGCAATATGGTTTGTCCATCAACAGTTACAAATGTAGAGAAGGTATAAACTTACAGGCATACATGATATATTTGACATTATTTTTGTCTGTGTGTGTATATATACAGGGTGTCCCAGGAGGAATGTGCCAAACTTCGGGAGGGTGTTCCTTATGTTAAAGTATGCCGATATAACCCAAAACACCTATGTCCAAAGTTGAACGGTTACGGAGATAATGGCCCGAGAAAAGTGTGGTCTTCTTGCAGGTCCACGCACTGTGGACAGTCAGCTGTGACTGTTATCTGTTTGTACTTGAGTGTGGTGATGTCACACTAGCCGTGATGTCATGCGCAACCTACCAGAGCCTACATATTACGTTGCGGCGGGGTCGTGAATGGGTGGTAAATTAGTTGTGTGATGAGTTGCTGAAATGCCTCTTGTGTTTTCACACGTGGAATATTGTGATATGCATTTTGTGTGTGGATTTTGCGGTCGCAATGCACGTGCTGCTGTTGAAGAATACCAAAGGCGTTTTCCCGATCGAAGGATTCCATCTCGAAGTGTATTTACGCGAATTCACCAGACATTGCGTGAGACTGGTTCTCTTCCGAGTGTTTCTGTGCAGTCGGAAAGGGAGGATGTACAAATGAGAAACACACGAGAGAACATTCTTCGCATGATTGATAGAAGTCCGCGTCTCTCCACTCGTAGAATGGCCTCTCGCATCGGCGTATCACGTATGCAGGTGTGGCGAACTTTACATGACGAAGACCTGTATCCTTACCATGATCAAAGGGTACAACATCTGGAACCAGGCGACCATGCTCAGCGTATGGATTTCTGCCACTGGATAAAAGCTCATCCCGAACTGTTAAGCGTCATTTTATTCAGTGATGAGGCGTCGTTTACCCGGGACGGTGTAAATAATTTACGAAATATTCATACGTGGTCCCATAATAATCCACATGAGATAATGGAAACGAAATTCCAAAAGAGATTTTCTGTGAATGTATGGTGTGGTGTGCTTGGGAACAGGTTGATCGGACCTTTTGTGTTTCACAACAATTTAACTGGAAACACGTATGGAGCCTTCCTAAGGAATGAGTTACCATGTTTGTTGGAAGACATCCCGTTAACGATAAGGAGGAAAATGTACTTCCAACATGATGGGGCTCCTCCACATTATACTCAGCACGTGAGACACTACTTAGATGAATCCTTCCCTAACCGCTGGATAGGTCGTGGTGGTCCCATTGCATGGCCACCGAGGTCGCCAGATCTTACGCCTCTAGATTATTACCTCTGGGGCCACATGAAGACCTTAGTCTACGAAACTAAGGTCGATTCCCGAGAAGCACTGCGGAATCGTATTTTTGCAGCGGCAGAGCACATACGTCACCATTCAGGCAACATTGCTTCTGCTACCCAATCCCTCATGATGCGTGCCGAAAACTGCATTGCAGCTGGCGGAGGACACTTTGAACAATTACTATAAAGCAGGTACTGTATTTTAATACTTATGTAGTTGGCTTATAGCAGAATATGCAGTCAGTCATGTTACACCAGCGCTTGCCATTCATGTGTCATGTGTAGTGATGAGGCGTCTTTTACCCTGGACGGTGTAAATAATTTACGAAATGTGCATACGTGGTCCCATAATAATCCACATGAGATAATGGAAACGAAATTCCAAAAGAGATTATCCGTGAATGTAGGTATAATAAGAGTTATGTGGTCGGCTCATAGCGCAGCCATATTACGTCATCGCACGCCAGTCATGTGTTATGTATACTGCTTGGAAACCTAAGGACAATTATGACATGGCGAGCGAGTATTTTGTACTTCAATTTTATGGCTTTCCGTCACTCACAAGTTGGTTTGATGTTACGTACATTATTAACATTACAGAATCCACATATTCCTGCCAGTTTTAATATCTATTTTGTAATCAACAAGTGTGTAACCCCGGTCAAAGTTTGACACTTCTCTGGCCATTATCTCCGTAACCGTTCAACTTTGGACATAGATGTTTTGGGTTATATCGGCATACTTTAACATAAGGAACACCCTCCCGAAGTTTGGCACATTCCTCCTGGGACACCCTGTATATATTAATGGAATAAACAGAAATGGATCACTTTCTTGTGTTACTACTAATTTTTAGTTATATTAGCATCACTGTGGAAATTGAAGCTTAGGAATAGTAGTATTTTTCATACATTTTTCCCAGAACTTCTTGTGGAAGATTAATCCTGTTATAACCATGTAAGCCCTGTAGGAATTATAATGGAATTTGCCTCAAATGGCTTTGGAAGCATGTTTAATGTCTAGCAAAGGTGATCTTGGATTTCAGTGACATATCATTATCAGGGTGCATATAATGTTAACTCATTGACATTGCTGTATGTTGGTGACAGGATCTGTGAAGTTTCTGATTAACATCTTTGATGGAACTGGAGATTTTGAACTCTGTGAGGGAGGTTCAGTCGTGGTGTCAGGCCGTATCTACATTCCTGAGGACATTGAGAAGGAACAGTTGGATCTTCCTGCACCTGTTCAACCTGCTGAACCTGAACTCCTCCCCCTCAGAACACCTGACATCTACAAAGATCTCCGTCTGCGAGGATATGACTATAGTGGTGTCTTCTGTGGTATTGCTGAGTCTGACAACAGAGGTATAGTTCTTCTGATTAGTCACACAGCCTTGTTCATAGTTCAGTGTCATATAGATTCTGTACACAAGATTGTTATAACATACAGAAATTACTATAGGTGAGCTATAGGAATGAACTTGGAAGTTAGAATGTTGTTTTTGCAGGATTGTTTACTACTAGGGTACATTTAAGAATAAGCTATGTTCTCTTATTACATTTTGCTTCTAATGTCACCAGTCACACAGTGTCACAATTTCTGTTTTTCTTCTTTCATTGGGCTCTGATGTAGTTATGTTTTTTTCAGTATACTAGTGAAAAAATAAGTTTATTCTCTTGGATAGAAATTTTATATTTCTGCTACTACAAGGAGCAAAGCATTTTTTTTGGACATTGTCTTTGCTCTACTCACTGAACGTAACAGTTATCTCCATTATTGCATGATTTTCTGATGTGGTCAGTCCAGTACACTTCAAAATATTTTAGAAAATGTCAATTTTCCTGGGTGTTCTTATAACATAAGTTGATTCGTGTAGTAACGGTCTAGGCTTGTGTTTTGGAGGTCCCTGCAGAAACTGATCCAATTAACAAGTGTAAAAATTTGTGTGTGTAAAGAACTGTGTTGTTATGTATGTTTTTGTGATGTCAGGTGTGAGTGGCAAACTAGAGTGGCAAGGTAACTGGATCAGTTTCATGGACACAATGCTGCAGTTTTCAATCCTGGGACAGAACACACGAGAACTTTATCTCCCTACACGGCTCCAGAGGGCCATCATCAACACCAAGAAACATAAAGAGATTATTGAAGCTCTCTCTTGGGGGGAAGGTGAGTTGTATTTATGTTATTTGTTTTCAGCCATATTACCGATTTTCAGAATTAAAGTTACCTATGTTATAAAACATTTGGAATGTAGTGTCATAAGTTGAAACTTGGGGATTAAACAATTAATGTTATTTGTTCATTAACTTACCACACTTGCATAATGGTCATACCCTGAGTTTCATGGTGACGAATTTTATTTATTATGTCATAATACATGATCATTAGTGCAAAACTGGCAAGACAGCAAAGTATGGGATTTAATAACTCAGTGCATGTTCTGAAACACGTTTCACATAATTTATAGGTTAGAGCTAATAATATGAATATATATATCATATAAAGTCAACTGTAAATTATATTGATAGTTAGAGAATTAATACCAAGTTTTTTAAATGAAAATGATGCATTTAAAAAATTTTAAGCTAGAAGATGGAATGAGGGACTAATAGACTACAGACCTGCATATTCATATCATGAAGAAAGGATGAAAAATCAGCACTTGTACTGTGGACACATCCGTCAATGATTACTTAAAGAACCCTTTAAATTGTCATATATAATTGAGTCACACTTCTCCATGTAACACACTGTTGTTGGTTTTGTAAGAGGAAGTTTGGGAAAGACTTGCAGTTTCTCACTTCTACTGTACCTGATGCCTCCACGTGGAGGGTACCATTGATTATAATTAGTAATTACAGGACATAGTAATAGATTTTTCTTAGTACTTTCGCCTGGTAAATGACTTTACTTCTGAAATTTGAACAGCCACAGTGTTGGTGTCAGTGGAAAGTAACTAAAATACAAGCCGTACGTAGTACATTATGAACATTTATGTAGTTTAAAGCCTGCCTACCATCATACGCTGCTCACTTTATGGCAGAACGCACTGCGGTGCCAGTTATTACGCTATCTCGACATGCAATCTATCTGTCAGATTTTGTTCAAACTTCCTGTGGTCATCTTTGAATGTATGTGCTACTATTTAAGTGGGTGGCACGTTGTGAAACCCTTTCCTATATGTAAGGGAACCTGCTTTCCTAACTGCCACAGTGCTCAGAAATGTGAAGAAGTTTTTCTGTGCTGTAGATTTTGCTGCATGGATGCAGACATGTCCCTCCCTCCCTCTCTTCCCCCCTACATTTTATAAACTTCGAAGTCTGGCACAGAAAACTGCCTTTTGGCTCTATGTTAAATAAATTTAGACCTTTTCCAGGCTTCACTGGACGGTTCTGTATGCAGAGAGATAAGTTTTTGCCCATCTTATATGTATTAGAACATTGTTGTATTTATTTATTTCATATATGCGTAACTCCTCTGGCTTGAATGCTGGTTCCTCATTGTTCCTAGTTAGGAATAATGTAAACTTCTTATCCGATGTCTCCACTGCTGTCAACTGGATTGCTGAATACAGTTGGGATGAAAAATTGACCTGAGTTATCGTTTTTATCTGATGTGTGTCGTAGGCGTGCCAGTTCACATGTATCGTAATGTCAACATCCTGAAGGCAGGCGGTGTGGAACTTAGAGGTTTGAAGGCCAGTCTGGCACCGCGCCGGCAGCAGACACAAGCCCCTCCAACACTGGAGCAGTATACTTTCGTCTTGTATGATAACACAACACAGTCCAAGGTGGGAATGTACTGCTTTTGTTCAGTTATAAGATGCATATGTTAAGATGTGAGCGTGTGTCAAATTTCTGAGGCCATAACTGACAAAAGAATCCTGAATTGCAGCCCCGATATAAATTTTTCAGTTCTGAAATTCCAAAGAAATTTCTGATAATAGATTTTGCTCTGTTTCTCAGTTTCTGATGTCAAAGAAGGACAAGTATCATATGTGCTTGAATGGAAGATGAGTCCCCCTAATTTGAGAGTTACAGGACTACACATCACCATGACTCAGATTGCTATGTATATGGGATATTCTTAATCTGTTTTTAAGAATTTAGCATATTCATGCCAGTGTTTTTGCTGTATTGATCAGAAAGGAAGAGAAGCAAAAATATGTATTCCAACATTTGACACCTCAAGCTGCCTTGAGGTTGCCCAGAGTATCATTAGAGTTAGGGAACAAAAACAGCAGTTTGCTATCAACTGTCTGATGTATGTTTAACCAGCAAATTCAAAGAAAGTGAAGGTAAAAGTAAATTTGACTCTGTATCTATGAATCGTGTTATTTGAGGCATAAAGGGACCATTGTAGACCTTTATACGAGATGGAAGTCATTGACTGGATATGCTCTGAGCTCATATTACCCCACTGGGTATGATCCACAAGCATCAGTTGGGCAGTAGAGTGGGTGGATTGTGTGTGATGGAAAAGAGAGACATCTCTATTTCTCCCATGAATTTAATCCCATTTTTTTAGTCTTTAGCGAGCCACTACTGGCTCATATGCAAAAACAGAGAAACATTCCAAACTGACAAAAACTATGAATTGAGAAGCATTAAGGAGGCTTTATACTGTACATTCTTTGAATAATAAAAGACATTACAACTGAATGTCATGAGCAAGTGCATAGCTCTATTACTTCCTGTCCAGAAAGTCCCAGGTTTAAATCTTTATTTTAGAGGCCAGACATTCTGACTGAGGTTTCTTACCATTTTTCGCAATCCTTCAAGAAATATGCAGATAATGACAGGTCATGACCACTTTCTTTCCAATTTATCATTTACTCTCCTTCTACCATTGTGCAGTATAATATGTGCAGTTGAAAAGATACCCTCAAATAATCCAAGAATAGTAAGGACAAAATTACAATTGCTCTAAACTCAAGCGAGTGTTGTGTGGGCATATTATGAAAGGCGTTCAGCATATGTATGTGCACTCATGTTCTGTGGTAATTGACTTGTTCTGTATCTGGAGGTTGTATCTCGAAATATGGATTCTCAGAACAAATAAACTGATTGATCAAAGGGTTGATATCATTTTGCAGTCAGCTTCACTGGATGACTCCAGCAAGGCAAGGACACAGGCATTGACAGTGCTACTTCAGATTGCACTGGAGAACTCTGGAGGTGCACTAAAAATGAAAGTTGCAGAGGTTCCCGCAGATCATTCAGCTGAGAACCTGCTCACACCTCTGATTATTGAGATTCTGGAATCTGAACCCCTGCTTAGTGTAAGTAAACAGTCTTGGTTTATGTGAACTTAAAAAATTATGTTTCATGTTTGAGTTAAAGTTTGTATAAATTATGGTTACTCGGTTGGTATAGTTCGCTAGCGGACTAAAATCACGGAGTTTATTCGTTTGTTTGTAAATTAGGGTTTAAAATTTATTTCACCTGATAGTTTTAGTGTATACCTCCCATACTAACTTTGATACAAATTTGTCAAATGGTTTGGGAGATGACATATACAGATGGGCTGTGTGACGTGTCTGTTATGAAGGAGAAAGAGGAATCATAAGATTTCGAACTCAATCAATTGCAGTGCTGAAGTATCATTGTTCTTACTCTGGCCTGCAGGTGGAAGCGACTGTGGTTTCACCAAATGCTGACTCATACTCGCAAGTAGGAAATTTGGAATCCCTTGGCGTGAAGTTTTCAAACCGCAATCCAATGGATGGTCCAGTAAATCAGAATTGTCACTTGGTCGTGGGAGCTGATGTATTGTCTTCTAGCACTGACACTCAGCTGATCAGTAACATGGTAGATTCACTGAAACCAGGAGGTTTTATACTGCTGAAAGAAGGAACAGTTGTTGAAGATGATGCCATTAAGAAGTCAGGACTCGAATTGGCAGCCAGACAGTTGGCTGATGGAAAATCATATCTTCTGCTCAGGAAGGTAAGATCGTGGTGTCACAATTTAGATAAACCCTCACGTTAGTTGTATCAAAAGGAGTACTGTGTAAATGATGTACCAACATTTTGCATCAGTAATACAGCCTTTGAATGTAACAGGTTTATGTATTTTGCTTCATATTGGTACCTTCCCAGCTTCCTCGTAGGCAGTGGAGGCTCGTACTGCGAGTGGAAAATTTACCACAGCGTGGAACTGATTGCACATATCCAGATAGGGCTGGGACTAAGAATGCATGAAGGTTTACCTCCACTACCACACGTCTTCATTGTTTGGTGTATCAGCACGGGGGCAGCTATACCTTTACCTTAACTTTACAATTCATTCTCCTGACAAGTTGTCAATGTGATATTATGCCTGAACGCCGGAAGTGTGCAGTCAGAGAAGCACCAAAGAGACATCCATTGCTAGACATGGGCTCACTAATCACTTTTGCACAGCAACAGATAAGCATATAATAACAGAGGAACTACTGGAGGTGGTGATCTCTATTTGGTTCTTCCCGAAGTTATAAAGGGAGGACACAGGAGAACACTGAGTCAGTTCAGTAGTGAGTTCCGTAGTTGAGTTCATAAGTTGTAAGAGAACAGACAGAATGAGAATGGAGCGAGTCCTTGGCAGCAGATTGATTGTGATCTGTTGTAATTGATTGTAATTAAGAGTGGTTGTACAAGAAAGTGTCAGTAAATCCGATCATCCAATCCAGAACCCGTTATTATTAGTCACGGAACCCCAGACACGTGATATTTTGGTGTCAGAAGTAGTTATGACCATAAATACATGACAGTATTAAGATTTACAATTCTCTTCTCTGTTAGTTGCTGTATTTTTCCTGTTGTCATTTACATTCTCTGACAAATTGCCATATTTTACCTGTAGGTAGCAGAACTGCCTTCTCCTCTTGTGATCCAAGTGACAGATAAACATTTCAACTGGGTGGAAAGCCTGAAATCTGCGCTGAAGCAGAGTGAAGCTGAGGGTGAGAAAGTATTGCTGGTTTGCCAGGATGACCCTCAGTGCGGTGTTGTTGGCTTGATGAACTGCATAAAACAGGAACCTGGAGGAAACAATGTCAGGTGAGATATCTGGCAGAAGTGTGAGAGATGTTCATATCAATCCATTTTGCCAATTTTATTTAATTTTTTTTAGGTATTTGGTTCTCTGCACTGTGTTTTATGTAATGCATTGTTACTTACTTATTTACTGATGGCGCTGAGCCCTTATGGAAGAGCCACCAATTCTGCAACTACTGAAGAATTTCCAAACATTTTATGGAACCCGAAGTTTCATTACCATGTTCACTGGTCCCTATCATGAACCAGATCAGTCCTATCCATACCATCCCATCCTATCTCTCTAAGATCCATTTTATATTGTCCACCCACCTGAGTCGTCGTCTTTGCAGTGGTCTCTTTCCTTCTGGGTTTACCTACCAATATCCTATATGCATTCCTTGTCTCCCCCATTTGTGCTACATGCCCAGCCTGCCTCATCCTCCTCGTCTTGATTATTCTGATTATACCTGGAGCAGAGTACAAGTTATGAAGCCCCTCATTATGCAGTTTTCTCCAACCTCCTGTCACTTCAGTAATGCATGTATACTGGAATTATTAATGTTTGTTCTTGTGAAGGATCTAATTATTGCTTAGCTTGGCATGAAATTCCCCCACCTTTTATGGAATCCTGAACGTCCATTACTATATTCCTACGTGTTTACTGTTAGTGCTGGTCCTGAGAGCATTTGCTACAAATTCACACCCTCCCTATTATTTTTAAGTCCATGATAATATTATTGTCCAGTGTGTACAAGGGATGAAGAGACTAGGTCGTGAAGCTGACCAGTCACCTCCATCTAGTGCTTAGGTTGAGAATGGTGGAGCTATACCTCCACTCCTGGATATGTGATCAGAATGCTTAATTAATTAAGCCCAAGGAGAACTTTACCTGTATGACTAATCTTCATAATATTTTATATATGATGAAACTTCTCTTATGTGAATTAAAGTAAGAAATTTTCTGTTGCAGGTGCGTATTTCTGCAGGATGCGAAGCTACCAGAATTTTCACTGACAGCGCAAATTTTTGCTGATCAGCTGAAAAAGGATCTTGTGATGAATGTTTATCGAAGAGGAGCGTGGGGTTGTTATCGCCATCTGAAGCTTGACAACCACTCTGATGCCACTTCACTCCAAGTGGAGCATGCCTACATCAACGCACTCACTCGTGGAGACCTCGCCAGCCTACACTGGATAGAAGGACCCCTGACCTACCACAGGTATTTTAGAAAATTAACAGCTGTTGAGCCCATTAGATTTTGGACACTGAACAAATCACCTCAGTGATTTTGCCTTTGTATAATTAAAAATAATAATTTTGTTACCTATAATTGGCAGATCAAGTCTGTCTGCATTTTATCACCAGAATTATTCTACAGATATCGATGAAATTCACAAGTTTAGGCATGTGTTAAAAGCTGAATGGAAATTAATATATTGATCCGTTTTAATGCCAGCTTTAGATAAAATTAAAATGAAACTTTACATGTTTCTTGAAAAGGTACAGAACATTAGTTTATGGTTGAACATGTAGATCTCTGTCTATCATGGTAGTGTAAACAGATATTTGAGTTTCCTGCATATGTTCTTTTCAGAAATGAATTTATGAAATTTATTCCATTAAGAAGAAACAGTGAACTTTAAATTTTTTAAAGGAAAACATGTATTTTTACTCACAGTCCCATGAAAGTAAGATGGAAATTGCCTTAATATGTCTTTAAATTAAATAGTTATTGTGGTGCTTGAGTAAGAAATGAAGCATAGGCCAAGATGTTAAACTCTGTAACTTTTCTATGACACATTTCAAGTGTCTTATATATTTAATGAAGTGAAAAACTATGCAACTTTCTTGTGTAATGTCTTTACAGTTGATTAGCTTTATCAGTAGCGATTCTGTATAATACAACATGTGTAACTACTGAGTACTGCTGTTAGTAAAAGATTTCTGCCTGCAGTAACAAAATTGTGAAGATTACATTTGTAAAATGTATGCACATGAAATTAGACTACACATTTCTTCACCTTTCATGGCTGTATATCTTAAATCATATCCTCTATCCAGTCATCTGTTGTTGAGTTTATGTTGTACTTTGGTTGCACAGAATGTGTATTGTTTGTGTAGGCCAGAGAAGAATCCAAACACAGAATTGTGCCACGTTTACTATGCGCCGCTCAACTTCCGAGACATCATGCTGGCAACAGGGAAGCTGCCCCCTGATGCACTTCCAGGTGACCTTGCTGGACAGGACTGCATCCTGGGATTAGAATTCTCTGGTCGCAATTGCGAGGGAAAGAGGGTGATGGGCATGGTTGCTGCCAGGGGTCTTGCCACAACTGTACTGGCTGATCCTGGTTTCCTGTGGGAAGTTCCTGATAAATGGACCTTAGAAGAAGCAGCCACCATCCCTGTAGTGTATAGCACAGTAAGTAGAAAGACCATATAGAGTGTCAGTGTGGTGTGGTGTATCTCAGGTTGTTTTAGGGGACATGGTCTCTAGCTGTAGATACGTTGAGTAAGCAGTCACTGATACATGACTGTAGTAGAGGTTTATCATTATGAATTATGGTATGAAGGAGTAAAATGATTTCGATTGACTAGGAATAGTGTCTACTGTTGGACTCTTGCTCTCATTGTGTTGAACCTACATTTGAACCTAAAAAGAGGAAGTAACAGGGAGACTGTGAAAGTTAGACACATTAATTGAAATTTCATACTTGTATTTTATACTTCTTGGCCCAGTATTGTTTCAGTAATTAAATTATGTAGGATAAAATGGGCAGGACATGTAACACAAACATGAAAATGATAAATTTGTATAGAATTGTTTTGGGAAACCTCGAAGGAAGAGATATTCATGGAGCCAAAGAGTAGGTACGACAGTATTAAAATGGATCTCAGAGAAATAGTGAGTTGATGGGAGCTACTTTCAACTGGTTCATGGTACACTCCAGTAACTAGCATCTTTGACCATGGTAGTGAACCTTTTGAGTTCTGTGAGACAGGAATTTCTTCGCAGTTTAAATAACTATTACTTTTCAGGGTACATTACAGAATTGATGCTGACACCTATTCTTTTCAGAGCTACTATGCACTTGTGGTTCGTGGTCGTATGCGTCCAGGAAACTCTGTGTTAATCCATGCTGGAACTGGTGGAGTGGGGCAGGCATCCATTGCCATTGCACTCCATATGGGCTGCACAGTTTTCACAACTGTTGGGAGCAAGGAGAAGCGTGAATTCCTGAAGAAGACATTTCCCCAGTTAACAGACCGCCACATTTGCAATTCTCGTGACACCACTTTCGAGCAGCAAATACTCATGGAGACAGGTGGGCGAGGAGTAGATCTTGTACTCAACTCTCTGGCTGAAGAGAAACTCCAAGCATCAGTACGCTGTCTCGCCAAGGATGGACAATTCCTGGAGATTGGGAAATATGATTTATCAAACAATAATCCGCTAGGTAAGTTAGTTTGAGATTAACTCTTTCTAAGGGGCCCAACTGAACGGGTGTCTTCCTTCCTCACCTGAAGATGGGAACAGATCCAAGTTTCTGAAATTTTGTGTCCTCTATTACCTAGAATTCCAAACGATGGAAGAAGTCCAAAACCTCAGAACCCTTTAGAATCTCATAGAGTTACTGTTGGAAATTGTGTTTTCTACTCGTCCTGTGCAAGGGGGTTATGAGAAAGACATTTGGGGTGACCCAGTTAGTTGAGAGCTGAGTTCTGCAAGGGAGGCTGGGAAGAAATGGCGCTATAATTAAGTTGACAGTTAAGTGGTAGGATATTCGCCAAACAGTAATGAAGTGAGCACAGAAGCTGAAGAATCTCCACTGTTAGAAGCTATTGCCAGGGAACAGCTGGAGAAGACTTAGTGTGTAGTGATTTGTAAACTGTGGAAATCAACGATAGTGCTGTAATTACTTACAGTTCTGAGTCATGTGTATAAGTGGTCAGTAAATCCATTCACCAATCCAAACCCCCATCTGTAGTCACACATTCTATGTGACAGTAGTAAAAAGATGTATCAGCAAAATTTACCATATGAAACACTTCATATGTGTTTTTTGGAGGATCTATGTGTGAATTTATGTGATTGGAGTACTGTACATAAAGAACATTGCATTATCAGTCATGATTTCCATATGTAGTTGGGATTAAGAGAAATTGTTTTGCATTTTTTGGGGATGTCTGTATGATTGAAGTATTGTGCTTATAGATCATGATGTAACCAGATGTGATTCCCAAATGCAGTTAACATTAAGATGAAATTGTTTGCTTCTCACAGGCATGGCTGTGTTTCTTAAGAATACAGCGTTTCATGGAATCTTGCTTGATGCTCTTTTTGAGTCAACATGTGACGATAAGAAGGAAGTGGTGCGACTCCTGAACGAGGGTATCAAATCAGGTGCAGTGCGTCCACTCCCAGCTACTGTGTTCTCAGAAACTCAAGTGGAGCAGGCGTTCAGGTATAGATTTGTGATTTACAAGCTTAACAATTTCATTATCATTATACTTCTCTGCTTCATGTATGAAAATTATCCTTTAAATAGGAATTTTAAGATCTTTTTGGTTAAACTGTTATTGATTCCAACAAAATTGTTAATCAAATTGTTTACAATATTTTCATAACCACAAAAATCGCAAGAATATCCAACCAGCTCCATTGATCTGAGTCCTTTAAAAGCTTAATTAACTTAGCTATTTGGTAAAATAACAGTATAACTTGTTTTTAGGTTTATTGGGTCAGGTGAGAATATTAAGAATCGTCAGCTCAAGATTCAAGATGGATAAACCCAGAAAGTTATGAAGCCAGCTACAGGCTTGAATCCGCGATACCTTGACCATACATGAACTTGTATTGGCTAGAGACTAAGATTTTGATCATTATTGTAGAGTACTACAAATAACAATATAATTTTTTGTTCCAGATTTATTGGGTCAGGCAAACATATTGGTAAAGTTCTGCTCAAAATTCGCGATGAAGAATCTCAGAAAGTTATGGAACCAACTGCAAAGCTTGTATCTGCTATTCCTCGAACATATATGAACCCAGACAAGTCATATGTGCTTGTAGGTAAGCGAGAAAATACACAGAGGTCACCTGAGCGCCTTGTTCAGATTGCTTGGTCAGCTTGTCAACTATTTCTGTCTATGAGTAGACCCACTGCACAGTTAACAAACCCTTCAAATTGTAAACAAAATTCATTCAGATCACAGCAGATGGCAGAAATGGTCTCCATTGCTAATCTCACATTCCTTCCGCTTCCATAATATTTTGCATTGAAGCACTGCAAGGCACCTAGGGGAATTTCAAGGAGAATGTTCAAGGCTAGCACTGTATTCTTCCCATTTCTCTTCACCGAGCACTTATTGTTTTCATTCTATTTTTTTGTCCTACAATTTATTTATTTAGATTGTATGAGTAATTTTCATACTGTAATTTATGCTAGATTTTTTTTATTCAAATAGGTTTGGCAAATAAACACTAGTTTGCCATCTCTCGCTTGGTATTTTGAGATAAGGGAACAAGACTGCTTGTGTATTTAATATATTAGGGGGGGGTCTTGAGGTTATGGTTGATAGGAATGTCACAAGCTAAACAAATTTTTTTTTTAATTCACTAAGTGGGGGGTGGAGTCCAACTGGGTGCAGTCGGCATGGTGGCCACTGATTGGCCTATTGTAGCCTCCCTGGGTGATTATGATGATGGAGAATTTGGTGGAATGAAGATTTGCAGGTGAGACTGGGAGAAACCCTGCCCCAGCGCCATTTTGTCCACCACAAATCCCACTTGACCAGACCTGTGCTCGACCCCAGGGCCGCCACGGTGGGAAGCCAGCGACTAACCACTTGAGCTATAGCATGGCCTCCGTGTCACAAGCTAACTTCATGGTAGCTATTCAGAGATTTTTTGGGGAAGGGGGGATAATGTTGCTTGGAAATTGTAATGTGAATTGGCTGTTCTGTTAGCTACACACTTAGTCTGAGGTTATGTGATTAGCATGTGGCCAGAAGGTTTGCTGTAACCTGTCAAACACCCTCCTCATATATTTATAGTGTAAAAGGTTATCAGTGGCTACATTTATTTTTGGCTCCTAATAATGACCTCGAAACAGTATTTCATAAGCTCCGTTAAACATGTAATGCATTTTGCATATGTAAAATAGTTAAAGGTTTAATTTTTTTTAAGGCAGTAAATATATAGAGCTTATAGTTTGCCAGTAATGCACACCAAACAGGTATACCAGTCCAGTCACATAAAACAAAACACTGTAAGGGAGCATGTATTTGAAAACATATCTTAAATCTGATAATCTTCGCTAATGTGTTAAAAACTGAGAACTTTGACATCACTCTTTCAGGATATTCGATGAGTATATGTAGATATATAAATTTAAATGTTTTCTTTACAGAGAAAAATCACAGGCTGGGTGGTGTATTTGGTTTCGTCTTTTATATATGACTAAATCGAGATGTTTATTTCATGTGTACTCAGGTGGTTTGGGAGGTTTCGGCCTGGAATTGGCAAATTGGCTAATCCTACGAGGAGCAACGAACATCGTTCTTACATCACGAAGTGGCATTAGAACTGGTTACCAGTCACTGTGCATCAGGAGGTGGCGTGAGATGGGTGCAACAGTCGTAGTATCTACAGCAGACGTGACCAATGAAAAAGGGGCACAGCAACTTATAAAGGAGGCATCGAAACTTGGTCCAGTTGGAGGAATCTTCAATTTGGCTGTAGTAAGTTTCACGCTTAATGTTTCAGGAATACTGCATGTAGTTGAACTTAACAGGTTAGAAGCTTTCAGTTTTTAAGCAGAATTGGATGGATGTAGTCCAGTTAAGTGCAAAGATTTTCTAGCTTTATCATTTGTAGCTGTCACACTTTATTTTGTGCTGCCTCATTTGTCTTGATATATGGCTGTAGGAATTTTATTTTGGGGTGTGTAGCCAGAATTTTAACTTCCAGTTGGCATGTCAGTGGTCAGTTGCAATTTTATTTTACTAGCCTACTTTCCATATGGGAGAAGGAGCCCAAACCACCACCCTGTGAGGTGTGCTTGTATTACATTGTCTGACTGCACATGGCTTTTATCTGGGGACACATTTCCAACTGTTTTGAATTCTTGGGTAGTGGTGAAAGCTGGCTCCAGCGCACTTCATGTTGTATTGAACCAGTGTTGTCGAAAATTTAATTTGCATGCTCATTCTTAATGGATACGCCCAATATCAAACTTAGTTGACACCAGTAACGTTTGAGATGGAACATCCAGGCTTATTTATGGGCATTCATTTTATGATTTTTATGCAAAGAACTCATAATAGAAATGGAACTATGTGTGTCCCCTTCATAGATAATAGAAATAAAAACATGGTGAGGTAAGTGACTGGCACTTTGTTTTGTATTTGAATAGTTCCTCACCCTTAAAGCCAGTTATACCCCCCCCCCCCNCTTATACTTGTATGCTAGTCAAAAGTAGTTAACGGTGGTTGTAACTGTGATGTTTGTTACAGGTGCTACGAGATGCATTCTTGGAAAACCAGACAGAGGCAGATTTCAAGACAGTTTGCCTACCTAAAGTAACAGGAACAAAGAATTTGGACATGCTCTCACGGAAACTCTGCCCTGAGCTAGACTACTTTGTTGCCTTCTCAAGTGTGTCCTGTGGTCGCGGTAACGCAGGCCAGACAAACTATGGGTTGGCTAACTCTGCCATGGAGCGTATCTGTGAGGATCGGCAAGCATCAGGGCTGCCTGGTGTTGCAATCCAATGGGGAGCCATTGGAGATGTGGGTCTTGTTGTGGAAACAATGGGTGATAATGAAACGGTGGTGGGAGGAACCCTGCCTCAACGTATGAACTCTTGCCTTGCTACAATGGACAGCTTCCTGCAGCAACCCCATCCTGTACTTGCCTCTATGGTTCTTGCCGAGAAGAGAAGAGGTGGTGACACGGGTTCACAGGTTGGACTTCTGAATGCTGTTGGAAACATCTTAGGTTAGTGGTTCAGAAATTACAACGCTGGCAGTTGTTTTATTCATATCACTGCTGATCAGATGTTGATAAAACTTTCTTGAAGCTCACCAAGAAATGTAGTTCTAAATAAATTACTCGCATATTGCGAGTATACAGGGACTTCTGTGTTTAGGGTTCCTACAGATTGCTTAGTTTGAAGTTGTGATTAAAGTAACCTCTTCCTGCTCCTCTCACAGTACCTTTTGCTCTCAGTTTTTCCAAATCAGTTTACAGTGTCATCCAGAAATTAATTTCTGCTGATTAGTCTGGCTCAGAACCCTGCATTATGCCATGTAAATTAATGTTTTACTGAAATTGAGGAAGGAAGTCCAATGAATTGCCTCACTCTACATTTTACTCACTCTTGCTTTCCTCTCCAGTGTATTTCCATATATACTCTATAGAAGTAGTGGTAACCATGTGATAACCTTTGTTAGCAACAAAAGCTTTGGGCTAGTTCACACAGGGCAGAGGGGTGCTAGAGAGAAATACGGCAGCAGGTAGTAAAGTGAATACCTTGAGTGACTTTATCCCCACCATCCCATGGGATTTTATTCTGGGTCTTAGTAGAGAGATGCACTAAATAAATTAAAACATCTGAAATATTCTGTTGTATGAGTGATATAATAATATGTCTTTAATATTTGTTATACTACAAATTGTGCACTTAACACATGCTAATCATTTAATAGAAATGTTTAATACAAAGGCTATTAGTAAGAAGAATAAATTCTTTTATGTTAGGTATAAAGGATGTCAGTGCATTGAATGCACAGTCAACGTTGGCAGATCTGGGAATGGACTCTCTGATGGGTGCTGAAATCAGACAGACACTGGAAAGGAACTATGATTTAGTGCTCAGTGCGCAGGAAATCCGCACTCTCACATTTGCCCGTCTCGCAGAACTTAGTTCAGGAAGTGGTGAAGCCCCAGCAACAGGGTCTCCTGCTGTCAGTAATGTTCCTCCTGAACCTATCACAAATGGACAAATGAAGGATGGCTTGGAAACACAGGATGTTTCACAGGTGAGACACATCACGATTGTGATGACAGTGTTGAGTAAAATAACTTACGTAATGTTTTGAAATGTTGTCACTACCTGACAGTCTATTTAAAATATCTTATGTAGATGGAAGCACTGTTTCAAACCCTGGTGTTTTTAGAAACAGAATATATGTTTACCGTACAATAGTGAATTCTAATACGCCTTCACCAGCTGTTTATGAAAACTGAGAATGATGGTGGTCATCTTAATAGTTTCTTGACTCAGCAGTCTGCTTGGAAAAGAAGGCTTCAAGTGATTAAGGTTCATGGGTTGTACAGTGTTGAATGATAATACAATTGTGAGTGATAAAATGAATTAGTAAGTATTTGTTGGCATATTTTAAAGTACTCTTCCAGTGTTTGCCTAGACAGACTGGGGAAATCAGGAAATTTTTGTTCAAAATAGTTGGTGTCTTGGGCCCAAATTTAAAAGTCTGGACCCCTCAGATATGATTCAGGAATGATTCACCATAATGTTCGCATTTGGTTTGTAGCTCATAACTTTGCATTGTTCGTGGTTGCAGGTGCAGTTTGAGAATGTCACAGAAGTGATGCCTTCTGAAGTGCTGGTACAGCTTCCATCTCGAGTCACGAAGGGCACCAAGCCGTTGTTTGTTGTACATCCCATCGAAGGTGTAATAACAGCACTGAAAACAGTGGCTGCAGAACTGCCCTTCCCAGTCTGGGGACTTCAGTGCACACCAGATGCTCCACTGTCAACTATCCAAGATCTCGCCTCATTTTATGTTAAGGTAATTTATATTTAATTTTGTTACATTGTTGAGTAGCGACACTGCTGTGATGGCTTGGAGTGCTAACATTTCAGAAAATCTTGATGTATCCCTTATCTTTGATGATGGATACATAACTATTTCAGCATTGTATTATTACCCAAGGTCAGCTATAATCCACTGCGAAAGTCAGAAGAAATATTATTTGTATTTAAGTTAATAGTGTAAAAGCATATGCAATTGTATGATTTGATTCTTTTCATGTTTTTAAGTGAGATTTATGCCCATACACTTAGCATATACTTACATCATTATTCCATCAGAGTTGCTTCACCCTTCCAACTTCTCACTCAATTCTGTTTCACTACATAATTCAAACACCGTTTGTCATTATGAGTAATATATGCCTGAAGTATTGGAGTGAAAACACGGTATTTCTTCTTAAATTCATTTTCTACAAACAGTGGTACATGAATTGCACAAGTAAATACGGTAATTCTGAAGAAATACACCCAATTCTCGTTCTTATCTTGCTCTGGCCTTGACATTATTATGCACCTCACTGAATTGTGGTGCTTTCTGTGTAGGTAGCTATACAGTCAGTAGTTTCCCATATTTAACTTCATCAATATCAAATTAAATATTTATCAAATTCAAAACTTGAGGTTTATGTAAATAACTCACTCATAGAGCTGAGCCCTTCTTAAGAAGCTGCCAATTGTGCAGCTACCCATTCCCAGCATTTTACGGGACCCGCAGGGTTTATTACTGTGTTCACAAGATCCCTCCACTGGTCCCTATCCTGATCCAGATCAGTGCAATCCATACCATCCCCTCCTCTCTCTCTAAGATCCATTTTAATATTGTCCACCCACCTGAGTCGTCCTTCTGGCTTACCCACCAATATCCTATATCCATTCCTACTCTCCCACATTCATGCCACATGCCCTGTCCATCTCATCCTCCCTAACTTGATCGTTCTAATTATACTAGGACAAGCATACAAATTATGAAGCTCCTCATATACGTTTTATGTACCCCTTTGAGGTTTTATGTAAAGGGGTACAAATAAGAATTTAAGATATTGTTCCTTTGTCACATATGAGCTGAGCTAAGCTAAGCATATGATTTCATCATTACTTGTGCAGCACATCAGAAAGATGCAACCAACTGGCCCATACACACTGTGTGGATATTCGTTTGGGGCTTGCGTGGCATTTGAAATGGGTCTACAGCTTGAGAAATTAAGTGAAAGGGTGCAATTGGTGCTGCTGGATGGATCACATTCGTATGTGGCAGCACATACTGGCAACTACAGGGCTCGACATAGTCCCAAGCAGAGCAGGCAAGATGATGAGTCTGATGCTCTCACATACTTTATCACTCTCTTCAGAGATGTTGACTATCAAAAGGTAAACTGTAGCCAGTGATTACTTGTATTAGTACTGTATATGTACTGACTATATAGTATGCATAAAGAAATGCAGAAAATATTGAAGTAGTGACAATTTAAGAAATAAGTAGCAGCACCTGCCAAGTTAAGGCCCAAAATACAGCCAAAAAAGATCTCATTGCTGTTACTACACATTGTGAACTGTTTTCAAATCTATGTAAAATCCCTTTTAAACTCAGAATATCACAATTTACAAGAACTGAAACTCTTGCTGCATATCACTTCAATATCCATCTTCTTGTTGGTAAACCAGTCTCTCTTCCATAAGGTCTATTCTTCGATGCTTGTTTAACTATATTACTAACTGGCTGGTGTTCTGAATGCTTTTTCTAATTGGTTAAATTATGTTTTATTTAAACAAATTTGCTAAGTTCTTTCGTGGTGTCATAGAAACTTCATTTTAACTGCATGTATTGTTTGTCAATGCCCAAAGACATGTCAAAAACACAGTATAATTTATTCTGGCCACAGACTTAAGTACATCTCCATAGTTAAGCTCATTTCTCTAAGCCTGCCATCTTTTATGTGTAACCTTTTAAATCTTTTGCACCTTTAAGTTCTTTCGTAGTTTCAGATATTGTTGTTTAATCTATCCGAGGATTTTTTAATGCTTTGTCTTAAGTCAGTTTCCTTGTTACTAGTACCTGTAATGTTTCATGCTGCTCTTATTAGTGATTTTGAGATTTGAAACCATTGTACCTTATCCTTGGCCTCTATGTTAAGTACTTCTGTATATAGTAACCTAGATTTGTGGTAGAAAGTTTTCACATGTGAATATTTGATACTGACTGTTTTGTTTGAGGGACCTCAGTGGGCTAGGGTATGCTACTCAGATTTGGTTCCACTGATTTCAGGTGTGAGACCAGACATGACTGAATCTGTTCTTTGGATTTTCTTACCTTTGTCAGAGATAAAACTTCACAGATGAAAAGTACTAGCTAGATGAGAATGTACTAATCTCCACTGGTTCCAGAGCCCATATCAAGCTTTACATTTCCCCTGCCCACCATCACTCATAATTTTTGTGTCATTGGGAGTGCCCACTCCTTTACTGAGATCTGAGAGGTTGTACAGATCATAATGGGTCATTAGCCACCAGGTGACTTTCGTTTTGTGGTTAGGGGTGACTTCTTTATTCAGTCTGGTCAAGTTGTGCACCTGAGATGAAGCCTCAACTATGAACCATGCTTCTATTAGCATTCTGGTTGTTTGGACCTATCACAGACCCTACATGTGGCAATGGACAGGTCTGAAGTATTCATTTTATGATGGATGGTGGAGAAAAACTGGAGTGCTTAAAGAAAAACATGCCTCTGTGCCACTTTTATCAAGAATTAAAATCGACTGTGAGAATCTAGAATCTCACCGCCTTAGTTATGGCAGAGTCTTTTTCTTATGTGATGAATGGAATTTACTGTAATTGTTTAACTTATTTTTCTTCTTTTGTGTCTTAAAATTGGTCATCTTGTGCAGACAAAACAGCTGCTTGCAAGTTTGCCTACATGGGAGTCAAGGCTACACAAATGTACAGATATCCTGAAGAATGTAACAGGGTTCCCTGCTGAGCAACTGACGTTAGCTGCTGAATCATTCTTCTTGAAACTGGCTGCAGCTGACCAGTACCAACCTACAGGGCGCTTCTCCGGTACTGTTTCACTTGTCCGAGCAAAGGACAACTTTGTGAATCTTGGAGATGACTATGGTCTATCACAGGTGAGTTTTAAACGGACCAAAAGTACACCTTCAGTTTCCTGGAAAATTTATGTTCTCCTTAAACAAATTAAATCAACATTATATGACCTCTGAAGTTTAAATTGTTCGGTTAATTAACGTAAGACTTAGTCAAACAGTTCTTAGTGCTATGGAATGTGAAGGTTCATGGTCTCCCGTAAACCTCTTTCCTGCCCATATTCAGTCTCATTGATCATCAGAGCTTATAGCTTTTTATTGTATTTAGACATTGTCTTACCGCAAATGTATACCTATTTATTATTTCCTGACCAGTCTGTAGAACTAGATCAGTTCTGTTCACATTGCTGCAATAAAAAGGGTAACATTATCCCTGTGCTTAACTAACTAAGCACCGTGCAATATGGGTGAGTGAACGTATAGCTTCACCACTCTTAACCTCAACACTAGAGGGGGGTGAGTGGTCAGTTTCGTGCATCTGCTCCTTTACTCTTGTGGATAGAGCCCCCATAGCGATTGGACAGGAGGCTGAGTGAGCCCTAGACCCAATTTGAACTCGTGGAGAAGAGAAAAATCTGTTGTGCATATCAGAAATCTAATCCAGTTTTTCCAGCCCATAGCTCGTAGCTATACCATCTGAGCGGTTCTGGCTGTCACATGTTGCATTTCAGTAGTTAATGTCCTGGATTTTGGGGGTCTACAGTAAAAGTTGTTGGGGTCTTCATTTTGTTAAATATCAGGTTAACGTAACATTCACCTGTATGAAACCGAGGTCAGACTCTTGAAAATTTTCTAAAAACAGATGTCATTGAAAAAAATGGCATGTGATAACAAAATCAAGGTCTTGTGAAAAATATTTACAGTAGAACTCTGTTATATCGTCATCAAAGGGACCTAAAAATAGTGTCGTTATAAACGAATGTCGTAACCGAAATGGGCACTTCCACAGTAGCCTTATGTTAGTCAGGTAAAAATCTACCAAAAACTGAGTTAAAATGTTGCATTTTTTAGTGAAATACATAGTTAAGTACAGACTAACATAACATTAACGTGGAATTAATATGGATTTTCCATATCGTTTGTACTGTAGAATTCACCAAACCAAATTCGCGGCATACATCAGCTTTTTTCCTTCCATTTTCTATTTCACGAATCACTTTAACTTTCTCTTCAATGCTTAAAACTTTCCTTTTCATTGCCATGTTTTCGCTACTGCACTTCTCTGGGTTTAGGCAGGAACACTATAGGGTAAGTAGACAATGTGAGGTCCTGTTAGACGAGATTCTAGGAAAGGAATGCAGTTAACAACCTGCCGCGTCCTCTTGCACTATTCACGCAGTCCCACCCCACACCCTTGTTTTCGCATAAAACCCACGCTCCTCTTGCAGCCCGCGGTCTTATTCTTCCAGGACAGTCACGTCAGCAAGTAGAGANGTTTTTATTATGGTTTTTGATTATACTGAAAAGTACAGATTCCCAGCAATATGATCAGAATGTGTAGCTCAGATTTATATCTTGAAGTTAATGAACATAAGACATGAAAACTGTAAAGGTTAGACTGTTACTGGTTTTAGGTCTTTAAAATGACATGTTGCTAAGTTCTGTTCTGTTTGATGTAGGTGTGCAAGAAGAAGGTGAATGTCCATGAACTCAGTGGAGATCATAGGCAGATCCTGGTTGGAGACAGTGCCAAGAGGGTCGCTGATATCCTCAGTCATATAAACTTGTAGAAGTTCCTTATCAGACGGTTGATGGTTACAGGAAACTACTGGCAGATATCCCAGAAGCTTCTTATCACCTCAAGTGCAGATGCTTTATGTAAATTTGACTCATTCCTCTTACTTGTATATTTATTATTGTAGTCATCTTTGGCATGTTAGCATGGTTATTTGTGTACAGAGTGTACATTATTAGCCGTGTTAAATGCTGAAGTATTAGCACGTATAGATATATTATCCAGTGAATTCCATAGGCATCAATTGCTATCATGGCATCAAAACGACATTCCAATGCAAGACTCCAATACAGACTAAAGCAACCAAAGATAGAACTTGAATATTTCAGTTCTAGGCCAGAGAGAATAACAGATTTATTCAACTGTGATGTCTTTATTCCTTCACATGACTAATTGGAAATGATTTTGTAAGGTTTTCATGTAGTTTTCTTTGGCAGATTTTTACATTCTGACAGGCGTTGTTAATATTGAGTACTTCACAACTGTAGTCTTCCTTTTCTTGTGAAACTTGGTTGGAAACGAAGAAGAGCACTGTGCAACAGTGTGGAGTGTGGGGTAGGCATCAGCTTCTTGGCTGGTTCCTGTCGGTTCACATAGTTCAGAACCAAACACACACAAGTGCTGCCAGGCAACCTTGGAAATCAGGCAAAGGCTAATCTAGCTTTTCATCTTAATTGTCTCATCGATGTCATACACTGTATAATTCTCCTACATTGTTTATGTACCACCTGTTCAGCATTTTTTAATCCACTCATTTTTATATGTTTTAATTATTATAACTACTGAACTACCCAGGGCAGAATGTCGTGCATCATGGCCATGTAAGGACCTTAGAGCCTTGCCTGAATGATACGCTGTGCCCCTTACTATGATTTGCTTCTGTATTTCCCTGTGAATGTCAAGGTTCATAAGAAGAGGTAATATGGACTGGGAAGTATAGTAACATTCGCCTCTTATTTGATTTTAATCTTGAAGCTGTCATTGTGTGGATCCTTGTTAACATTGCAACAAGCTGGTGGTACTGGTAGAATTAAAACTACTAGCATATAGTAGGCATTCTTAATGCAATGCCTGTGTTCTTGTTACATTCAGCAATTCATTGTGTTGTTGCACATGACACCATTTCGTTTATTTGTACAATGCATCAAATAAATTGGTAATAAAAATGTTTTTGAAGAAGTGCATTTTGTTCAATTTGGCTTAAATTATTTACACGTTATGTAAATAAATAGGAATTTCAGTAAATTTATTATTACTTAAATTTGTTGGATTGTACAACTGTTAAGTTCACGTAGTCCTGTTATTTATAATTTGATAAGTTAAGCTTTGTTCTTGCATATTCCATTATGCATATGTTTGTGTGTGTGTGTGTGTATGTATGTATGAAATTATCAGTATTTTTATGTGTGTGATGGAACAAGTGGGCATATATATGTTTAGATATATCTTTAGGCATGTAAATTTGTCTAGATGTCATGCGTATGAAACATTGTCTCATTCAACTTTTCATAGACTTCGTATGGTCAGTGCACGGTAAAATGTTTCTTCATTTTCTTCTGTATTCTCATTTGCTACTAATTATTTTTTTTGCAAAGTCATTTATGCTCCTGTGTTCAGATTGAGAGAACTGAACCGGCACATCTTACTTTTATCGTACTTTTACATCCAAGTAAAATCAAATCATCAGATAAATCAAAGAATTTTGTAAGGTATCCAGTTCATTTTTGATACATATTTTTTTAAATCTAATGGAAGGCAGTATTTATTGTATTCACATAAAAATGGCTTAATTAAAGTAATTCTATTGAAAATAGTGAAATTGGCCTTACCAGACTACATTGTGTTATGTTTTGAAAAATAAGCATTTTAAGAAAGAAGCATTCATGTGAAGTGTAGAATTTACTTTCAGCTACTAACACTGGTGTTTTTGGTAATTTGTGATCTAGATATATAACTTAAAGAGAAATGTACCAATAATTTCAAAACAGGAGTGATATTTGTTCATGTGATTAGTCTACAGTAATACATACATGTGCCTGGTGTTTTGGGTTTTCCTTCACTTCAGTCATGTTTCTTACAAGAAAGGCATATCATATAGTGTAATTTATTTTGATTTGTGTTGTAAATATCTCTTTGAAATTTGCAGTAGCATGTGATCTAGTACAAAATATACATATGTTTAGGGGTTTTGTTTATATATGACAAGTGATTAAAAAGCATTTCCTGGTATGACTTACATATAGATTACTGCAAAATGTTAAAAATTATAGAACAGTCTGTCTCATGTGATATTACAAGAATGAATGTGATAATTAAATGTACATATTGTTTCTGTTAATACTTTTGTGGTGTTTACAAATAAACGAAGAATAAGCAAACCAACAAAGAAAGAAACCAGAAACCTCAATATATATGAAGATTGCTATCTTTTAGGATCTGATGCCATATATTCCAAAATATAATTTTGATATTCTTCCAAAACAGCGGTGGCCTACTGGACTATGTGATGCCACACCCCAGAAGACAGCACTTCTCACAACCATTGCCATGAGAACCTCAAACTCAATGATATTGTGGGAACATCCCACATACTAACACGAGGTTTTGCCGGTCTAACAGACAGCACTCAACTCCTAGTCAGTATCACATTGCTGCCAATGCACGCATTTATACAGCACTCGCTGTCCAGCCCACCTTTACGTCATAGCGCGTGCTAGCCAATCAGCACTCAGAGTCGCAACTGCAAGTTTAAGCTCCGCCCAGCAAGCTTGGTGTAAAAGGTGGAGCCCAAAGCTCGCAATCATCAGTGATCACATTCAGTCATCAGAGTCATCAGCTCTTCCTTGCGCCAAAGACAGCTGCCGCAACTCTCCAGCAACTACTCTCTGCTACCAGACAGCTAACGTAGCTGCCACAACTCTCCAACAACCTCACTCTGTGACCAGGCAGCTAACTTAGTTGCCACAACTCTCCAGCAACAGCACCGTATGCAGCTGTTCCTACAGGCGCACGCAGCACCACATTACCAGCTGGACAAACCAGCTGAATTGCCATAAAGACTTGGTTTACTACAAAGGAGCAAATTCTACCAGTGCACTCACGGTGGAACGAACTGCCCTATTTAGGGCCAGCCAACTTTAGACATTCCACATAGCTTCACAGCTGTTCGGTAAATTCAATTTATACAATTTAATATATACAATTGTTACAGATTTACGTGGTTGTCTTTTAGAATATCGACAGTCCCACAATATAATTTACACTTTGTATCATCTTATTATAGGTTTATATTTGCAAGTCCACAGGAACAAATGAGAAGATGCAGAACTGCGCATAATCTAAGGGCTGCAGGGGCAATAACTGCTGTTTTATACCACATTTAACATGTAAATGCCATACATTAAACATTAATGTCAGTTATCACCCCTCACATAGTATACAGATATGTTTTTGTTATGTTTTGTTATGTTAGAAAAGGATAACCATAATAACTAGAGCAAATTTTAGTATCTTACATTATTGGGTGAAGACATGCCATGAAGAAAATCACAGGGTTTGTTAGCTGCTGGGTAAGTAGTTCCAGAAGTAGGCACAAAAATTGAACTGAGCCATATGTCCATTGTTACATCAGGATAAAATCATAAGGATTGTATAATAAATTGTTTGAAAATATAGCAAAATCCAAATATATGGAACTAGAGTTTTTTCTTGAATTGAATTGAATTGAATTTATTTACATTCTATAAATCCTAAGTAGGTTAGTACCTTTGGATACAGAACAAGTCAAAAGGTTACATACATAAGTACAGGCAATTTTATCTTAAAAATTAATATAACTTAATTTTACATCATTCTCTATTTACATTGAAGTATTCATCTAAAGAGTAGAAGGAATGAGCATGTAGATAATTCTTTAACTCTGATTTAAACCTTTTAGGATCATTGCCCAAGTTTTTAATACTTTGTGGCAGATTGTTGAACACTTTTATGCCAGTAAAGTAGACTCCTTTTTGATATACTGATAAAGTTGATGAGGGTAGGTGGAAGTTATATTTTTGTCTAGTATTCATGTTATAGACATCAGAATTTAATTTGAATTTATCTTTGTTGTAAACAACAAATAAGAGAAGCGATAATATGTATTGCGATTGAAGAGGTAGAATTTTTAATTTCTTAAATAATTCTCTACATGGTTACATGTCATAAAATCCTTTTTGTTTTTGCAATTTGAAACTCTACAAATGTTGAACAAATGCCAGAACAAACATGCTAGTGACACTTTTTAAGGACAGAATTAGACGAGACAAATATTTGTAGCATATATGTTGTTCATTGACGTTTTTGAAATTGTCATGAAAGAAACAAAGTTTAACATTTAATGAAGTAGCAGTTGTATACTTCAAAGAAAGCCACAGACGCTAGTAAGGAAAATGGTCTAGAAGTGTAACACAGAGAAAACTAGTATCTGTTGCTGTCTCATCACCAGAACATGGCAAAATCGTGGCATAAAGACAGCTAACAGATCCTTTGAAAATGTGATACAGTTCAAAAGTTGGGAATCACAGTAACAAATCCAAATTTAGTTCATGAAGAGATTGAGAGGGCCTTTTGACTTCTCATCTACTGTCTAGAGACATAAAAATTAGAAAATAAAAAACTGCAATTTTGTCTTTTGTTCTGTATGGGTGTGAACTTGTTCTCTGACATAAGGGAGGAATATAGACTGGGGGTGTTTTATACAACATGGTGCTGAGGAGAATATTTGGACCGAAGAGAGATGAAGTGACTGGAGGTTGGAGAAAACTACATAATGAGCTTCATAACTTGTACTCTGCGCCAAGTATAATAAGAATGTTCAAGTCAGTACATGTAGCAAGAATGGGGGAGAAGATGAATGCATATAGGAAGGTGAAAATGTAAATGGTGAATAATTTTAAAATGGAGTTGTATGGACTGGATTGATCTGGCTCAGGATACTGACAAGTGGAGGGCTCAAGTTAACGCAGTAATAAACCTTCTGGTTCCATAAAATGTAGGAAAGTTCTTGAGCAGCTGCACACACTGTGGCTTATTAAGGTATCAGTACCATGAAGTTAGTTGGTTTTAGTGACTGGCAGCATGTTCAGTCATACTTGTATCTTAATTAAATACATGAACATGCAGATTCATAAATTTAGGTGGGAAGAGGCATTTATCATCAGTGGAGACGGGTAATCCTGGCAGGTGTATGGGACACTTCTTCATTATTGTAATGTACATGTAGCATTCTTTGTGATTACCTCAACCATAAAATGTGGGTAACGTATTTTGGGCATAGAAGTACTTCATTTTCTGTAACCTTTATTCCAATAAATATTTAACTACTTATGCTGAAGTTACATCAGACAGTCATAAGGTCTTTGTTATGCAAAAGAAAATAATAAGAATAATTAGTGGTGGGAGTGGGTCCAACTCGTACATGTAGAGATCTATTCAAAATGCTTGACATACTACCAATCCCATGTGTATATTTTCTCTCATTGATGACATTTGTTGTTAATAATTTGGATAAGTTTCAGACCAACAACTCTGTATACATGATTGGTACAAGAAGGAATGACCGGCTCCATATACCCACAACACATTTATCATCCTGTCAGAGAGGGGTGTATTATTCAGGCGTCAAGCTATTTAACACTCTGCTGTCAAATATCTGTTTTAAAAAATGATAAAAATCAATTTAGGTTTGTTTTACAAAGTGATTTGCAAAGTAACTCATTTTACTCTATTGACAAATTTGTCGAGCGTTCAAGGGGTTCAAAAGTCAATGAATGGTGTGTGTGCTTGTATTATATGTTGTTGAGACTTGCTTGTTGTAATTGTGGCAGTATGTATGATGGCTGTGTTTGTTATGAATTTTGATATGTTATAATTAAACTGTATTGATGATATGGCTGGCCAGTGTATGTGGAATGGCAAGGTGTAAATTTTACAGTTGTTTTTCCACGGCCTAGGTGTGTGGGCAGGTCATGTAGCACGAATGGGGGAGACGAATGTGTATAGGATATTGGTGGGAAAGCCAGAAGGAAAGAGACCACAGGGAAGACCAAGGCATAGGTGGGTGGACAATATTAGAATGGATCTTAGAGGGATGGGATGGTATGGATTGAATAGATCTGGCTCAGGATAGAGACCAGTGGAAAGCTCTTGTGAACACAGTAATGAACCTTCGGGTTCCATAAAATGCTGGGAAACTCTTAAGTAGCTGCAGAATTGGTGGCTCCTCCAGAAGGGCTCAGCTCCATGAGTAAATAATTAAGGTGTTTTGTCTTGACAACTTGTGCTGTCTGTGTGAGGCCTGATTATATATTTTATTGGACCAAAGACGTATGATGTGTAGTCATCATGAATTTGTAATGTGTGACATGTTTTATATCCAGCCCTATGGGGAGATGATTGGATTGATGAAGTGAAAATAAATGTAAATGTAAACATTGCACTTCCAGGTACATGTGGGTTTTCATGTATTTCCGTATTCCGTATTGAGGGGGTGGGTTTCTCCATGCACTTAGACCGGTAACTGGTTCACTGTGTGTCCCCTTTCAATTTCTACTGTCTCCATACCCTACTGGTACTGGTGCTTACTCTCAGTCCCTTTCTGCCAGTGAGGTTCCAGCCTCTTACTGGCAGTGGTATCTAATAGTTGGTCCCTTTCTGTCAGCGAGGTCATCCCTCCTCTGGCAGGGGTTCCTAGTCCCTTTCTGCCAGCAAGGTTTCTACCCTCTACTTGGCAGTGGTATCTAATACTTTAGTCCTTTCTGTCAGAGATGTCCCCCCTCCTCTTGCTGTGGTACCTGATACTTCCCCCATCTACCGGAGGAATGGGTTTTCATGTGATTGTTGAAATTGTTAAAATGAAAATTGAAATGGCCCCAAAAGAATTTGTGAAATTTTCCAATATATTTCATGAAGTCCATTTAGCATTTCCCAGGTTGCTGAATGAATACGAACAAAAGAAGCTTTCTTGATGTGCGCTCCACAAGAATGAAAATGCCCTAAAGGGAATCTACAAATTTGTGACTTTTTTGTAAATGTACTTTACCCTCGTTGCCCCTAGCGCCAATAGCCCTGTGCTCATTGCAGTTACGTTTCATTCGTATCGCAAACGCCTCGGGATCGCTCGGGAAGCAGCTACCAGGGTTACCAGTTGCTACTATGAAAAGAAATTGAAAATGTATAAACTCATCTGTGATCGGCTAAACAGGATGGCCAACGTATTAAGACATATGTAGAGCATCCAATTATGTTTTGTTTACATGGAAATCTAACCTCAACTTCAATACTAGAATTAAACCGCATCGTAATGTTGCTCAGACAATCGTTCCATTATTTGTCAAGGGTAACACACAGAAAGAATATAACATTACGCTTGCAGCACTTCGTAAAATCCCAAATTCACATTGCTGTGTTACGTAGTTTAAAACAGCAGCAACATAGCAAGGAAAGTGCAGCTTGGGCTATAAGACAGAAGAAATTAAGATCTACTGTGCATTATGTGGTTGCAGCAGCAGTTCTTGCAGTGGGGCTGAGTTATGCAGCAGTGCCGTTATATAGAATGTTTTGTCAGGTATGTTTAATTTCATTAAACGTGGGGATTAGGTATGATGGTCCAACCTGATTTTATGAAACCTATCCAGGAAGATGTGCACATTATGATTCCTACGCCAGAGCTTCTGCATAGAGGAACTGTATTACAGGGATAAACTTCTTTTTTATTTTGTTTAGTCACTGGATTGGTGGAGTGATTGATTGTTGCAAATGATGAGGATAAATCCACTAAAAATACATGTGTGTAAGAAAGACTCTTATACTTTGGACTTAAATGAAAAACAAGTTATATGTGTATTTTAACCCACTTTCCTAAAGTAAGCTTATCTCCATCCTGTCTATGTGTGTGTGTGTGTCCCTATAAACCTTTGAATCTTTATGAAATTTGTATGTGTATCATGGCAACTGAACCCATCTCAACAGTGTACTTCATTAATCCCGCCCATCAGTTTGTGTGTCTATATGTGTATCCCTCTAACAACAACAAAAAAAGAAACCACAATATCCATTAAACATAGGATATAATGATAAATATAGAGAAGAGGGAGTAACCACAAAATTTCTTGGCTTTGCAAATTGATAATCATTCAAGCTGGAAACACCATATCAATCAGTTGATTCCAAAGTTAAGTAGAGCATGTTGTGCAGTTAGATTCGTGTTACATATTAGTAACATTGACACTCTCAAATCAATCTATTTTGCTTATTTTCACTCTTTAATGAAGTATGGATTAATTTTCTGGGGTTATTCATCTGACAGTAAAATGGTATTTACATTGCAAAAGAAAACTGTTAGAATGATAATGGGTGTTAAATCTCGTAATTCCTGTAGAGATCTATTTAAGAGACTACAGATCTTAACTTTTCCTTGTAAATATATATTCATTAATAAACTTCATTACAAATAACGAAGAACATTTTAAGATGAATGTAGATGTACACAGTGTTAACACAAGACACAAACACTGTTTTCATAAACCAACTGCTAACTTCTCATGTTTTCAGAAAAGCACATATTATGCTGGGATCAACATTTTTAATAACCTTCCATCTCGTCTCAAAGGTCTTATGAATGAAGAGGCTCAATTTAAAATAGCACTGAAACGATACTTAAATAGACATTCATGCTACTCTGTTGATGAATACATATCGTCTGGAAAATAACTTCTGTATCTTTAAATAGCCTTGTGTGTAGTCACTGTGTATTCTTGGTTTCTCTTGTGTGAGAACTCCATTGGGTCTGTACATATGTTTTGTATTTATATGACATATTCCACATCATACAGTCATTTTGACTAACTTTGGATCCATGGAATGCATTGCAATGTAATGTAATGTAATGTATAAAAAAGAAACTGAACTGCAGATTGTGCTGATTTTCTTTAGAAATATTACTTTTTTTATTGCAGTTTTCAAAGTGATCATAATTTTAAATTCTGGAAGAGAAATATGTTGTTTCATATGTCAGTGATTATTTTGTGGTAGATTTAGTTATTACAAGTGTACACTGATGATAAAATTGCAACTTATAAATAATTTAATTTTAGTTAAGATGCATTAGCTGAAATGGTTATGTGATATTGGCATTGGTATGTTCTACTGCTCATTGCATTATGTATATACTCAAAGGTTCGCACAGAGTTGCTCAATTTTTGGAAGAATTGTTCACATTTCACATCAGTTGCACATGTTAACACAGAGTTTCTCTGTTTGCATAGAATTGTTTATATTTGCTCAGAATAGTTCATATTTCTTCAGAGATTCTGGAAGTTACATTTACATTGATTTGTATTCAGTATAGGTTAGGTAATTACGGTTTGTGGTGAACTAAAATGGTCACCCATTCAAGACAGACCATTATTAATGTTGTCATTGTCATGTGGTGTTCTCAGGTGGTCACCCAGCCAATCGTGATCATTATTGTTCAGACCAATCTTGTCTTATCCCTTTATTAGTCCTTTTTCTGTTCATGTATTGATTTTTGTATGTTAACGATTAATGAGGGAGTCTGCCATGGTTCATGTAGAGAGAAGTTTTGATTTGAGCTGGATTTTGGTAGTCTCCATGATTATTTAGTTTCTATATCTTACTGTCCTTGTTGTAACATTCGAATCTTGGGGAAGGTTCTGGTGACCCATTGTGATTCTGCATTATTCTGTAAAGTAGATATCCAGAAGGTTATACTGAATGAATTACTTTCTTTTATTACAGGCTTACAGTTACGGAGGTACAACAGCTGTTGGGCATGATGCTGATAAGGTAGAGACAATGTCAAAAGTGCACGATCGAATCATTAGTGTGAAATTCAATGCTGATACTGCAGCCAGCATGCGATGGAACTTCAAACCACAGCAGGCTGAGATAAAGGTGATCTAACTAGTTCAGTCCAGCCACAGATCCACACTTTCAACAAACTGTATGTGTTGTTCTTTGCTCCATGTGCATGGAATGAGTTCACAGTTAGGGATATGGGTGTCCATCTGGCTGCCCGAATATTTGACATCCAGGATTACTGAACACATTTCTATGAAATATGGAACTTTCGATCTGCATTAGAAGTTCACAGGCAAACTTCATTTTATTTTATATCAGTCCATTTACATGTCAGATTTGGGGGTTTTGTGGAAGTGACTGTGAAGATATCATATTCTTGGATCAGAGGAACCTCCTCCCACACCATCTTGAGGGTAGATGAGGGTAGAAATTGTAATTTTTTTGCTTCACATGCTTGAATTAGATGTTATAAAAATTTCAGGAATGGCATATATAAAAAGAGGGGGTGTGTGGAATCCCATTCACACATTTATAGTCATGATGCGGATGCCTGTGTTCAGTGTGCTGAATTTCTTACTTTGTGGTGCAGCTTGCTTCAGGGTAAATGTAACGGGAATGCAGGATAATGTTTTGCATATTCATAGAAGCATGTGAATAAAGGTAAGTTCACTATATACTCATTTGAGGGCCGTGCCATAGCTCGGTGGTTAGTTCCCAGCTCCCCACCACAACGGCCTGAGTTCAATCTGAGGTCAGGTAATGTGGAATTTATGGTGGACAAAGTAGCATGGGAAAGGTTTTCTCCAGGTACTTCTGCTTCCCCAGCCAATTCTCATTCCACTGACTGCTCCACACTCATCATCATCTATCATCCAGGGCTGGCGCAATAGGCCAAATAGTGGCCACAAATGGACTCTCACACCACCCCAAGAAAAAGAAACAAACTTTTTTGTACAATGTTCTCTTGCTCACCACCTTCCATATGATGAATATAACAGGAATTTTCCTAAGTTGCCTTACAGCTTGAAGTGAAGCCAGTCAGAAACAAAACAGGGCTCTTATTTTGTCTGTAATTTTAGATTTATTTACATATTACAGTAGACTCTCGATTATCCGCGGTAATGGCGGGGAGACTTGGCGCGGATNAAAATTAAATGTCTGGGACACTGAACATTATGGAAGAGATGGCATCAGTGCCTGTTTCATGATATGGAAGTCCCTGGTTCAAATCTCAGCCTTGAGACCATATTGTTAGTGAGGTTTGTTGCCACTTCCTTCAGTCCCTCCAGGCATGTTCACAATAATGTTTCAAATTATACCATGATCCATTCCTTTCATATCCCTTCAATTCATTGTCTGTTAATCATTGTACTGTTTGACACAATATGGTGTGAACTGCTGTCAGCATTGTTAAATAACTCACTCATGGAGCTGAGCCCTTCCTGAGATGCTGGCAATTGTGCAGCTACTCAAGAACTTTTATGAAACCCGAAGGTTCATTGCCGTGTTCACAAGAGCCCTCCAATGGTCCATATCCTGAGCCAGATCAATCCAATCGATACCATCCCATTCTGTCCCTCTAAGATCCATTTTAATGTTGTTCACCCACCTACATCTTGGTCTTCCCAGTGGTCTCTCTCCTTGTGGCTTTTCCACCAGTATCATATATGCATTACTCCTCCCCTCCGTTCGTGCTACATGCCCTGCCCATCTCATCCTCCTTGACTTGATCATTCTAATTGTATTTTGAGAGGAGTACAAGTTATGAAGCTCCTCATTATGCAGTTTTCTCCAACCTCCCGTCATCAGCAGTTAAAAAGGTAGAGTTCATTCATGATAGCATTGTTAAATAAACTGTAAATAAATAAATTAGCATCTTGAATCAGGGAATATCATCTTACGTGTCTCATTCAGTTCTTACTGTCACAATATCATCTTATGTAGGTATGTTTGCATTCAGTATCAGCGCAAAATGAGTAATAATGAAGCCTGTTGTCTTAGTTTCGTAATGGAAGCATGCAGAGATGATTTTATTTTCCAGGTTGTTCCTGGAGAAACTGCTCTGGCATTCTACACAGCCTGTAATCCAACAGATGTCCCTGTTACAGGAGTCAGTACTTACAATGTTATCCCATTTGAAGCTGGACAGTATTTCAACAAAATCCAGTGCTTCTGTTTTGAGGAGCAGTTACTGAATCCACATGAACAAGTAAGAACAAAGGAGTTAACATTTGTGAAATGTTTGGAGTTTTCTGGTTACTGGGGCCTGGAGCTCTTAAGGCCTCCCATACATTAATGTTACTGTCACCTTCACATTCTGTATACCCAGTACTTATGAATGAATTTCTTGCAAGTAGATTCTAAAGGGTTCTGACAATTGTGGATAACACATAGAATTACTGGGTTTTTGGACTTTTTACATTGCCCAGAATTCTAGGAAATAGGAAAACTGGATCTGTTTCCGTCTTTAGGTGAGGAAGGAAGACCCCTACTCAGTAGGGCCCCTTAGAAAGAGCTAATCTCAATCATTGGATGACGATTGAGTGATTGAATGATTGGGTCCAGTGATTGAGATTATTTTTTTCTAAGGGGCTCAACTGAGTAGGTGTCTTCCTTCCTCACCTGAAGATGGAAACAGATCCATTTTCCGAAACTTTGTGTTTTCTATTTCCTAGAATTCCGGACGATGGGAAAAGTCTAAAAGCTCAGTCATTCTGTGAAATTTCTTGCAGTTGAATCATGGCAGTATAACCATTACATCAGCAGTGGAGTTCAATTTTGCCCACTTTTTTATATTTGTATGAAAACTTATTCTTGGTTATGTTGTACTCTGAAATGTAAGGCATGTTTTCTTTTAGGTGGATATGCCAGTATTTTTCTACATTGATCCTGAATTTACAGAAGATCCTAAAATGGAGACAGTGAATACACTAACACTGTCATATACTTTTTTTGAAGCAAAGCCAGGACTGAAGTTACCTGTTCCATCATTTGTGAAGCCCTGATTGGCTAAGGATTGAATGATGTTAGAAGTAGCAGTGAAGTCCTTTAGAGAGGCCAAGTGGGATTTTGGAAACCAGGCTTCTGTGTTACATAGGCTGAAGTTGGTCTACATGCATGACCCACTGACCTAGATTCAGTGTCATGTGTTTTATTAAAGTAATTTTCTTCTGACAGAATTGTAACATGACATAATGTTGTAAAGGAATTTCAAGGGCTGTTCACTTCAATATCTGAAAGCTTGTTGTTCACTTATAGAAGCTGACATATTTCAGGCATCCAGCACCTATCTTTTGGATATGTAACAAGAGTATAGTGACCTGAAGTAATAAACAGCAGACAATACTTTGTACTCCTGTAAGTCTTTCAGTACAAATTATTTTCCAGCATACCAATAGCTCAGCCAGGAAATTGGTTGGCTGTTGGTTGGACAGCCAGGATTTGTTTCTGTGCCTCCACTTCTGGGATGGCTGTATGTTCCACCATCCTCCTGGTTAAAGGGTAATGGGGACTTTCACTGAGGTTAAGTGGCCAGACACTGTTTTAATATCATCTGTAGCCATTGTCTGGAATGCATGGATCACAGCTTTGCTTTCTGTGTACCTTTATGGTGTGATGCTTAGGCACAGGAGAAACTTTTCCTAATCCTGGTGTCCTACAGATGATTCTACATGTCTGGCAAAAGATGGCAGAGGATATACACTTGGTTGCTGGACTCATAGATATTGGGGTAGATGTAACAGAATGCCAGAATCACAGGCAGGGATATTGTGGTTAGACAACATATTATTGTCTATGATGTGGCAGTCATAGGGTTAATGCTTCATACTTTTAATTTCAGTTTATTTTTGCTTGTTTAAAATCGTACATGCATGTACTGAATTGATTTCTCTGCTGTTTTAAATCTACTATAAAAAAAATCACCTCTTGTAATTGTAATTTTAGCATTTTTGAACACACATCCTTATTTTTTATTGGTGCCAGTTATGAAGCCAAAAGTGCATGCATCAAATTTCATATGCTAATCTTCTCCAGTTGGTGACACACGTATAGCAACTTATGATGTAATTTGAACAGACTTAAGGCATTGACCATTGGTTAAAATTATGATTTGCTGACAAAATAGTAAAGTGCAAGTCACAGATTTTAAATTTGTTCATTCACAAATGTAGATAATTACTCAAGAAAATGTTATTAAAATATTGGGTGCCAGGGCATATGGTGCCCAGGATGTGTTCAGCCCTGACTGGAACTAATATAAATACATTTTAATTTGTGAGTGCATTTGTGTAAGATCTGTTGACAACAGAAATATGTGTATAGTGTTACATAATTTCTAAACTATTTTAATAATATTTATAAATTTCTAACAGGGCTAACATTACAATAAACTCTAAGTAATAAGATATCAACATAATTACAATTATTAAGATTTATAAAATCAACACAACACTAATGACTACAGTAATTAACATTATAGGGATATCCTAGTAAAATTCTACAATAGCCTGCAGTGATTTTTAATATATTGATAACTCTTTTAAATATAAATTTCATTTGCATTTTCCACTGGCCTGTTCTGTTCATATGCAGTATTTGAAAAGAAAATGGTAAGTGCTGTTGACAGAAATACTAACCATTTCAATCCTTAGAGACTTGAATGGAAATTTACAGCCTGTTTACAGTATGTTTTTTTTATTGCTAGTGGGGTGGGACTAAGTCCCTTGTACTGCGGCCACTTCTGGCCTATTGTACCAGCCCCAGATGATAGGTGAGGGTGATTATGGAGCAATTGGTGGAATGAAGATTTGAGAAAACCTGCCCCAGTGCCACTTGTCCACCACAAATCCCACTTGACCAGACCCGGGATCAAACCTGGGCCGCTGTGATGGGAAGCCAGAGACTAACCGCTTGAGCTATGGCGCGGCCTTTACAGTATGTCAATTCAGACACTAGCTTTTGTAATGGTAACGTGTGGTTTAGTCAGTGATCACATATTTAATGCTATATTGGCAGTAAATTCCAGCCATTATCAGCACCATAGAAATTGTCATTCTGTATCTATGGCAGTGATAGGACATTGTGTCATTCTGAACATTCCAAACTTCTGCCTGACTTATGGGAATGGGGTAAAACATTTCACAACTTTGAGATTAGAGTTTGAATTACAATTTTGTGCTGTATGTCCATATCAGAAAAGGTACTATAATATTGTTATGTTATTCAAAATTATAAAAATTGTCAGCAGTCAAACATTTTTCAAACAGAATAAAACATTTTGGATTACATACACATTTCAAATTAAATGAGCTTTAAATTGTTCATTGTATAGAATTATTAAATATTATAACAAAATGATTTTATTAATCAGAATTGTTTAAGCTGAAAATGTGAGCCACTTAGATTGTCCATTCAAGTTCTACATTTCAGTAGCTGCATTGAGGATAAAATGATGTCCCTAAGATGTTCCTTACTTTAATATTTGATAGTGGCATTGATAGGGAAACTACGACGCATGCCCAAGCACTTTTCTCTGTCAATAAAGAGGGAGTTGACCTTGATCTGGAGTTCTGTCTCCAGGTTGGAACGTGTCTTAAGCAGATGTTGATGTTGTGCCTCTGCATCCTGTAGCTTTCGTTGCAGGTGCTCGATGCTGTCCCCAATGTCCTGCACTTCTTTGACCAACCTGCACAAACAGAGTATGTTCTTATGGAAGTGGATCTGAATAATTCTCAGCATACATTTTTTATTGTATAAGTAAAAGCAGGTTTGTTTTAATATTCCCACATGTCTGACTCCCCTGATAATTTTTTAATTAATTTGCAGACTCACAAAATTTGTCATGAATAACTTTCTGTTAGAGTCCACTCCATATTTATACAAGTTTTGATGCGGGCGTGACATTAGCACTGCTTAAAGAATGGTCTAGAAATTTTGAATATAAAAAGATATTCAACTTCTGTTAAGGTAATTTCCTTTGTAAAAATAAGACAACAACATGGCAGCCATGTGGAACCCACAGCAGAACCAGAATGTCCAGAACAGTAATTTGTTTGTATGGATGTGAATTGTGGTCTCCTAGCTTCAGACTTATATTTTTGTGTAGGTGAGAAGCATGGACTAGCTCTGTCACTCTTGTTTAAACTTCAAGCTAACCACAGCTGGCATACAGAGAAGCTTAAGAGTAATATTTGTGAAAAAATATCGTGGCATGATGGCTGAAAGAAGGAATAGTGGATTGCCTAGCACGGTAGACACATTTCCACAGCAGTGACTCAAGCAACGATAGAGGAAATGTTAGAAGTGGTGTTTTCTATGTAGTCCTTGCTGAGGTTATATAGTGAGAACCAACAGGAAAAGTAAATCAGTCAGAAGTCAGAGACGGCTGTTAGGAATTATGGGTTACAAGTGAATAGTAGCAATTCATGGTTGGCAATGAGTAATTTCCATTCTTTGGAGTCCAAATTTTTCGCTTTCCAGTGTGTTTCAAGCTCAGTAGTATTTCAATGAGAGTTATAGAACTGTTCCCTGTATATCGATTACACAGCTACAAATTGAGCCTTGATTGTAAGTCATTGATGATGTGTATGGGAGAGGCAGATCCCTTTGGGTTTGACTGTAGAATTGTCACAAATCTTGGGCATATAAGACACACAAGTGCATGAAACACATAATGATCTATGAAAGGGAAATTAAGAAATGTGTCTGTAACCAAATTATTTATTAATTTCAAATGACTTGTTAACTTTGGTTATAATATTTAAATACTTCACATTCATCGTTACTTCAAATATTGGAAGATACAGTGATGGTAGGACATGCTGTGATTTTTATGTCCATTTTCTTTAAGAAAAGCTTGCATCTTATACACTGGGAATATTTGATGAATGAACTCCCAGATGGTATATAAATGAATTAACCTTCTCTCCAATAAATGCATCCTGTTGTGTTAAATTATACTAACTGTTTATCTGTCATAACACACCTCCTCTCAGAATATCGTTCACATCATCTATGTATAGCAAGTTTATTGATTTCAGTGGTATCTTGCTACATATTTCGGCTTACGAAAAGACATCATCAGACAGATATACACTAATAACTCATTCTTAAACTCTTGAATGCATTCACCTGAAACTTTGCATTCTTGTAAGTTATGTATAATGTAATCACAGAAGATGGGTTTGGATACTGACTACTTCAAGCTGAAGTATGTGTTTCCAGTTCTGTTATTAATTTATCTTTCAAACTGACCTGGTTTGTGCACAATCTCTGCACAGTTCAACGTCTCGACGATGTGCCCGTGCTTCGAGACGAGTATGTGCCACCTTCAGGGGGTTGCTCTTGTCCATGATAGCTTTCCGTAACAGTTCCATATGCTTCTCAACATCGAATATCTCTTGCTGGATCTGGAAACAAAAACAGATGAATGATTTAAATTATTAAATTACAGGATTAGTGTCCACAATAAATAATTGTAACTGCTCCATTCCTTTTATACAGCTGACTACTGAATAACACTGTCAGATGAATGACACTTCACACTGTGTGCAAGTAGTCCATAATTAATACCGGGATTTCCCAACTCTGCCCCTCCATCCCTCCATTTTCACCCTTAATGTTACCATCATCGGAACTGAATCTGCATTCATTTCTGAGTCAGAAGCAGCAATTACATATATAAGACACAAAAAAATTGTGGCTTACTTAATGATGTTTAGATTATCAAGGAGCTATGGCATTGAGTTGTAAGATGGCTGATGAATTGGAAGGGATTTGGAAGGAAGCTCTTATGTCCTAAATGAGGCACTTTTCTGGAATTTGACTGGAGGGGCTGAGCAAAACCACAAAAACGTTATTCAGGATAACCAGCGACCTGGCCAGTATTCAAATCAAGAACCTCTCAAATTTGCCAGTAAGTCTTAGAGTGTCACTTCTAGACCTACTTGTTTGGCAATATACAAAAATAAATAAGGGTCATATGCAGTTCTTTCACTTGTGATACTGAACACAGAATACAAGTAATAATGAACCACAGATAATGGGCACACAGATAAAAAAGAAAACAAATGTGGACAAACACTATATCAATAACAACATGATGACAGAAAGTCTTGAATGGGTGGTGGACAGTAAATTTTGTTGTATATCAAATAGCCAAAATTGAATGACACCATTGTTCCTGTGCAAATGACAGTTGAATAGCACCACTGCTGTATAATATATTTTTGTATACATTTTGGCCCTGAAGATTGATGCAGCATGTACCACTGAGACATTGATGACATTACCCACAACTACACAACAACCCAAGAGCAGAATTAATGACAATAATTAACCACTGTGAAGTCCTAAAATCAGTAAATTACCCTTATCTTTTTCACAGAGTCCAGATAGTCCTTTTTGGGTGTATGGGTGCATATTTCAGTACCCTGCATACCTTATGCAGGTGCATCTGTAGCTTAGCCTTAGTCTCCAGAACCTCTGAAGCTCTTCTTGACAGGGCACTGTTTGTAGCATTCCATGCATTCCAAATGTCATTGGCACTTTGACTGATGAGGTTGTCTGAGTCAGTTCGAAGTTGTGCTGATTTTGAACGCTCGGTTTGTGACCTCTGGATGATGCGGTTGCTGTTCTCTGCCCATGATTCAGGCACATTCACACTGAACACAGAAAATAAACAAGGACTGAATTTTGTTCCATAGAAAAGTATGTATTCATTCATCTTATTCGCAGCTATATTTCACATATGGAGGGTCAAATCTCTCTCTTTGAAAGAATTGTGTGTATTACAAGTGTTTCAAAAGAAAGTGCTCAAAAAATATTTGAATCTAAGAAGGACAAAGTAAATGGAGAGTTTATATTGCATGGTAGAGAACCTAGTATATTTAGAATAGTGAAACCTAGGAAATTAGGACAGACTGAAAAGTAGCTTGGATGGTGGAGGCAAAAAATGAATACAGAATTTTAGTGATGAAACATCTTCGAAACTAGGCATTTTTAAAAGTGAGAAAGGGATGGGGCAGTAATGCTAAGATGGATTTTAGGAAAATAAGTTGTGAAAATGGGAGATGGATTGAACTGACTCGGGATTGAGTCAAATTGCAGGTTTGATATAAATAGTTTTTAACCGATTTAAAGAGCATCAATAATGATGCTAAATCTAAGCAAATTTAAAATTTAAAAAAATAAACGTTTCAATTGTATAGAATATTATTGTCCTTTTATCCGTGCACCATTACACAGCAATACTTACGTAGGGTCAAACTTCTCTATGCCACCGTAATAGTTGATTCCACGTGAGAAGTTATTGAGCTGGTGGCACATGTTGTCAATGCCAAGGGCAGATTCCTTGCTCTTGAGATCCCGTTCCAATTCATGCTGTGCTGCCCTATTGTTTCGCAGCTTTCGGTGTTGTTGGAAAAGTAATAAGTTTCGTAAATCTCAAAGCTTTATATTTAAATAAATGTTTAAAAAATATAATCAGCCAATATACGAATGCAACACATTTGTTCTAATTGCAGTGCTCTACACATACATTCACCCACCCACATCACAAATATATTCTTTCTCTTCCTTGAAGGAGTTAAAGAGATCAAATTGTAATGGAATTTTGGACATGCTGAGAGAATTTATGTAAATAGAACACCATTTCTGTGGTAGGATCCAGAACAGCTCTGTCGGTATAGAGATGAGCTGTGGGCTAGATGGCCGGGATTCAATTCCCAGTGGGCGCAAGAAATTTTTCTTTTCTCCACAGTATTGAGACCTACTCTGGAATCCATCCAGCCTCCTGTTTAATGGGTACTGGGAGCATTTCCATGGGGGTAAAGCTGTTGGGGCTGGTGGAACCACACATCTTCATGGTGTTGTGCTTAAATAATTAAGCATAGGGACAACTTTATTTTACCTTTACTTTTACCCTGACTGTGGGATTACAGAAGACCCATAAGAAAGCCCAGATTGAGATATCTAACTGACGTGATAATGTTCGAATAATGGAAGTATGGACTGAAAAGATAAGTAAATGTGTAATGATCTATTTGAATGGAAGGTTTAGATTCTCATCAGGCGCACACAATATCCAGATCAGTCCTGGTGTTCATGTATCATGTTTCCCAGAAGGTACTGGAGGCTGTTTCCTTGGGAAGAAAGTGGTGTGTTCATAAGGCTGACCACTCAAATCTACCTAGTGCGAAGATTGAGAGAACATGGGGCTATATCTCCACTCTTCATGGTATCATGCTTAATTAAGCACAGCAACAACTTTATTGACCAGTAGACCACTACAGTAGTCACTAAAGTGACACCCAGTGACCTGAAGAAAACAGGCATTGAATCATCTCCCAAAACATTGTGTATGTTAGATGTCCGTCAAACCAGGGTTTAAAAATGTTGGAAGATCCGGTAGAAAAAAGTAAAGCTATCTCTGTAATAGACCGTGGGGCCCCATAGGGTTGTGAGATGTCAAGGCACCCATATTTTATAGACATTTGGCTCATATATGGCTGTGAGGTTGTCAGCCTTTTATTGCTAGTAGGGTTGGACTAAGTCCCTTGTACTGCGGCCACTTCTGGCCTATTGCACCAGCCCCAGGTGATAGGTGAGGGTGATTGTGAAGCAATTGGTGGAATGAAGATTGGCAGGGGAAACCGAAGTACTCAGAGAAAACCTGGCCCAGTGCCACTTTGTCCACCACAGATCCCACTTGACCAGACCCGGGATTGAACCTGGGCCACTGCGGTTGGAAGCCAGCGACTAACTGCTTGAGCTATGGCGCAGCCACGGCATAAAATATACCAGGAAGGAATTAAATTTAAAAGAGATGAATTGTTATGCAATAGTAATTGTGTTGCTCTTATGGACTTCATGTGTGGTTCACCATTTCCTCCATGTCACAAGTAATCAAGTAAGGTTGTCAGTTCTCCAGCATGCCCCATGCAAACTTAGTCATCACCCAGGATTCTTTAGCCACCAGTGCAGACTAATTAACTGTATTGTTTTTTGCCCCTGTCTCAGACAATGGACAATGCACAAAATAACTGCAAAGTAAAGAAACAATCATTTTCAGAACACTGAGAGAATAATTTATTTAATAAGAGAGTGCTACCCACTTGCTGTACAGTTCTTTCATGAATGTTCTTGAGACGATCTTGGCAGGTACGGAGATTCTCCACTTCACTCAGTAGAGCCTGTTCTACTTGGTCATGTACCAGATCAATTCCTGCACAAACAGAAATTTCATACAGTTTTATTAGCTCCAGCAGTTAAGTGAGACTGAAGAGTGAAGACCTATTGGAACTCGACTACAATTCTTCTGTCTTCTTCATGATGTCACAGTGGGTTCTGTAGCTCAGACACTTAAACTGACCGGTTATTTGCTGAACAGCAAAAGCTCATTTCCAAATAGAGGCAGGGATTTTTCACTTTATTATGTCCAGAGGAGTACTGGGGCTCACCCAGCTTCCCATTTAGTGAATGTGTGGAGAGCTGAAGCACGAAGCTTGCCATTCATCTGTGCCTAGTACAGAAGTCTAGAATGTGCAGAGCTTGACGTTCTTGCCACCTATATGTCTTAATGACATGATGCTTGCTATGTGTTCAGTTGGGAATGGTGGAATTAAACCTAGCATTTCTAGGGTTAAATACTGAAATACTGAATCCATTTAGCTCTGGTTATGCCAGACCTTGCCTGTTTTCACGTTGGTAGAGGCACTCTTGAGAAATATGCAGAGGGGCCTCAGTATCTTGGATAGCCTTCTCTAGGTCTCTTCGCTTATCCTGGAGCAGATTACTCTCTGCAAGCATTCTTTCCAATTCTGTTGATATTTCATTGCGCCAGAAAGTAGTATCAGTAATGCGTTCACCCAAGCGACGGCCTGATTCACGCTGACCAGTTGCAGTCTTCTCATCAGTCTCTCTGATAACATTTAAACAGAACATTAGATGATAAAGTGATAATTTACTTTTGTTATTGTATATACTTACAGTTCTCAACTCCGAAGGAACTCCTTTTGTGTGTTTTCTTTAAGTATTATTGTAACTGCCATGAGAGTGGCCTGGGTTTGATCCTGGGTCTGGTCAAGTGGTATTTGTGGTGGACAAAGTGGCACTGGTGCTGGTTTTCTCTGAGTACTTCGGTTTACCCTGCCAATCTTCATTCCACTAAATTCTCCATCATCATAATCACCTGGGGCAGGCTACAATAGGCCGATCATTGGCCGCTGTGTCTAGTGGATCCAGCTAGACTCCACCCCCCACTAAGCAAACTGCCATGAGAAGTTCCTATTTTAGAACTTATTTAGATTTATTTTTTTATCAACTCCAAGAAAATCAAATAACCCTATGGAGCTGAGCCCTTCCTGATAAGCGACCAGTCACTCAGCTACTCAAGAATTTCCTATCTAGAAGTTGTTTACTGTGTTCACAAGACCCTGCCACTGGTCCACATTCTGAGCCAGATGAATGCAGTCCATACTACCCCATTCTATTCTCTGAAGCTCCATTTTAATATTATGCTCCCACCTACATACAATTTGTCCTGGTAGTTTCTTTCTTTCTGTCTTTCCCACCATTGCCCTCTATGTCCTCTTCTTTCCAATGAATTCAGCATGCCCTGCCCATCTCATCCTCCTTAACTTGGCCATTCTAATTATATTTTGTGAAGTACTGCATTATGCTACTTTCTGCAGCCTGTATTGACAGTACAATTTATTGTAATTTGAAATGTAATATCTGTACTGTTTGTTAGGTTTGCAATAATTGACTTGCATCTAGAACAAGCAAACATGATGACATGCGAGCACACGTGCATGTGTGTCATTAAGTGTATTGCAATACCAAGAATGTTTCAAATTAAAGTTTTAGTGCGTAGTTATACATTTCATATGAAGTGGCAATTTCTTGTATGTTGAGCAATTTCTTAGAAAATTGATAAACTTTGATTTGAGCTCTCTGTAAAGTAAAGGTTTTATTGGAATAGTGCAGACCAAAATTTTGGAGGTTTTAAAATAAAAAACATACAAGGGCAGACAGACACAAACTCTGAATTATGCTTTTATTTTGTGCATCTTGTGTGTAGAACATATAAATGTCATAGAAATTAACTAATATCACTGTTTTCAATATTCATGTCATACACTTGAAGCAGGAATGTAGAAAGAACATGTTTACAAAAAATCTTGGAAAAGTAAGGCTTTACAAGTAACTTGCCTTATGACCCTGATGGCATCACCACGGAGCCGCTCAGAAAAATTGCGATTGGTGTCTGCTTCATTGTAATGACTAATGTTACTCTGCATCCACTCATATGGTGTGTAACGTGTATACAGCGCAGTGCGAGCAGCATGCGCTGGATTACGTTCAAAGCCAGTCACCAAGTTGGGGAAACGAAGTGGTTCAGTAGCCATGCAGTTTGGTGTGTAACATGGGTCAACCAAAGCATTTGTTACTGGCTGGCTGGGGCTGTAAGGAAATTATCACATCTGTTACTTTCAGTGCTTCAGTTTTCTGGAAAGAAGGTGTCTCCTTAGATGTAACAAAGTGACAAAATACTTACAAAAATGTTGGCAAGTAATTAATGAGAATCAGAAACTTAAGTTTTAAAAATGTATTTTCTTATTTCAGTCTCCATTATTTCATGGTTTTTAATAATTATATTTAACTACCTACATGGGATTCATTCGGAGCTTAATAGCTCTACTGAGCTTGTCGAATTCTCCGTATTTATGGAACCCAGAGATTTAATTTAGTTTCTTATTTATTCACACAAGTATTATGACAGAAGGTTTTACAAGAATGTTAAGTATACCAGAAATTTTGAAAGGTTTTAGAAGTAGAATGAATTGTAATAAATTTCATGTAGGGTTAATGTGTAGTAGGTGAGTACTTACAGAGGAACAACCTCAACATTCTCATAGCCCACTGTGGGTCTCCATGGAAGTGGCCGTGGTGTTTGGTAGTAGTTTCCAGTCCTGGTTGGTTTAGGGGTCCCTGACATTTTTTCCATGCATGGAGAGACACGAGTTGTGTTCCATGGCTGCAATTGCTGAAATGTAATATCAGCTACAAATGAACCATACCAGCAAATGTTCCTTCATGAGGCAAAGTATCCAGGCATAACAGCACAGAATAGCCAAGCGCTGTTTTTCCAAATCTTACGAAAATGATCAGTTTGCTGTTTGCTATATGCTATGTGAGAGAAAAATGTGTAACAGAAAAGTCATTTATCTCTTTCCAAAGCAAGAGTATGCCTTTAGAGAGAATTTTACAAAATATAGCACTTTTAGTTACAGGCTTTCATTCTGTAATGTTGGCAAGCCATTTTCAGTACCTACAAAGCTTAAGAAAACACTGAACTATGTTATAGTAACTTACATATACAGCTCTTAATTCTCATACATTCAGTTGTTAGGTCTTTATTTCATCTGTGTCAGTGATTATATGCAGGTCCAAGACTTTAATATGTATATTTATATTTCTTTATTAAATTGTAATTATCTTCTAATGCTTGGCATTACTAGAGCGTAGCCCCTGGCAAGGGTACAGGAGAAGATTTTCTTTTCAGTGATATCTCATGAGTAGGGGTTTAGGGGAACCTTAGGGCTGCTTAGTTATTCAAACAATTCCATTATTTATTTATTTTGAAATTTCAAAACCATTTCTTGTCCATATTATTCCTTGTAACATTTTATTCTTTGATGTTCAGAATTACATATAACAGTAAAATCTTTATGGTTTCTAGATTTAGGGTGTTTCTGCACTTGGCTCCAGCCCTGTTATCCAAATGTTCCCTCTGTTCAAAGTTTTCTTACTTCGATCCAGTTTTCAGTGTTTCTAAAAGAAAATGCTATTCGAATTGTAAAATTCCTTCCTTCCAGAGTGCGATTCTGATTTAGGATCCCCCCCCCCCAAAATAGACTTTATTGAGTGAAAGTTTAACACAATTATTTTCACAGTTTTCATAACAGCCTGCTGAAATGAAACTTTGGGGTTGTGAATTGTATTAACAAGGGGAAAGAGACTATTTGAAGGGAAGGGTATGAGAAATACCTTCCCTTTTACTTACCTGACGGAGTCTGCAGTAGAAGAAAATATAGTTGTTTTATTAAATATGTTGAATAAGCGTGTGTATTTAAATTTTTGAGAATCAGCATTTAATTCACTTACCGAATACATGATTGGGGTTTGTCGAAGTATTTTGAAAATATTATTACCGAACCTTACAAGTACAATGGGTTTGAATTTGTAGCGAGCAAGAAATTATTTGTCATTGCGGAATTTTCGACGATTTAGCCCTAAACTATTACGGCGTGCGGTTGTCATGGCAACGCAAATCTTTGAATGCAATAATTTCAAACTCTTACTAGAGATATCGCGCTCAGTCTCCTTTAATTCCGAACGTCATCAATAGATAGAGCATTTGTACTATTTGTACCAATCTGTGAATTTTGGTAATACTGGGGAAATCATCGTGCGGGACGGTGCGGAACGTGCGGAAGCTGAGGAAAGTAGCGTATAATGGCCGATGTTCCTAGTGATGCCCCAGAACGTAAGTTTTGTATTTTTTGCGTTGACAAAATTGTCAGATATTGTAAATTATTTTCATACCCTTTGATGAATAATATAACAAAATTGCAATTGGCAAAATTGTGTTTTAGCCAACCTTACTAATTTGTCATTTTACGGAGACAGGGTTGTCGCTATTTTTCCCAGCCCCTCCCGGCAAATGTTAGGAAAGTACATCATATGAAGCCACGACCGCATCCGTCCCTAACCTTTCCATGTCATTACCTAGTCACTTCATAATTCGAGATTGTATAATCTGAACTGCTGACAACGTTAAATAGGAAGAGTACTATGTGCAAGGCTGTGACCCCGTGTAGTCTGGTAGACGTGTCCTGCTGCAGCAATGATAGTTTGAATGCTTGCTTTGCTTATGCATCAACCCAGAAGATAGAGGCAGCATGTTCCTATAAAATAGTGGTTAATTTTTACCAAAGTAGGTACAATTCCATCCAAGAATGTAGGACTTTTCAGTCACTGCAGTGACAACCCTAACTCTCACATAAATAAATAAATTAGGTTGCTGTGACAGTACAGTAACATTTTGTGCAGAGATACAATATTTATAATTTGTACCGCAGCATAAAATGTGAGGTGTGTTGTGAACGTGTATGTAAAAAATTCTGAGATTTTTGTGTTTCCTTCGGTTACAGTTTTCAGTTTATTCATGGATATTGGATTGCCCTTCCTTTTATATAAAATATAACATCATGTTATTGGAACATGGAGTATTATTATCTGATTTCTAGTTTCACTGTAATATTTCTTTACCGTCTTCAGTTTTAAACTTTCAAGTAATTTTTTCTAGTAGTGCCTGTTTTATGTCCCTCATTTTAATTCTGTACAGCTAGTTCTGCTTATCCTACTTCATCTATTAACATAGATAATACTAGGTGAAGAGTATAGATCATGGAGCAGTATTGCTTAGAATGATTGTATATGTTTACAGATTGCCCTGGCACTCAGAGTGAGTCTGCCGGGAAAGTGTCGGCATGTCAGGGTTGTCCAAACCAATCAATATGTTCATCGGGTGCAGCAAGAGGACCTGATCCAGGTTGTTACTTAGTTTCCAAATCACTTTACTTGGTTAAATTGTAGGAGTTGGTACTAATTCCACGCCATGTTACTCAGGGTTCGTCAATAAAGATTATAAAAAATGAAAGCAGCTTTACCGTATGACTTACCTTAGTATCTGTGTGTACCTATGCGCATGCGTGTGCATGCACACACGCGCACGCATTCCCCCCCTTCGTGTCAGCTTCTTTGCTTTATTTTGGAAGTATCTTATTTATGCTTATGTGACCTGAACATAATGATAAATTAAATTAGTGTAAACTAACAAAAGCTAAGCTTTTACCAATTTGGATTGATCAGATAAATATACAGGTGTGCCATGATATAAGAATGATATTTTTTTAAGCACAAATGCAGACATTTATTGGTACAGTGTAATTATGTCTGAACCTTATGCAAGTAAACCAGATGTCATCATATCCTAAAGCTGTGTCTCAGAAAGCTGTTAGTGATTCTGAGAAGAAAGAGTAAGCTATCTTAAGTAAAAAAAGCAAAGGTATCCCTGTAAGAGGCCGTGGAGGCCCATAGGGTTGTGAGATGTTGAGGTTCCCACATTTTGTAGACAATCGGCTCATAGATAGTGATAAGGTTGTCAGTTCTACGCGCCGGCCGCCCTTTACCCCTAAGAACATTCCAAGAATATTCCTGGTACTCATTTCTGTTAGGGGCTGAGTTGACCCCAGGGTCATATTGCGGCTGGAAGGATTAGGTTAATTGAAGAAATCCATCTCATCAGGACTCAAACCTGCGACCTTCCAGCTTGTAGCATAGTGCCTCAACCAACTACGCTACCGCCTACCCCAAATCCAACGTCCACGGTACAGTTCATATTAATGGTTTTTTAATTTTATTGTAATGTGTATATGAGTAAGCCGATCACAGTGGCTGTGAGGTCTGAGACATGACTGTCTTCACCCACTTGAATGTTGGGATCATGAGTTCAGATCCCACTCAAGGCATGGATGTTTGTGTTTATTCTGTCTTTATAGGTGATGGCCTTGTGATGGGCTGATCCCCAATCCAAGCAGTCCTACTGCCTGCCTTAGGATTTAGAAACTGAAGTTGAACAGTTGTGATGTGTGGAGTCTATACTCTGTGCTGTCCTAACAAAGTATCACAAAAATAAGTAAATACAATTAAATACATATGCAAGGATTGAGCAAATTTGGTAAAAACGATATCTTGAGGTAAAGCTATCCCTGTAAGAGGCTGTGGAGGTCCATAGGGTTGTAAGACTTTGAAGACCCCACATTTTCTAGACAGTTGACTCACAGGTGTTGGTGAGTTGTCAGCCTTACGCGGTGGCTGCCCTTTACCCCCAGGAAGATTACTGGCACTCATTTCTGTTAGAGGCTGAGTTAAGCCTAGGGCTGTAGTGCAGCTGGAAAGATTAGGTCAATTGATAAATCAGTGACCTCATCAGGAATTGATCTTGCGATCTTCCACCTTATGGTGTAATGGCTCAACCAAGTACGCTACTATGTGCCCCTAAGTATAATGCAGTGGTACAGAAAGAAGTATTGGTAATTGTGGCATCCAGCATACCATTATTTTAATGCTACAAAGCCTGTAATTTATCTAAATGTTTAGAATTTTGGTTCCTATTTAATGGAAAATACCCCGTCTCTCTATTATAAAAACAAACTGATTAATGCTGTTTAAGGAAATACTGCATTTGACTGAATATAAGCTGTACCTCCAAAATTATATGGTTTTAAAATGAAAATAATATTTAATGCACTTACATTTCAGCATTATTTCTGATATATATCATTATAAGAAGAGCTGGGATAGTGACGGACAATAGGTTGGATGGCCGGAATTCAATTCCTGGCAGAGGCTATGCTTTTCTCCTGTCCATAACATCCAGACCTACTGTGGGGCCCACCCACCCTCCTGTGGAATGGGTAACTGGAATGTTCCCCAGGGGTAAAGTGGCAGGGGCATGAAGCTGGCCACCCACATCCATCTAGTGCTGAGGTCAAGAATAGTAGATCTATACCTCCACTCCTCTATACTTCAGTATAGAGGGGGTGGGTTTCCCCATGCACTTAGACCAGTTATTGGTCCATTGTGCATCCCCCTTTAATTTCTACTGTCTCCATACCCTACCGGTACTGGTGCTCGCTATCAGCCCCTTTCTGCCAGCAAGGTTCCGATCCTCTACCGGCAGTGGTATCTAATAGTTAGTCCCTTTCTGTCAGAGAGGTCGCCCCTCCTCTGGCAGTGGTACCTAATACTTCCCCATCTACCGGAGGCATTGGAAACTACTTTGGGCAGGAAACTTTTTTTTGGCCAAATTTAGCTCAGAGTTCTCCTAGAGACATGAGGTTCTTTTACGTGCTGTAAATCTACGACATGGGACCCACGGCTCAAAGTCCCTCCCGGAGGACTTGTTCCCTGAATTTTTCCACCCTTAAAAATTGCACGACCTCCGCCGGGTTTGAACCCGCGTACCTTGAGTCATGAGGTGGGAACGTTACCCCTAGACTACAGAGGCCGCTTTACCTCTGTACTTACTTCCTCATGTTGTCTTGCTTAATTATTGAAGCACAGGGACAACTGTACCTAATATTTTACTTCATTACAAGAAGAATTTGAGTGTGACAGTGATCATTTGTCTTACCACCACTGAACAGTTCATCACCGACACTTCACTTCTTGGTCATAACCACGATCTGTGTACCTTTACCAGATCTAGACAATCCAGTAATGCCTTTTTCTCTAAGAGGTTGGATACAAGCCTAAGTGTGGTTTTAAGAGCACCAATTTGGGTAAAAAACATGTTGATTATATTCAGATAAATATGGTAATTGCTCTTTATCCTGATAATCATTTGAAAGCCATAAATGCACTCTGTGGGCAGGGTGTGTTGCTTTCAATGTTGAAATGAGTAGTGCATATAGTAACCATTGTGCTTTAAAGGATTAATGAATTTTCATTTTTACATGTAACCTACTTGACTGTTGTTTCATTTTGTTGACAGGGATTGAACTAGTCCGTAAGAGACTGGAATCTGTAAAACATAAGATTCTTGTCTTATCTGGGAAAGGTGGTGTGGGGAAGAGCACTTTCACATCGTTACTTGCACGTGGACTAGCTGCAGCGGATTCTGATAGAAATGTGAGTGCGCCTCTTGTCAAGTTCCAGGGATAAATGACAAGTGTTTGGAACTTTAATGAGCTGTGACGGCTGAGTTATAAATGTGACTGGCTACAGGCTGGATGACTGAGTTCAGTTCCTGACCTGGGCAGACTTTTCTCTTTGCTACCATGTCCACAGGCTTATCCAGCCTTTTGCCCAATGAGTACCAGAAGCCCCTTTTCCTGGAGTGAAACTGATAATGAATGTGAATTATAAATGTTTATCAGAACAACCTAGTATTGCTGTGGGAAACTTTTCATCAGATCTTGCACATTGTCTAGATGTATATTCAGAGTGATCAGAAATTGGCTGTGTGTCCACACTCAGGTAAAATGAAAGACCAATATTTAACAGCCAGACACTCAGAATAGGTGCCCTTTATTTTACTTGAAGACAGGAATAGTCCAATTGACAATCAGTAACTCTCTGTAACAAATTGCTCACAGTAGATATTCTTTCCTTGTCCGTGAAAATTGGGATGTTCAGCCTCGAAGACATTTTATATATTTTTATCGAGCCAGTGGCCATGTTCCCTCTGATCACTTCTGGCGTGTCGCTTAGGCAACTTTACCTTTCCTTATAGTTTGTGTGTTTATGTACAGGTGGCCATTCTTGATATTGACATCTGTGGGCCTTCAATTCCACGTGTGATGGGGGTTCTGGGTGAACAGGTCCACCAGAGTGGCTCAGGATGGTCTCCAGTTGTAAGTCAGATGTGTCTGGTTTAAATTCTTGTTGTAAGATGCAAGATAAGTGACTGTAATTAGGAATTATAAAGAGATTTTGTTGAAATGACATTGAATGTGCACAGAGATATGAAGTATGATATAAATTAATCATTCTGCGTACATTTTATTTTAATTTGTTTCTCTGTAACCATAACTTAATAAAATCTGAATTTGAATTTTGTGAAAATTTTCAGGAACAGATACACAGTGTAGGTCCCAGTAAGAATAATAACTTTCATAAGATTTGAGGTTTTCACAGCAGTGACTATGAAGAATACCATCTTCTGGGATGTTGTGCCATGTAGATCTTGTGTGAACTGACATTTTGGATGAATGTATCCATCTTCAGGGTAGAAAAATCCGCGAGCAAGGAACCAGAATGAGCAGGTGGCTGCAAACTGAGCCACCAGTTGAAAACACCCAGCTATATAAGAACGGGGATGGAGGGAGAGTGGGCCACATGGGAAATCAGTAGAGAGGAGAGGGGTGAGCAGGTAGCAGAGAGCAGGCCAAAGTCAGTATAGGATCATTGTTGAGGGCTCAGTCTGCAGCCACCTGCTCACACTGGTTCCTCACTTGCAGATTTTTCTACCCTGAAGATGGAGGCGATACCTTCCTTGTAAATGTTGGTACACACAAGCTCTACATGGTGCCACATCCCAGAAGAAGGCATTCTTCAATTATAACTTTCATTTGAAATATTTCTCAACGTGGTAAATATAGAACAGAGTACAAAGAAGAGTATGTATAATTATGGTATATATTTAATATTATATGCGAGGAGATGTTTGTGGAATATAGTATCTCTGCTGTTGATTAACTCTGTCAAAAATAAATTTATGTGTACAGCAAATGACATCAAATAGACTCTGTGTAGAGAAATGTAAATTTGCAAAGAATACATCTGGAAAACTTTATGCTCTTGCTAAGTTATTTCAGCTGATCTCAAAAAGACATGACTGTGCCCTGTCCAGTGCTCTTCAGATTGAAAAATATAGGCTTTAAATATTTTTCTTTTGGTATGACTGTTGGCTAGGTTGGCTTTACAGTTACCTAGGCCAGGCAGCCAAGGGACATTGTGGACTTGCGATTTGAAGGTCCCAGGTTTGATCTCACATGTTTATGTTTTTCCTCTCTTTTTCTGCATTTAAGAACCATCATAAATCATACATTTGAATTTTTATGTGCATAGTATATTCATACAGAATGTCTCTATTTTATTTGGATTCTGTCAGTGAAATGCAGTTCTTGTCACATGTTTCTTGCAGTATGTAGAGGATAACTTGTCCGTTATGTCCATTGGATTCCTGCTCTCAAGTCCAGATGATGCGATCATCTGGAGGGGACCAAAGAAGAATGGTATGTTTCTATTATGTATGAAGTGTGAACAGAAAATGTCTCGACTCGCTACAGTGTGAGATTACTGTAGTTAATGCAGAGTTCCACTACCAGTTGATGGTAGAGTATAATCTCCTGAACCATTTGTCATTAATTTGAAAATTATTGATGTGGTAAACCTTCTCTTTCAGACTTCCACAAAGATAATTATTGCATGGAATTAAATTAGGTGAATGAATGAGCTACGAGGGCCGTACTGAAAGTCATGAGCAACAATTTTTTGTAAAGTAACATGCTTTATTATTGACAACCCAAATACACCACCTCAATCTACAGACCTTTGTTTATTTTTCCACATAATCGCCACTTCTTTGTACACATTTCTCCCAGCGTTCTGGGAGTTTGAAAATTCCCCTTCTGTAAAATTTTGTTCCAGCCATCCGAAGACAGTGACACACTGCTTTCTGAATTGCCTCCCTTGTCTCGAAACGTCCACGCAGCTGATCCTTCACAAATCCGAAAAGATGGTAGTTGGAGGGTGCCAGATCTGGGCTGTAGGAGGGGTGTGGAAGAACTTCCCACTCCATCTTTGCAATTGCTTCCAATGTGACCTTTGTGGTCTTCGGTCAATAACCGCGGGACCCAACGAGCACAAACTTTCCTATAGCCCAAGCTTACAATCATCTCCTATACTGCACTGTGCCCTATTCCAAGTTTTTGGGTTATTGTGTCCATAGTCACACACCTGTCATCTTGAATGATCTCATCCACTCTTTCCTTGTTGCATTCAGTTGAGGCTGTTCGAGGACGACTGCTCCGAGGCTCATCTTCGATGCTGGTGTTCCCATCTTAAAATGTTTCACCCATCTTCGAACACTGCTCGCACCCATGCACACACTTCCATAAGCACGCTGAATTCAGAAAGCAGTGTGTCAGTGTCTTCGGATGGCTGGAGCAGAATTTTACAGAAGGGGAATTTTCAAACTCCCAGAACGCTGGGAGAAATGTGTACAAAGAAGTGGCGATTATGTGGAAAAATAAACAAAGGTCTGTAGATTGAGGTGGTGTATTTGGTTTGTCAATAATAAAGCATGTTACTTTACAAAAAATTGTCGCTCATGACTTTCAGTACAACGTACGTACAAATGGTGAATATCATTCTGTCATGAAGTATACTGTGTAGGGCCATCAGTGAATTATTTACTTTTTTAGCAGTTACGCTGTCTTACTGAGAAATCTTTCTCCCTATCAGTTACATTTTGGGGAGAAAAAAAAATGGTATCTTTCTGAATTGAAAGGAAAGGTCCAATAATTTTTGTTGCCTGATAGCACACCAGACACTAGTCTTAATATTGTGTAAAGGCACATCTTGTATCAGTGTAGGATTCTCTGATAAGCTGTATTTGTTAGTCTGAGAATTTGCATGCCCATTCGTATGAAAACATGCATTGCAATGTGTCTACTTTATTACCATGCACTGCTTCACGAAGTCATATAATGAAACTACTCTCGCAACATGGTCTGCCTTGTGGAGTATTTGTACCACTTTGAATTTATATGGCTTTAAATGAAGCAGTTTTTTTTTTGCATGGGTGAATTTGATACACCAGTATGCCAAGATAAAGATTTTTGTGGGGATACCTTTAAATTTCCTGTGATAGTATCTAGTGTTTCTTCTGTAAGAACATGTCACATTCAAATAACATATGGCATATTGACCAAAATCTGTTAACCTTTTTATGTTTTGGTATTGTAATTTAAGGAACTGAAATTCTGGGAAGCAGTATAAAAGCTGTCCCGGTAACAGGCCGTGGAATCCCATAGGGTTGTGAGACATTGAGGGCCCCATATTATCTAGACAATTGGCTAACAGATGGCGGTAAGGTTGTCAGCCTTATGCATAGGCTGCCCCTTACTCCCCACGAAGACTCCTGGTACTCATTTCTGTTAGAGGCTCAGTCGACCCCAGGGCCATAGAGTGGCTGGAAGGATTAGGTCAGTTGAAAAAAATCCAACTATTAAGGACTTGAACCTGTGACCTTCTGGCTTGTAGCATAGTGCCTCAACTAAGTACACTACCATATGCCCCTGGGAAGCATTGTACTAAATGTTTTGACACTATGTAAAAGATAATATTGATTTCAGCAATAAACCTGTTTTATGCTATGTTATACGTCATCTTTAGTAACAAAAACACACTCTTCTCTTAGAACTTGGTATGTGAGGCTGACCACATGTGGCATATCACATTGAGAAGTTAGTCAGTGACAGCATGATAACTCATTAGCACTGCTAGATGTGTTCCAAGATATATATAGGACCACATATATTCAGCTAAGAGTCTTAAACGCAATTCTCTTTTCTTCTGGTTTTATTATTCTTTTGTCACTGCCTACCCACATCCTTGTCTCACATAAGCTATATAATTGACCTGAAATCCCTTCAGACAGATCACACTTGCTTTTCATTTCCATTGTCTTCTGTAGGCATGATCCGTCAGTTCCTGAGTGAAGTGGATTGGGGTGCGCTGGACTACCTTGTAATAGATACACCCCCAGGAACATCTGACGAACACCTCTCAGCAGCACAGTACTTGCTGAATGCTGGACTGACTGGTGCCGTCATATTGACAACTCCTCATGAGGTGGCACTGCTGGATGTGCGAAAGGAAATAGACTTTTGTCGCAAAGTCAGTATCCCTGTGCTGGGTGTTGTAGAGAACATGGCAGCTTTTGTCTGTCCAAAATGCAAGGTGCGGAAATCAATTAAATTGAGGTAATGTGCTCTAAACATGGATCATAATTAGGACCCTATTTATTCTTATCATACTGTAGGGTTCATTTTTGTCTTCACTGGAACTGCATAGAAAAATAATTTACATGTTTTGTGGTGATGATGTCTTGTAAATATTGAAGGTTCAGTGAATCACTCAGGTATATATGTTTATGAAGTTTTTAACTTCCTTTTTTATGCTTTTCTTTCTTATTATCCCTTGCAGACAGAAACAGCCATTTTCCCAGCAAATACAGGTGGAGGCAGCAAAATGGCAATGGAGCTCGGAGTTCCGTTCTTAGGTAGTTTGCCGCTAGACCCTCGACTGGCTCGCAGTTGCGATGAGGGAACTAATTTCTTGACTGATGTACAAGATTCTCCTACCACAGTGGCATTCAACAAACTGTTGAAAGGTAGGATATTTTCATAAGCTTAGTAAAATGTGGTAGCCAGTCCGGTAGCCAAGCGGTCTAAGGCAGGCACTGTCTTCAGTTGTTCGGGAGCCAGGATCATGGGTTTGAATCCCACTCAAGGCATGAATGTTTGGTGTTTGTGGGTGCACGTTTTTCTGTGTTTCTGTACAGGTAGAGGCCTTGTGAATAGCTGATCACCTGCCCAAGGAGTCCTACTGAATGTCTTAAGATCTAGTAAACAGAAGTGAAATGGAGAGTTTCGTGGAGGTAGGCCAAGGCCCAAATTGGGGCTGTAGCACCAAAGGAAAGGAAAGAAAGTCAAATGATGTTCTTTATGAGCCACATGTTAAGATTTGTACCAATTAAATTTTGAAGTTGATTATGGAGTGGAAAGGAAAGACTATCCATTATATAGTTTCCTCCCATAAAACCGTCATCACTGACACGTGGTCCACCCAGTCATCACTAATGGGGCTGTTTCTCCAAAGGTTTGCAACTGGTCAATTTATTATACAAATATTGCGTTGAACATTGCACACTGGTGTATACTTAAGACACACAGCATTTTCAAACCTCACATATGAGTCTCTAGTTACTATAGAACTTTTCCTGTGAATTAAAAGATCCTCAATCATACAACTTAGTAAAGTGACTGGCTATAGGATGGACAACTGGGGTTCAATTCTTGCCAGAGTAAGGGACTTTTCTCTTTGCTACTGCATACAGATTGCATTCTGCATTTTGTTTGTAGTCCAGTAGGTACCAAGGAATCTTTCTTCAGGGGTAATCTGGAGAAATCATTAAGTGACCAACTACTTCCACTTGTTACAGATGTCTTGAATGCACAGGTCTTTACCTCTGTCCCCCCTTACACCTTTTTGGCCCTGTGCTTAAGCACAGCAGCAACATTTCAGCATGGAAAAAAGAATCAGTGTGCCTTACCCTTTTAGTCATATTTCAGGTATTTATGTACTTTCATGATGTTTCTTACATGATAAATTGGAAATTCAGATTTCCCACCCACAGTGCAATACAAATATCTACTACCACAGTCGATAAGTTCATGGAATGGCCGCAAAATGCCATTGCAGTGCACTACAGCGGATAGGTTGAGGCATGATATGATGCCCTGTCAGTTCATCTCTCGTCACAGCAAGAGGCAGTTGTGTACAAACAGTGTAAGTAGAAGTACGACTTCTATTGTGAACTGCAGTTAAATGCAAGTGGCGGAAATTGAAAATGTGGCAGTTTGAAGAACGGGCAAACATCAAGTTCTGCCAAATACTAGCAAATTCCCTAGCAAAACATTTGGCATAGGAAGAATTGGCTGTTGCTACACGACAACGCCCCTGCACATCGCTCTGTTCTTGTCCAAGAGGAACTGACAAGGCAATAGGTCACCGTTTTGCCACACCCTCCGTACTTACCTGATCTCGCACCATGCGATTTCTTTCTCTTTCACCGCTCAAAAGCAGAGCTATGTGGTCGTAGATTTCAGTCATCCAAGGAGGTGGTCATTGCCATAAGAGACACCATATGGGAATTTCCTGCCAGTATGTTTTGGCAATGTTTTCAGCAGCCATATCAACGTTGGCAGACTTGCACAGCGGCCAACAGCAACTATTTTGAAGGCCAATGTGAATCTGTGTAAGCGTATGTGAATACCTTATAATTTGATGCGATAAAACCACATTCCATGAACTTAATGACTCTACCACGTATAATCTCTGTACAGTAGAATCATTATGGTGCTGCATGACTCTTGTACATGTACAACAGATGGAAATTTTTTAACTCTGTAGCTAGTTGTGCCATAACGTGAGAGACATGCTCTGCCCACAAACAACGATCTGCATTATGACCTTGAAAGACCATGAAAGAGGTGTATAAAAGGTATTCATTTATGACCACTTTATATGTATAAATGTTACAGATGTTGTGGAAGCATGTGAAGAATCCAGAAGCAGCTGATTTACTATAACATGAAGCCATCAGATCAAATTATCATGAAGGTGTATATAAGTTTTTGAGGTGGATTTTTCAATTTACCTAATCCTTCCAGCTGCACTATGGCCCTGGGGTTGACTCAGCCTCCAACAGAAATGAGTACTAGGAATATTCTATGGGGTAAAGGGCAGCCGGTGCGTAAGGCTGACAACCTTACTGCCATCTATGAGCCAACTGTCTAGAAAATGTGGGAACCTCGACATGTCACAACTCTATGGGCCTCCACGGCCTATTACAGGGATACCTTTATTTTTTTTTTTACTTTACTGTAAAGATATTTTACAGGTACTAGAAATGTTGTAGTGCATACAGTAATTGTAAATTGTATTTTCCTTAAAATACAGAGTTTAACCTGTGTTTGTATATTGCAAATTATGACAGAGGAGGAAATAAATGGAAACTCTGCATTCCGTTACAGGCATTTACTTGTTAAACATATTCTTCTTTGAATTCCAGCTGCATGAATTTCATAGTTTTACAGAAAGAACATTCTTTGACATTTTTGAGACCATTAGTTGTGCTTCCCTTTTAATCTAAAGGTTTCTCTTATAAGCGTTGCTTTTTGATATGCAAAAATGCTCCCATTATATCCAGCATGTCTTGTTTGTTTGAGCTTGAGAGCTTCAGAAGGACTTTCATGGAATTCGATTTTGGGAAGTTTTACTAAAATTTGTTGACTGACACATTTTGATATTCTTTAAAATTGTGCAACAGTAACACACTTACATGAAAACCAGTATGCATTTTGCAGCAAACAGGCCTGAATTATGATGTGCGTGTATTTCCTAACGTACATAATGTTCAAACCCTGTGTGGAACAACCTGTATTTTGTGTAACTGTCAGACCTGACACCCTGAAGGTTCGTTACTGTGTTCACAAGCTCACTCCACTGGTCTCTACTCTAAGCCAGCTGAATCCAGTCCACACCATCTACTCTTTCATTAAGATCCTGTATAGTACTTTCCTCCTGTCTATGTCTAGGTCTTGCAACTGTTGTACATTATGTTACATTAATTAGTAGCTCTTACAGAAGCATAAGGCTAAATGAGAAGATGGGCGAATTGGTGGAAGGGTTAGTTGTTATCTTCTTCCCCTCTTCCTCCCCCCACTTGGAGCATAGGGCATCAATGAAATGCTTTGTTTCACTTCAGTTTCTTGATCTAAGACAGTTGGTGGTAGGATCCCTTGGATGGGGGATCAGTCCTTTGCAAGGCTGCCATGTAACACAAACACAGAATAAACACAGACATCCATGCCTTGAGCAGGATTCACCCACGATCCCAGCGTTTGAGCAGGTGAAGACATTTCATGCCTTAGACTGCATGGCTACTATGATCAGTGGAGGGATTACTTTAATACACAAAACAATTTCCAAGATTACCAGTATTCATTATATATTAAAAGCCAGGATAGCATAGTCGGTATAGCGAGTTGCTGTGGGCTGGACAACCAAGGGGTCGGAGTTCGAGTCCTGGCAAGGGCAAGAGTTTTCTCTTCTCTGTGTCATCCAGACTGGCTCTGGGGCCCACCCAGCCTCCTATCCAATAGGTATTTGGGGCTCTTCTTGGTGGTAAAGTGGCCTGGGGCATGACGCTGACCACTCACCTCCAACTAGTACTGAGGTCGAGAAAATGTGGATCTATATATCCATTCCCCCATATGTCTTCATGGCACACTGCTTAATTAGTTAAGCACAGGGACAACTTTATCTTTACTCTTACCTTACCAGTATTCATTGCACCCAAAACAGAGTGAACAGAAAAGGAGCTGCATGACATTCAGTGGTTAAATTAATTTACTAATTCCACAATGTCAGTTTCACAGTTCTTACAGAACCTTTATATTACACAAAAACACCGGTTTATAACTAGCAAAGAAAATCTATAATTCACTGTAATGTCTATATGTTTCAAATGATCTCTATGACTGAGGCTTTGGTGGCACCCATGCTTGTATCTTAGGTGTTGTAGTGCTGTATGGCATGTATGCATGTTCAGTGCCAGACAGATTCTCCGTATGATCAATCATCCACGGGTACTTTGGTCGATTTGGATCCTACAACAGAAATGTTGCAAGATATATAGACAGGTAATTAAGGGAATGGAAAGTGGCCTCCGTAGTCTAGGGGTAACGTTCCCACCTCATGACTCAAGATATGCAGGTTCAAACCTGGCGGAGGTCGTGGAATTTTTAAGGGCAGAAAAATTCAGGGAACAAGTCCTCTGGGAGGGACTTTAAGCCGTGTGTCCCATGTCGTAGATTTACTGCACGTAAAAGAACCTTGTCTCTCTAGGAGACCTCTGAGCTAAATTAGGCAACAATTTCCCGCCCAAGTAGTTTCCAATGCCTCTGGTAGATGGGGGAAGTATCAAGGTACCAAGGGCTGACCTCGTTGGCTCAGCGGGGCTGACAGTATGCACCAGTACCAGTAGGGTATGGAGACTGGTAGAATATCAAAGGGGGGCGTACAATAGATCAACAACTGGTCGCGGTGCATGGGGAAACCCACCCCCTCCAATAATAATAATAATAATAATAAGGGAATGGAAGATAGAAATTACAGGTAAGATAACAAAAGTTGCAAGTTGTAAATTTCTGCAGAAAATATTTTAAGATCTTACCACATTCTGTACTGATCATGAATCTATATATATGTTTTGATTTTCCAATTTAACCATTACCATGCCATGAATACTTCGAACTGTCACTTCTCTATGTTTTTCATGAGTAGGTGATCACTGAGGGAAACAAGACCACTCAGCTCGTATTGGGGCTTTCTTTAAATACAAATCAGCATGGAAAGGATTGACAAAAGATAGGGATGACAAAAGTATTTGTCAGTTGACACTTTTTACAAAGTGTATTTCATATAATCGAGAACTTTTGAATATGACAGTGAAAAAGAATGGAAATCAATTTATATATTTTTTTCTTTAAATATCTGAGTTTCTGTTGGTATAACTCACTGGAACAGTGTCCTGGTGAGATATTAACAGACACTCAGCTTGTCAAGAAGTTCTACATTTTTATGGGACTCAAAGGTTCATTAAAACTTTCAAAAGAGCCCCCTAGTCCATATCCTGAGCAAAATGAATCCTCTTCACCACACACTGTTTCTTTGATATCCATTTTAATATTTTCCTCCTGTTATCTGTGAGATAATCAGTGTGTTAACCCTTTATGGTCAAATTAATATATGTGATACATATCTTATGTTCAATATGTATGACTGGAAGAACTACATTGCTATATGACTCAAGTTCTTACATGAATGGGAATCATGATTACAAAACATTTCATTTTATTATGTCCAGTCCAGTTGGTAGCATCCAATGAAATGTCAATATTGGCAAGCCTTTGTGAACACATATTATGTGTTTTATTTCCCAGCCTGGTTAATTATGGAGAAAACAACATGCAGCTTTTGATATACACTGCTGTTACATGGAGGCACGTAGTAAGTAGATGAAAGATTTCTAGTCACACATTCACTAATCAACTTCCTGTCCTATTCAGACAGAAGAATGGTAAAATGGAATGCATTCCTACACAGCTTATTGCTAGTATTTTACTTTTCTGTGCTTACAGAATATATAGACTGCAAATCAACCATTGAGATTCCGAAAAATTTTGCTACACAGTACTCCACAAAACAAGAAAAAGCTGAACATTATTCCAGCATTATTTCTTAAAATTTTTACTACCCATACCTTTCAGAATACATACATTACTTGACATTTTATGTTACCTTATGGGGTGGTAAGTCTGTCTTATAATGAAGCCACCCAAACCACTCTGCTGGAACTTGGCTTCCATCATAGTCAAAATATACTTTATCAGCATATTCCACCCAACGGTTTCGTCCTGTTAAAAAACAATCAACAGAGGAATAATAAAACACTCGACTACTTGGATCCCAGGTTACAATCTGCAATATAGTACTCCAAAATGTCAGTTGGGATCGTAGCTGTAAGTGAATCGTTACTAACCGTAAAAGTACATGTTATTTTCGTAATATTTGTTGCCGTATTTATCCTCGCCTACTAGGGTACCCAGTTTGACATCATCCTGCCTGAGGACAGAAAGAACATTTTGAGTACCCATATTTCACGCTTTGTTATTTTGTTATAAAAATAGGCACTGATTATTTAATATACCGAAAGAGCTTAAACAAAGTCCCGGTGATTCCTCCATTTGTTTTAATTATTTTAAATAGTGTGTTCAATTTATCTAAAGCAAGTAATTTAGACATATTTTACTCTTACGGACACCTCAAACAGCTGGACTTCGTAAATATCACGGCTATTACAGGGCAGGTAACATAACACACGAATTTAATTTATCGCAGAAACCGAAATAGCATATTATTGTATGGAGTTGGCATAATACAGCAATACGTAATTACTATTTTGTATGTTTTCTTTAAATATCAATATTTACTGAATAGTATCCATATCAACTGTCGTTAATAAATATATCGCATGAGTACGAACATCAAACTTTCTCGCCACTGAAACATATCGTATTTCATGGCCTCCAGGGCTCACATGGGCACCAATGTTCTGCGAAGACATTATAAATTACATACAGACAGTATATATAAAATTAACATATATATTCTTACAGCTATTCGTGACTGTCTTCATAAGTTCAATGATACTTATTTTGTGTAATATTTGTATTTTAAATCTGTCTCTCAGCATAGGACTCATATATTGGCTATCCTGCAACATGGACAGAAATAGCGCCGCAATGCGGTAGAAGATGAAACTTATACTAAAGATTTGACAGTAGTCTTTTGGTTAAAACGCGGTTTAGATGAACGTGTGGTGGTGGCAGTAGTTAATGATAAAATTTACTAATACTAGATATTTTAAGTAACACCAAACCCACTAAAAATATGTATGGAAGTAGAAGAAATACGTAATCATTGAGTGCATCTGTGTCATTCAGCTGTGTTTTAAGGACTACCCTCATTTCGTAGTTGTTTTAACAGGTTAGTTTATTATACCGTACTAAATTAGAAACAAACCAATTTATTTTACTTTCTTATGCAGATAAACAGGAAGGAAATATATGTATTTATTATCCACTGTATTACGTATTCATTAAGACACACCTGACAGAAGTAACTCCTGTATTCGTTTTCCTTTTCAGATTTTTAATGCCAGAGATTGATTATACCCATATTTTTTATCGTAAAGTTTGACTATCATTTGTTATTTAACAGTGTTCTCCTCACCCGATTATGGTCATGCCACCACTGCCATGAGGTGTCTTCTGTAACACTTAACGATATAACTGAAGTAATATCCAAAATGTTTGATAGTTAGACATAGCAACAGTGAAAATTGTTGTAATTAGAATTATATAATTGTTGGTGGAAGAATGCTTTGTTCAAGGCAGTCCAGTCCCATGTCAGAGTAGACAAGACAATTTGTTATTAAATTGCTGTGTATTTTTCATTAGCTAGTGTCGTTTGAAATAAAAGAATTAGTAGTTGATTGCGGCGTTGTTATAACTTCGGTACGTTCAGAGCTGTAGTACATAAAATTGCGCTGAATTCAAAGATGTCTTTTACTTTCTTTTCAACCGACACTATGTGAAGGTTGCGAGAAGACTCAATTGTAAAGCACAGCTATGGAGTATACATGAAATTCGATTATGAATGAACGATTTATCGGAGTTTTTTTTTAACACGCCATGTATGGCATTGAGGTTACGTAACGTCTGTAGTTCATAAGAATCCAGGAATCGATCACTATCACAGAGAACTTTTTGAATGTTTGGAGTCTAGTTACAGAACTTAGATAAGAATGTAATCGCCAGGTATTTATGGCGAATTGCTTGCAAGGAATGTTTTCTCAAGTTTACTGCAGAGCGACAAATCATTCGATAACACTGAATCAGTAACATGGTCATTAATTTTCGAACGACATGATAGAACTACGTACCACAAACTAGGAAGGATGAATTGGTTGTGGTGTATTATACTGTTTTGCCTTCGGTTTCTTGTGTCCTTGTTTATAAATTTGACTGCACCAAATTATACTGCAGTGTTCAGGGGTTAAATGGGCTGATTATGTACCACCGTAAATAATTCGAAAGGACTTTGCAAAATATTATCATGACCTATTCAAAGTACTGTCTTGGCATTCATCGGAAAGGGAGAGTAAGATCAATATAGAGCCAGATAGCGTGAACTGGAAACCACGTGAACGCTTCGGATCTGAATGCGTTGCGTCATAGCTGGCATAATGACGAGCATGACGAGCGTGAGTCGTCATTTTCACATTCGCTCTTGAGTAACGGACCTTCGAACTACGGTTTCTTGTTTTTTCGTATTAATATATTGCGAGTTTACCTGTGGAGCAGCCTCATGTTATATAATTAGTTCTGGCTTTGTCATCAGTAGATTTATATGCAATGAATGAACATCAAGGAGAATAAGGGACTCTGTTAACCAATTATGTTGCTTTGTTTGCCTCATTTCCTTCCTCATTAATTATTTATTTCTCTGAAAACCATGTAAAATATACACAAGTTTTAACGTTTTCATGGCTGTGAGTACAGTAGAAAGCCGATTATACGAATTTCCAATTAAACGAATCACAGCAAAGAAAGATTGCGTCTACTAGACAAATATAATTCTTGGACTTTTTAAAATAAATTTTTGAAAATGTTAATTAATAATTGCATTAATTTTTTATGTTTCATGTTTTAAAGGGTTTTTACCTTTTATTATTATAATCGTACAGTGCATTATAATAGTAGCTTTTCATGGCTAAGAATTTAATTCAATTTTCGATTATCTGAACCACCTTTGTCACTGATTAATTAGGATAATCGGCGTTCTACTCTCTCCAGATTCCCATCTAGTGCAATATGACACGGTGTGGGCGAATACTTACAAGAATGTACGTTATAAATTTCCACGAGACCACAATCTGAAGAGATCTAAAACTTCGTTTAGAAAGGTTGCTTTAAAACATTCCTATGAACTAATATCAACATTTATTTTCAGAGAATCATATATATGACACTGTTCTCATCATGAGTGATTAGGCGCATTTGCACTTGACAGGAAGCGTCAATAGACAAAATTTCCGGTATTGGTCGGCAAACAATCCCCAAGAAGTCCATCAAAGACCCCTACATTGCGAGCGAGTCACTGTGTGGTGCGGAATGGCCCGATTCGGCGAAATTGGGCCTTACTTTTTCATGGAAGGCGGACGCACTGTAACAGTAAACTCACAACGTTACGTGACAATGTTGCGCAAGTTCTATTTTTTTTTTTTGCTAGTGGGGTGGGACTAAGTCCCTTGTACTGCGGCCACTTCTGGCCTATTGTACCAGCCCCAGATGATAGGTGAGGGTGATTGTGGAGCAATTGGTGGATTGAAGATTGGCAGGGGGACCGAAGTACTCGGAGAAAACCTGCCCTAGCGCCACTTTGTCCACCACAAATCCCACTTGACCAGACCCGGGATCGAACCCTGACCGCCGCGATGGGAAGCCAGCGACTAACCGCTTGAGCTATTGCGCGGCCTGCGCGAGTTCTTACTGCCTCGATTGCGAAGACGTCGCATCGACCTCACTACAGTTTGGTTTCAACAAGATGGGGCTACTTACCATACCTCAAGGGAACCAATGGCCTTATTGAGAGAACATTTTCCTGGGCACCTCATTTCAAAGCGTGGGGATGTGGAGTGGCCCCATCGATCCCCAAATCTTTCGGCTTGCGATTACATTTTATGGGGCTACCTGAAAGCTAAGGTTTACATCGAAAACCGCGCCCTCTTGAGACCCTTCAGATGATATCACCCGAGAAATTCGAGCGATTCCACTTGCTATGCTTCAAAGAACTATGGACAACCTTTCCGCTTGTCTGCAACAATGCTTTGACGATAACGGCCGCCATTTGCATGATGTTGTTTTCAGAAAATGAATTTAAATTTTCTTATTTTTTGTTACAGCATCTTAAATGGCATTATACACGTACTCTTTAAAAAACATTAAAATTTGCTATTCGTCAAAAAATAAGTGTGTACTAGTTTTCTGAAAACCATCACACCACCCTGCCGGACCCTGTATAAACCAGCCGTGAAGAGTCTGTTACAGCTGGTCTGATGGAGGTGCGGCAGAGTAGCAATTAAAAAGTGAATCCTGACCCTTGACCTTGTGATGTAACTGTATTGTTGTTGACAAATCTTGAGCTGATAATTTTCTTTTGCACCTCCTCCTCCTCTTCCTTCATGCTGTTGCTGATTGTCACGCATTGAATCATGGGCGTACTCATTGTTTTACAATCACCACACAAAATTTGACCTCCCACAGATATAGTATTAACGTATTTGGGTAGACTCCATATTTGTACAATAGTCAGCTCTCATTTGATGATCACACGATAAGCAGTAGACCTAACGAGACACACAAACTTAAATGCAGCAAATTCTCGTTAAACTGGGTTTATTTGGGGGAGGTCATTTTGATTAACCGATGATTAAGCAAAAGATAACCCAAAAGACAAAAGAAATTAGAAAACAAATAAATGAAAAATGTAATAATACAGACAGTGCTGATGAAACTAAATATATAAAAATATCACTGCAAGAATTTCTTCCATTGTCAGAGGGTCTCCATCATCCAGCTCAAGCCAATCTTGGATATTTTCTAGCGTGGTTTCACTCTCTCCAGCTGCTCTGAACACAGTCTGAAAGCCCGCTTGTTCTAATCCTCCTTTTTTCTAAATCCCATGTGTCTTCTAAAACATATGTCTTCAACTGTGAACAGAATTTTTCATATTTCGATCCGGATTAACTGTAACCGGATTACCGAGGGCTTACTGTTTATAGAAGCTTTGTATTAATATAATTAATTTTATGACAACGTATGCATTGCACCCCTGTAAACACATTTTTCCTGCTTATGGCCAGAATGTGAACCTGACCATTCGTTTACAGGCCTACAGGCCGTGTTCCTAGACCTGGTCCCAAGGTTACGCCTGAGGAGGGGTATGTCAGGTAGTAGTGGGGGCAGTAGTTGCAGCAGAACTGCTTAACGAGGGGGGTAACGCTCGCGGAGTATGGTCCTCATCGTCCTCATTCAACTGAGAATGGCCAGGTTCAAACCTAGGGCTAGTGTATCTGGTGATGTGATTTGAGGGTATGTGGAATATATGTGTTTGTTATCAGAAGTTAATCAGAACATAATTGAGCTTCCGTGAATGTTAAGATGTTACACCGTGTAGTTTGGTAAGTAGGACCGACACACTGTATGGTATTACATCCCACAAGACCACGATCTCAGAAGGGAGAACCTCCTCGTATTTTTTTAACCAAACTTGATGTGTGTGTATAGTACAAACTTTTGGAATGTAACGCCGCCTTGTTGGGTAGAAATCCACCTATGTTTCGGAGGAATGTATTGCTCCTATCTTCAGGATCGAAGAATAAACTAAGTAATAAACCATCAAGCTGGTGGCGAAATATATGTCTGCACGCGCGGATGGGAATCTCATCTAAGAAACTGATGAAAAAAATCGTGTCGTTTACAAACCGGTATTCCATAGGTCGTACACTCAATGGACATGAAAAAATGCATTAAGCGTGCATGTGAGAAATTGGCCATAAGGGGGCCCATACACGTACGAGTCTGGCTCGCGAATCCGACTCGGCTCGGGTTCCAATGAGCCAAACTCGTCCGTGTGTGGTGAAATTAATCCGAGCCTGGCTCCTCGCCGAGCCGGACTCGTGAGCCAGACTCGTACGTGTATTTAGATTTGAAGAATACCATCTTCTGGTACATGTCGTTTCAGAGGAACCTGCTTCCTCCATCTTCATGGTAGAGGCGTTTACTCTCCCTGAAGATAGAAGCAGCAGGTTCCGTCATAACGTTGGTAACGATTCACCAGAGTACACTGCGGCACTTTCCAGAAAGTAGTTGGTAATCTTCATAGTCATCTCTCCGTGAACCTCGAACGGGCCATAGAATGGCTGAAAATAAGACTGCTTAAATTGAATGTTAACCTGATTGGAGGAGACATATGTGTTCAAAGTTTCCATAACACTGTTCTTCAGTGGATATTAATGTCATAGGCATTTGTTTTTCAGATACAGGGTGGCTCACGAAATGATCCAGTATTTATTTAGTATTAATTATTCAGCCATGCAATGAACGATATTTAGTAACGTTCTTATTCCTGCTCATGCACCAATTTACATAAGATGGCTGACAAAAGTCGGCTTTATGTAGAACAATGCATAAAAACATAGTTGTTCTCTACTGAAACAAGAAGTATTGTGAAGAAAACAGTCTTCTTGGATTTGGCACCATGTATATGTGGTGTTAACCGACGTTTCGGAGGAACGTATCGCCTCNGTGTGGTCACACAGATGCGGTTTCGTGCCCATTTTCAAATCCGTTGGGCGCCTTCATTCAAAACAATTCATATACTTTATAACCAGTGTAATAATGATGGTCCAGTGTCGGAGAGGGAACGTCACCGGCCATCATTGTGTGTTCTCCGGAGAACCTTGATAATGCCAGAGCCTTTAGAGTGGCGCTTGAAAGAAGCCCCAGTAAATCAACAAGGAAGGCTGCAGCACAACTAGAGATATCCAGACAGTCGGTGTAACGAATATTGAAAAGTGATTTGAATTTGTATCCATGCAAAATAACAATGTTACCTAAGCTTACAGTTCAAAACAAACATCAAAGAATAGCATTTGCTGAATAGGTTCAGAATAATGATGACTCGTTCTGATGAGGCACATTTTCAATTGGATGGTGTGGTTAATAAACAAAATGTGCGATTTGTGCGCCAGAGAATCTACGTGTGGTTCATGGGAAGGTGCATCATGCACCGAGAATTACAGCGTGGGTCGCCATCTCAAGTTAAGGACTACAGGGCCAATTTTCTTTGAAGAGACAGTGAACAGCAAGTGCTATTTATGTATGTTGTGCGGTAATTTTGTGCTTCACCTTCTTGCTGCAGGTTTGCCGTTATGAACCTGGTGGCCCATGCAGGATGGAGCCAGGCTGCACACAGTGATCATTGTTTTGTACTTTCTGCATGACATTTTCAAGTTGCGTGTCATCTCAAACCGATTTCCTGATTGTTTGGGGTGTGGACAGAACTGGCCCCCAGATAGTCCTGATTTAAACCCAAGTTTTATGATACGGTTTCTTTGATGTGATTCACAAGCATGGAGTTTTATTCTTTGTGTGATGGATTTTATATTTCAGTGTGACATGGCTGGTAAGGAGGAACAGCATATGTGGGAGTCTGAAGATGAGCCAGACATCACAGGTGAGTCAACATTTGGGGGACAGTGGCATTTTATGGCAATGTCAGTAGCTATACTCTGTAACATCTGAATGATAGTTGATGAATAGGAAAGGATTTGGAAGAAAGCAATCCCGGCCTAATGCATGGTACTGTTCTGGAAATTGCATGGAGGGATTGAGGGAAACCACAGAGAATCCATAATCAGGAGCACAGATTTCTCAAGCAAGATTCAAACTGATCACCTCCCAAATACAAGTGAAGCCTGTCACTGCCATGCTGCTGTGTTTGGTGATTGACGATAAATCTGAAATATTTAAATTCTCAGCTAAGCCCCCAGAATGTCATAAAGAAACTTTCATCTAAAGCCCCCTCTGAAGGTATGTCATGCCTTGAGTGAGCAGTCTTATGAAAGAAAAGTCCTATGTGTTCAGCATGATCTCTGGTATGCAGTCTTGATTCCCCCATTGTGTGTTAAAATAAAATCTGTTAAAGATGGTGTAACAATTGACATTTACTGTCAGATTGTGACACACCCTCAAATATGTTTAGACGCATTACAATTTAGGAGTAGAGAGGGTCCTGACTGAAGAATACCCTAAATTATGAATATGAAGAGTTTGTGATAGTGATATAATGTTTTTAATATATTATTTTTAGATACTGGTGGTAAAAAATGTCTGAAATTTAGCCTTTTCAGAACCAGCTCCAAGCACAGTTGCACCTGTCTAATTTGTCCACAAGGTCATCCATAAATAAACTGATTTTCTGTTGTATTATTTTCTTCACTCTGTCATTGAATACATTCATGTTATATGCTCTTGAAACATCTGAATTTTCACACTTGTTCAAAAAGTGAAAGTTGAAGATTTACAAAACTCTTTCCCCAAGCAAAAATCAAAGAAATAACAATAAGAATAGGAAATGAAGAAATACTGGTGAGAAGAATCTGGTCTTATGGGTAGTGTGTAATTTTGCCCCCACCCCCCCCCCCCNGACAGTGTTAGAAAGAAGTTTTCCCATAATAATATCTTGTGTTCCTCCTTCCACATCCTTCACAAGCCTACTTCCGTTTGTTATTATTTGTTATTATATGGCCAGGGGTATATTCCTGAAAGTCCTTGTTACATGATAATTATACATTATTAGGTGAAGATATGAATAGCAAACAGCTCATGAAATGCACATGCTTAAAAAGGCATATGCATTTGTCTCAAATAGAGAGGTCTGAGATTAAGTCATATACGTATTATTTATGTCTGATATCACTGTTTTAAAATAGGTGTCAGGGTGATGCCTCTGCACTCAAAAAACATTAATGTATGTTCACTTTTTCCGAGTTTTTTTTTTGGGGGGGGGTTGTGTGAATTCTTTATTTTTGTTTCCTTTGAGGAAGATTTGTAGGCTATGAAATGTTCTTTTAGACTAGGAATTAGATACCTGGTAACTGTAGGTTACTGGTTAATAAGGGTTTAATAAAACTGATACTTCTGATAGCAGTGTGATGGTTTTTATTAACAAGATTCTTCAACAGAGTGTCCTCCAATTGGTGTTAAAAATATTACAGTATTTTCTGTAATTCAAAATATAAATTATGTGGTTAGAGACCATGCACTGCATCAGTCCCCCATCCAAGGAGGCCTAAGTAGGATTCATGGATTGAAAAGTTAATTCTAAAGTGGAACAAACCAGAGGGTCTAATCTGTAACAGTTAAGGATGAAAGTTTTGAAATAGTGAAACTGGGATTTAGTGTATATATTTTCCTACATATGATAATGTAACAGGAAGACACATATTCTGCCTTCCTAAAGAATCTCTGTCTTTATGGTGAATCTTCAAAACGAGATGCAGAAATTACTGAATCTGATGCTCAGCATGAGATCAAAATTTTTCTTTGATGCAGATGTTACTCTTATTTTGGAGTATGTCTTACAGAGCCAGACTATATGATGTCATAACCCTAAAGACCACAATATGAATTTTCACTCCCATGAAAATCTATAAACTCAGACCTCAAATCCCACTCCTTTTGTGCCTTGCTTTTATTCCTTTAATTTGGCTAAGTTCTTAGGATAAATACGAGGTATGTAACCATGTGGTCTCAGGTCTGTAGCGAAGTTGCCTGTAGACCAAGATGACTGGCTATTTGGTTGTTTTGTGACACTGTCCATTTGTTGGGTTATGTAACATTGAATGAAATGTAGTAGATAATTGTAATAAGTTGGGGATGCAACAGGTATAATCTGTTTTAAGATATTTTATGGTCTGAAGAACTTAACACACAGTAACTCTCAGGATAGCCAGTCACTTGCCAAGATTTGAATTAAGTGGTTCTAGAATTGTGTAAACTGGTGCAGTAATTCTAGTGACTTGAACTGTTCATAAACAGGAGATTTTCCTCACATTTAGCAAAGGATACACTTGTTGAAGTGTGAAGCAAGAAAGATTTGGAGAAATGAGATTTAGGGCAAGATGTTTATGACCATTGATGCAGACATGGATATTAGGAGGATAGCAGGGCACAAGAATAAAGAGCAGTGCCAGGAAATAGGAAGAAATATGACTGAATAAAAATGAAGCATAAAAGGATGATACAGAAGCATGGTAGTGAAGTAAAATTATGTTTAGATGACTGGTAATTAGTAAGAGTAGTAACAGAGTATGTATAATTAAAATGTTGCTATATTATAAATGAGTTCTGTACTGTAGAAATAATTTAAGTTGGATGCTATTTGTTCATTCATACATTATTCATTTATTCATTGACTTACTCGCTCATCCATTCATTCATTTGTTGATTGATTGATTGATCGATCGATCGATTCTTTATTTACAGAAGAGAAGGTTGTGGCTATGATATTTGCAGAGTGCGACACTGAGGGAACAGGGAAGGTTCCTGTGCTGAAGCTGATGCATTTTATGTTTATTAAGGCCGACCAAAACCTGGACAGGTGGGTGTATGGCTACATGAAATACAGTAGTTATTGTCATTGATGAGAAACTGGTTTTGAGAGCCCACAATTTTCGATGGGAAGTGTCACAAGGACTTATTCTTCGCCTGCTGCTTTTCATAATATATATGAATGATTTTCCCTCAAGTGTTCAGGCCTCCAAAAATAGTTTATTTGCAGATGACAGAAATATATTATTAACTGGGAAGAATGATAGTGACTTGCAAGAGAAAGTAATTACTGTCATGTAACAGATGAGGTTATAATTTAAAAGAGTCCTCATCAATATTAAAAAAAAAAGCAGCAAGCTAAAATTGACATATTTAAAAATAAGTTCAGTAAGACCAAAAATTTAGATAAATTGAAAAAAAAAATGTTTTCTGAGATAGAGCTATGAATGTTATATCCCACATAAAGTAGTGTTAAGATGCACTCAGACAAGCAACACACCATGTCCTCACACAAGTTGCAAAGTGCACTGATGTTGACATTGGAATTTTCGAAATTATATTATACCAGGTAAACTGTAACAACTTTGTCACTTGAGCAATAAATACCGGTATTAGAAACAGTACGTAATATCTCTTTCTTATCAACAATTTTGGAACTCCACAGTGAAATAGCTGTAGCTTGGAAACTGTTTGGATTGGGACACGCGTACACATACACTTTTTTTGCCTAGAATTACCGATACTATGACGTCCCAGAATATTGACTTTTCCTCAGTTGCGCAGCATAGAGTTGTTATGTTTGGAAATATGAGGGATTTTGTTCAGGGTCGAATTTGACAGTGATTTTTCCATGGTCTATGTTTGTTGTCTTGACAACTTGTGCTGTCAGTGTGAGGCCTGATTATATATTTTATTGGACCAAAGACGTATGATGTGTAGTCATCATGAATTTGTAATGTGTGACATGTTTTATATCCAGCCCTATGGGGAGATGATTGGATTGATGAAGTGAAAATAAATGTAAATGTAAATTGTATTTTTAAGCCATGTTACTCTGCAGCTAACTTACACATTATGAATGTCTCAGTTTCATGGGAGAAGTGTCAGCTTGTGTGTAAGCTTACAAAATACCTCACAGTGTATTCACAGCTACAGTACTTGCCAAAGACAAAACTTACATAATAATCTGTGGAAAAGGAATGTTGTGAATACTTACATTTAGTTATACAACAAGCTTCCAAGTCATATAAAGGAAATAAAAGATGCACATATGTAAAATAAAATTGAAATGGTCACATACTTTCTATCAGCAAATATGTGAATGATTAATGCAAGTACCTTTAAAGCTTTGTTTTCTGTTGTCCACCACATTAACACTGCCAATTATAAAAGTTCATTCACAAAAGCAAAAGCATAACCTTCTAAAAATGGAAGCAAAGGCCTAACCTATTAAAAACAAATAAAATGTCTGACCTTGTTTACTTGTTGAATGCAGATTGTTAGCTTAGGTTTTCGGTTTGTGTGGGAGTCTGTGACTGTGAGTTTGTGCACACAATATGTACTGCATAATGTAAAACTGATATTTCCTGCTCCTACTTATGGCCACTCCCTGACAGATCAGAATGGAAAAGGAGTGTGAAGCTAGATGAGTCTGTAGACTGTAATGAGACCCTTCTGCTCTGAAGACGAAGGCTTCATGCCCCCTTCAAAACGTTGGAAATGATCTGCTACACTGCATGACACTACATCCCAAGAAACTAATCTTTGTAGTAACTGACATGGGAACTTCACATCTCGCATCTATTGAGACAAGATTTCCCACAGACTTTTGGTTTCCTGTGTTTTACAGCCATTCAATTAACAAGGTTTAAAAGTTTCAAAAAGAATAATAATATTGGTGAGAAAGACTGCTGTCCCACCGTGAAATTTCAGCATGTTTTACATGACAGTCTTGTGGACAGAATATTGATAATTTTTTACAGAGCAAATTTTTTTCTTTTTCCTTTTTTTCCTCCCACATTCATGGGGAGGCAGGTAGGTATTTCTCTGTGCCCATGACTGAGTCTTAGTGGTAGGTCACGTGATATTGAATTACAGATTGTCTTGGTTCAATGCCTTGAGGCGTTAGTGTATTTCTCTGTCTTTTTATTGTTAAGGTCTGTGCTTGAGGACCTGAGAGTAATGCTGGACCCGCAGGAATCAAATGTGGAGGTGACAAAGCAGACCTTTGCTGCAACTATGAGAACCTGGGCAGAGAAATTGAGGAACAAAAGTGAAATATTATGGTAAGGTTCTTGTGCTTGGTTGTTAGGGATTTGTTATCTGGGACTGTTTTTAATATGCATCTGACATGGCAGTAAGATCCTGCACTAGACAATGGAGACCAATTTTAACAAATCCTGATAATCCTCTTGTACATGTGTGCTGTGAGGAATTTATTGTCCGGAATCATTTTTACTGATAATGCCTGGGAATTTGGACTCTGAGATTGGGCATTAATACAATGTTTCTCAACAGACCATACTGGTCACTTTATTAACTTCTTGCTAGACACTAATTTGTTGAAGTTTTCATTGAACACATTAATGTTCTCAGTTACCTCTGTTGAAACTTGTTCTTTTTGTTAAAATTTTGTTATCCTAGTATGCAATGCCATGATAGTGTGTCTAATATTCATTGGCACATGAATCTCATCTCATGACATATATCTGATATACACAATGTTCTTCAGGAGTCATTCCCTCACATCTTCAGGTAATTGATTGTCATTACGCTAACAGATTTGTTATGCTTTATCTATATTAGTCAGGGCCTTTTGAATGCTGAGCTAGTACACTTGGGCTAGTTATCTCGCCATTAGCACACTTGCTTAGTATTCAAAATGTCTTGAACTAACTCCCACCTGTCGCCACTAATATCACGATGTATATACATAAAAATAATAACAATTTTTTTAATGTAACAACAATGATTATTTGAGTTTTCAGTGACCCAGTGACCATAGCTGTGTAAATATCTTACGTTCTGAATTGCTGTGCTGCAGGGTAATTTGAAATTCCATGCTAAAAGCTGTTCCTCTCTGAGATAATATTTAGTGTATGAAATGGCAATGAGTGATCACATCAAACGGACTGATTTTTACCATGTGCAGTACCAGTCCTGTTAACTGGTGGGCTGTTGCCTCTGTGTGTTGTCATTTTCACCTGCAGATGTCACCCAAATGCAGAGAAACTCTAAGAGTAGCTTGTTGAAGCTCAAAAGAGTGTGGATTTACGGCAGTTTTCAGTTGTTTATCACTTGTAAACTTACATTTCCATTTTGAATGTTGTAGAAATTAAAAAAATCTAGATTTTATGGAAAAATATTTAGCCCTGTAGGCAGAGTCCCATTATGGGGCCATGGCAGTGAATTGATGGATTTGAGATTCTTATGGCATTGGCTGAAGAGTGTGATATTCTGGGTTGTAACACCTTGTAGTTCAGATAAAACCAAACACTTAGGAGGAGCATATCACCTCCATCTTCATGGTTGAAGGGTAAGCCAAGCAAAAAGAAATCAGAATATCAACTTCCTACCTGTAGCTGCTGGTTTCTTGCTTAATTTACTCTTTGTCCCTGAATGTGCAGACAGTACGTTCCACAACACTGTGCTGTCTCCAAAGTACACAGCATGTTACAACCCAGAAGATTGTGCTCTTCATGGAAGTGAATGTTTTACCTCTGAACCAGCCGCAAACTGCCACACATACGTTATATCCTTCTGTGTTTGAATGAACTATAGGCTTTGCAGTTCCACAGTAGAGATAGTGTCAAGAACAGGAACTGTGTCATTATAACGTGACTAAATTCCATGTGCTTTCAGCGTGAATGATCCTGATTCTTGCCATGACAGAAATATAGGCTGTGCTCAAGTCTCGTATGATGGCCAGGCATCTCCTTCATCTGATTCTTCCCAGTTCCTTTCATGTGGTGAGCATTATACATTATTTCTTATATATGGAATAGCTGATTGGCTGAAAAGGCTTGGTAAAGGCTAGAATATATTGTAGTGTGTAGAGCCGTTACTATGCAACGACCACAAGGTAAGCAAATATGCCATAGCCGCTCCTAGGCAACTGCTTTGTAAACACATTCCCGCAGCAACAGACATGAACACAACCATGGTACAGCAACAGAGGCTGTGTTGAGAGGTTATAAGTGAGACGAGGTTTAGAGCTTAGTAAGGTGTAAGGGAATCTGTGAAGACTAGGAAGTTGGTGTGAAATGACCACGAGTTGCAAGAGTGCTCAGTTGAAAGTCTAGCTGTGAAGATAGACTAGGACTATTTTTTCTCTCTTTTTCCCCCATTGAGTGCTTCCTGTTGTGTATCATATATTATTTCTTACTGAATACCATCACAACACAACATTAATAACAATTGTAAGCAGCTCTAGAATATACCTTTGCTACATGTTTCAGCTTTCAATAAGGCCATCATCAGGCAAATACCTTAAACCTTTTGTTATTGAATTGCATGTTAAATATAAGTCATATTGCTAAACTTCCAAGTGTATACAGTGGTATAAAATGATATGAGTGAATACAAATATAAATTACAATAAAAGTCACTTTCAGAGTTTCTGTTGGTTCCTCTCATCATCGCTGGTGATGCTCTTTATCACTCAAAGAGGCATACCCATGCTTGATGTTATCTGCTGTCATGGCTTGGATGCTGGGGTCAGGATTTGGCTGTGTAGAAAGAATGGATAAAACAAAGATACTGAGAAGGATTATACAATTTCTTTATTTCACATTTACAGTCAACACAACAATTAAAATTTGAAGGAAAGGGACACACAACGTAATGGTTTAGTCAGGTACTGGAGTAACTGTGTGGAGGAGGTCATCCGGATTCAGTGATAATCCAGATTAAAGAAGCAAAAGTAGCCCTAAAAGAAATGGAAAATTGGATGATATAGGTCGTGCAAATGAAAATAAATAACAGAAATATCACTGTAAAGCGTACATTTAAAAACTATAAAAAACATACATTTATTCATCAATGGAAGACCCAGAAGTTGTACTTGCTTTTGAACGTAATAATGTGGGTTTGAAGAAACTGTCTCAAGTTTTGTCTGAACAGACAAGTGACTCATCTGTCTTCCTAAATGTCATGTGTACTAGCGTGGTTGGTTGAAGCACTATGCAACAAGTGGAAAATCACGGGTTCAAATCCCAATGAGGTCGTTGGATTTTTCAGTTGACCTAATCTTTCCAGTCACACTATGGCACTGGGGTTGACTAAGCTTGTAACAGAAATAAATACGAGAAATCTTCCTGGGGTGTAAAGAGCGGCTGGTGCATAAGGCTGACAACCTCACCACCATCTGTCAGCTGATTTCAAGAAAATGTGGGAGCCTTGATGTCTCACAACCCTGTTGGCCTCTAGAGCCTGTTACAGGGAAACTTTTTTTTTACTTAACTATGAACATCATTTTTTATTTTTCATGTATCTATCCGGATTATCTGACATCTGGATTAACTGTAACTGGATTCGTGAGGGTTTACTCTGACTATTTTAACCCTTTAACCTTGAAGCACACAAGAAAGCCATACTGATGGATCTGGACATCGAATCAAAGTGCCCATTAGGTATTTAAGTATCTATAATTTCTTGGGTGGCTGACTGACTTTCGGTGCTGACACAGTTGAATGGATGTATAGAGCCTTCATTCTTTGTCACTTTGGAGGTCATTGGTGAAGCATAACATAAAAGAGAAAGAGAAACCTGCCTCTACAGTATCATCAAGAGAAAGATCTGGAATCAGAGAACTGAGATTTTCCAGAAACCCATAATTGTGACCATTCATGTGTAAAATTGTTGTAAATAAAAGAGTGCCAGCTCTGATCATACTAGAACTCTGCATTCTTCCCACAGAGTGCATTTATATGATCTGTATGGTTCCTGAGATAAACAGTGGTTGTTTTTCTGAACAACATTAAAGGTTCATTTTTTTAGTGGAGACAGTGTGTTTTCTGTGAGGTATGAACTATACTTTTATGTATTATGTAGAAGAGATTCAGTCTTTGAAGGGCTAATTAAGCATCATTTGAGATAAAGTGAGAGGAAGTGGAGATATAATTCCATACCTACTTAACCTTGACACTAGAGGGAAGAGAGTGCTCAGCTCCTGGCACTGGTCCCTTTGTCTCTGGGAAGGAGCCTCTGGTATCCATTATGTACAGAGCTGGTCTGGATGTTGTGTCATACTGGGAATCATTACTCACTGTACAGACTGAGCTATCTCCCATAATTCATAAACATATATTAAGTAGTTCATGTAGTAGTCACATTTTTGTGAAGTTATAAAAAATTTATAATTGTTCAAATGAAGCCTATTTGAGGTGCAGACAGTGATGTTGGCCATCCACAGACCATAACATCGCTGTGTGTGTGACACACCAGGCTATGCAACAGAATGGACATGGTGGAGTAAATGTTAACAGCGTGATTTGGCTAAAACTGGCATTCCAGTTACAGCGTCTATCCAAAGAGGACCAACAGCAACAGTTCATTTGTGCTGAGCATTTTCAAACATTTGAGTACATAGTCTATGTGGAAATGCTTGAGCCTGAAATGTGATGATGGTGCTGGAAATTCTTGTCAAGGCAGCAGGAAATGAGAATTCTTGAAAGGCCAGGATTATACTATTGAAATATTCATGAATGATGAAAAGTGGAGAAATCTGTTGTTATACCCCCCACACAACTTTAGCCTGTCACATATGACTTTCATGTGTTTAACCCCCTGAAGAAAGCTGTAAAGGGCCATAGATTCATGTTGGATGAAGATTTCATGGCCACAGTTTTGTAGTGGTTTCAGCGAGAGCCCAGGGAGCGCTATGCAGATGGGATTCATTGGCTGTTATGTCAGTGCTGTTCTTGCCTTAACTGCTCTGGGGACTGCTTTGGACAGTTCCTGCTCATTTGACCATAACAATCCTTGAATGGGTTTCATTCAAGCAAACTTAATATTTCTTCATATTGTAAAGCATTAGGTGAGTTCAGTTATTATGTTTCTGGATGTTATTCATCCTCCTTTTGTTCAAAACACACAGTGTTTCGAAGATTAGATTCTGTCTCCATCTTCAGGTGGAGATAGGGACTAGCTCTATCAGTTTGGCCCAACTGAGTGGGTTCCATCTGAAGACAGAGACAGAATCCAGTGTCCGAAACTTTGTGTGTTTTAAATAAAAACAGGACAACAGATAATGTCCAGAAACACAGTAATTGTATTAGATTCTAAAGGGTTCTGATGACTGTGTACAATACTCAGAAATACTGGGTTTTCAGATTTTGTCCATCATCCAGTATTCAAGAAACTAGAAAAACAAAGTTTTGGAAACTGGATCTGTTTCCATTCTCAGGTGTGGGGGGAGACACCTATTCCATTGGGTCCTGTAGAAAGAGCTAACCTCATTCCAGTGATTCGGACAACATCCAAAAACCCAGTAATTCTGAGAATTGCAAACTTCTAAATGTGTGAGTTCTTGAGGGCTGGGGCTAGAAGATGTCAAGTTATTGGTTCAGTGTTACAAAAACATAGTTTGAAATTCCTCAAGACCCTACTGTGAAACACTATCGAAACTTATGCCCATAAACTAATTGCCTTGGGATGTGACTGGTACTGTGTGTTTTTTCTTTTTAAGATCATCATGGCTCATCCTTCAGCTGTGGCAATAGTGACACAGGAACCATGCCTGTTACCAGGTGAGTCTTGTGTAAATCTACATGATTTCAATATGCTCATATTTCCACTTGCTTTCTGAATCCAGTCCATGTACATCCCTTCTTGCTGACTCACCCTGTTTTCACTTTGTTTCCTTCTTTCTCCTTCTTTATCCTTCTTTCTTCCTTCCTTCCTTCCTTCCTTCCTTCCTTGTGTGTTTATTTCCTCTTCCTTTCTGTTCCTCTTTCATTTTCATTTCAGAGGGCTATAGTGGTCTCTTGTAAGTTACTCTTCTGTTATTGACAGAGAAGTGGGAGGGAAAAACAGCTACAAATGGAAGTATTGGAGCAGTAAATGTTGAAGTTTCAATTTTAGAGTCTAAATTCAGCCAGAATTACTGGGTTTTCAGACTTCGTCCATCATTCAGTATTCTAAAAAATAGAAAACACAGCGTTTCGGAAACTGCCTCTGTTTCCGTCCTCACTGGACCAGTGATTGAGGTTAGCTCTTTCTAAGGGTTCCCAACAGAGTAGATGTCTCCCCCCTCACCTGAGTTGAGGTTAGCTCAATCACTGGTTCGGTGATTGAGGTTAGCTCTTTCTGAGGGGACTCAACAGAGTAGTATAGAAGATGCATAGTTTAAGTGAGTTGCGTCACTTTTTTTGTAAAGTTTGTAGGACTATAGTGGTGTTCTGTTAATGTTGTGCAGTGAGATGAATTCTCTGGCAGAATGTGTGATGGAGCTGAGACATACCAATAAGCGGTTAGAGGAGCAGAACAGGGACCTGCAGGCTCAGGTACACACTACCGAGGATAGCTACTCTCTGCTACAGAAAGACTACAAGAATATCCACCACAAGGTGTCCAGGTAAGATCTGACAGTTTCTATGTTTCTTCATGGCTTCTGTAAATTGAGGGAGAGAGATTCCAAATTGCTTACTGAACTGAACAAGTTTTTCACGTTATGGTCTTATTGATCATTATACAAGATATTTTTTCATTGTCTGTATTGATTAATCTCAGTGATGCTAGGATAGAACATTGACATAAGCAATGACAACTTCCTCTTCAGTCCTACCAACCACGATATAATCCCCTTCAGAATTTATTCAGTGATAGCTTTCAGTTTATATGAAATATGTAACTAACATTTTTTTTTCTGAAGATATGTTTACCAGTACTTTTGTACTCGGTGTTAGCATTAAAATCGAAACATGCAAGTATGAATCACTATTATATGTGCAACTTTTGATTCTTGGGAAGTTAGCTTATATGCATGATTTGTTTGCCAGTATGTGTACCACCATATGCCAGGTGAAAGAGCACTGTCTTTAGCTGACCTAAGACCACATGAGATGGGTGAGAGTTCTCGTGGAGATGACCATGATGTGATTGGTTGTCTCCAAGTAGACATGCCAACAATAATGTCAAGTGTGTTGGCACTAACTTCGCCGACAATTGGTGGTCGCTTCGTCGGTCAGTATAGTTTGCTTGTAGACTACAATCACAGCGTTTGTTTTTTGTTTTGTGATACATGATAGTAGATTTATCCCCTCTCTGTATCAATCTTTTCACTCAGTGAATGGAATGGCTGACCCTGTCTTCAATATTAAGTATGTAAAGAGTGGTTAGTCAGAAATTTTAGGAACCGTGGGGAATGTGTTGCAGAAAATCTATTAATAGTTATGTTAAGAAAGGAAAGATCACTTTGCTTATTCCTTCCCATTCCTTCGGTTTCCACCTTCACTTCTTTTAACTGCAATGCTATAGGAACAGCATGAATGTGTGCTTTTTAAAATAATTGGGTAAACATAAGGTTTCAGTCATCTGTTGCTATATGCAGCCTACTTACTGCCATCTTTGAGCCAGTTGTCTAGATAATGTGGGACCCTCAACGTCTCACAAACCTATGGGCCTCCATGGCCTGTTACAGGGATAACTTTACTTTTTTACTTTACTAGAAGAGGTATTAATGAACCTACGGTGCAAAGATATAATACTCAGCACATGATTATATGACAGTAAATGTGTAAAGTTTTTATCAGAAGACTTCTGACATCAGCTCTGTATGGGAGAATTTCAATGTTGGAAGTGTTCAGTGAGAGACTAGGAAGGGTTTAGCCATTTTCATGCTGTATTTTTCATGGAAAAGTATTCTTTTTAGTTCACATGTACATGAAAACAAATATGTGTGGATAGGGCAGAAATAGTTTCTTCTGACAGAAGAATGTGACCAGTCTCTCTTATCTAGCACTAAATAACATGAGGGTGCATGCGGTAGCGTAGTTGGTTGAGGCACAATGCTACAAGCTGGAAGATCTTGGGTTCGAGTCCTGATGAGGTAGATTTTTTTTTTCAGTTTACCTAATCCTTCCAGCTGCGCTGTGACCCTGGGGTCAATTCAGCCTCTAACAGAAATGAGTACCAGAAATCTTCCTGGGGAGTAAAGGGCAGCCTGCGCGTAAGGCTAACAACTTTACTGCCATCTGTGTGCCAACTGTCTAGAGATAATGTGTGGGCTTCAATGTCTCACAACCCTATGGGCCTTCACCGCCTCTTACAAGGATAGCTTCACCTTTTTATTTTTTTGCCTTTTACTAAATCACATGCACAAACAAGGTCATGTAGCACGTCCCCAACTTTATAGATAGGATGGATTCTTTAAAATGAATTTGTATCATGTAATTCCATAATGTGAACCCAGTTTTCCCCTGACTGCAGTGATGAAAGTGGAGATGTGTTCCTTTAGAAATTTTTTCAGTCCACAGTTGTAAAGATATGAACACTTTCTTACTGCTCTAAAATAAATTGCAAGTAGCAACCATGCTACCAGCCATCCTCCTATGTCACTGACGCATGCACATAGGATAGCCAACATGCTGTTAATCTTGCTACATAACCAAAGCATGGGCATTTCAATCTGAATTTCTTAACAAATATTATTTATTAAAAGAATTAGTTCAGACTGCGGTAGTTGTATTGCATCTTGTTTTTAAAGGAATTTTAATATTGATCTTGAATTTCCATAAGGGAAAAATTCATGGCATGTATCTTGAATTTTATGGTCATGTTTAATAATTTCTGTGACTCGAGTATCCTGAATTCAAAGCCATGCTGTAATTGGAAACATGATATCTTGTTCATGGGATGGAAATGATAATTTGTCCATACATATCTTCTTTATCTTACAGTGAGTTTCATTAAATTTATCAGAAAGAGTTCACCATTTCTCAGTATGTATGCCTGTGCACTTCCATACTGGTAATTTGAATACTAAAAACTATCCTTCTTGCCATTCCCTTGGTTACTTTTACACTCCTTCTCCTTGTCCTCCCATCCTACACTTTGTCCTCCTCATTCTTCTCATTCTAACCCAGGGATTGGATGTTACGGGCCCATACTAATATTGAGAAAGAAGTTTGTCTGGAAACTTTTAGGAGGCAGCCCCCCCCCTCCCCCAGTGGCCTGCCTGCCCAGCACTGAGAATGGTGATCTGGTGCAGTGGAACACATATGTTATTTGTAAACTTTAAAAGTAAATAATTTTTCCATAAATGTTATAAAAACAAGGCCCCTGTACTTGTAATAATGTCTTTCATCTGATTCTAGTTAAATAAAGACTGTTGAAAGTCTGAATATTTTCCTGATGTTTTGAGTGGTGCATTGTGTTGCACAGCCTGCAAGCCACCATGGAGTCATACCACCAACTGCAGAAGGAATGTGAGGAGCTGAAGGAGGCAGCAGCCTTTGCGGAAACATCCAGCTCCATACTGAAGTTGAGAGTGCAGCAGTTGGAAAAGGAGGCACAGGTCCACAAACAGCAGCTGCTGGAACTTGAAAACCAGGTACTACTGTGACTTGAATCAGTTTTTATTTATTCATAGCTTATTTACTGCCACTATCAGTAACTTTGACTATACGGAATGGAGTGTTTGCATGATAGTGAACAGGCAAGGATGTGGAAGGAAACAATCATAGCTTAATTCAAGGTACTATTCAAGAATTTGCCACAGGGATTGAGGGGAATGATGAAAACTTCATTCAGAATAGCTGGTGTCCTGGCTGGTATACACACTGGTATTGCTTGAATACAAGTTAGAGGCAGGCTTGAATCTGGTCAGTGATATTTTCAGAAGTAATCCGAAGATATCCGTTCCTATCGTCTGATGTTCAGGAGTCATGTTTTATACTTTGAGGTTCAGGGGTCAAATGTTGGGCTGGAGACCGTCTCAAGGTTCTCCTGATTCTTGATGTGTTTTCCCTTAGTCTGTTCCCTTAAGAACTAGGAAAATACTGTAACGGACATTAATACAATTTTCATTTTTGTTTGTTAGCTGGTTGCTCTGAAAGACAAAGGTAAGAACCCTTTAATTACAATATTGTGGCAATTCTGAAGTTGTAACTGTAGACGGGGTTTGGCCTGGAGACTGGATTTATTGACCACTTTAACACACGACTTGTGACTACATTTAATTATAGCGCCATCGCTGATCTCCACACTTTACAAAACACTACAGCACATGCTAAGTATTTCCAGTCTGTTGTGTCTTCACCAGTTGTTCCCTGGTAACAGTTTCTAACAATGGAGATTCTTCAACTTCCGCACCCACTTAACTGCCTGGTGGCTCTCAACTGCACTGAGTAGGTGTTCTCTTCGCAGACTCCCTTACAACTGACTGTTGCTTGGCTGGTGTCCTTGTTATATAACACCTTGGCATGGACCGCGTATAAAACACTGTTTACAACATTTCCTCTGTTGTTGCACGTGAATTTGTTGCTGTGGGAACCTGTTTGTTTCCCATTCGCTGCCTATAATGGGTCTACATGCTACAATATTCAATTTTAGTTTGGAGCTAAATTTTTATTTAAGACAGTCATGGACTGTATTTGTCATTTTGTCATGCAGTTTCTGAAAATAAAATTTTGTCATTGAGGTTTTTAATTTTTACTCACTCCTTCCAGAGAAATTCTTTATAAATAATTTAAAACCATGACTGCTTCCTTCCACACCTTCACAATCATTGTCCTTCATGTTTTGAAACCTGTGTAGCTCACAGATCATTACAACATGAATCAAGAAATTAACTGAATGCATTTTGCTAGAAAATGGAACTGATCCTGGAAATAGAAGGGGGCAAGAAGAAGAACGAGGAGATGCAGAAGACAGCAATAGTACAAAAGATGGAAATCGAGCAGCTGTTGAAGCAGTGTAGCCAGCACGAGCTTCTCAGTTGTCAACAGTCTGATCAGATTTTAGAGCTAGAAGACAGAGTTAAAGATCTGCTGAATAACATCCAAGTTAGTAGCACTCATTTTTTTCTTCTTCACTGCACTGGCTTGCAGCATAGCTTAGCGTATTTCCCAGTGCATTTTGATGTTAAGTTTCAGACATATGATGAAAAATTGCCATAATGCCGCCTGTGACACTGTGGCTATTGTATGGGGTATGGAAGTGTGGGTAAAAATGTCTCTATTTATTCTCTGTTTTTTCTGTCTTCCTTTTGTTATCCAAATCCTGCATCAGCTGTGTGTTAACAATGTGCCGTTATTACTCGTAGTGCATTTAGTACAGATTAATATATGACTTCAGTTTTCAGTGGGGCACTTTGTAGTGTAGTTGGTTGAGGCACTATGCTACAAGCCTGAAGGTCGTGGGTCTGATTCCCGATGATGTCACTGGATTTTTCAGTTGACCTAATTCCTCCAGCCACATTATGGCTTTGGGATTGACTCAGCCCCTAACAGAAGTGAGTACCAGGAATGTTCCTGAGGGCAAAAGGCGGCCAGCACATAAGGCTGACAACCTTGCCGCCATCTGTGAGCTGTTTGTCTAGAAAATGTGGAAGCCTCAAAGTCTCACAACTCTCTGGGCCTTCTGGACTCTTTGAGTTTTTGATGAGGTCATGATTCAGTGGACTGGAGTGCTATCCGTTAGGGAGTGACCACATGGTTAATGAAAGGAGGCGATGAAAAATATTTTGGTTACCAAGTGGACGTTGAAAAAGGTGATGAAAAATGTTTCACCAATTTTGTATTCTTGCCATGGGTGCAAAATTAGCTAGTTATTGTTCTGGTTCATAAAGTATATTGACTTCAGATGAAGAGGTGATTTATTTTACACTTCCAGCATGGATTGGAAAGAGGTGGTGAAGAAGTTCAAAGCACCCTTCGTGTAGGCCAGCACAGTTCAAGTTCAGTGGTTTAATGAAGGAAGTTGAGTGAATAGGTTTGGAGGGAAAGAGGTGGAGCCAGGCTTCACTTAGCGTAAATTATTTCTTGTAATCAATGAAAGCAACTTACAGCATCCTTTTCCCACAACCCTGTATAATGGTCAATAATTTTCAATAGTTGTTTTTACAGTCTAACAGAAAACAGAAAATGACTACAAGCTAATAAGTGGTATGATTTAAGAAATGTGGTGACTGAAAATTAATATTAAAATTTGGTGGATCACCATATATTGCTTTAAATTCTAGACGTATTCATGGCCACAAAATTTTGTATAGAATTTGGTGAGAGTATGCAGGACAGCTTTATGCTAGCAAACTCCAGGTGTATGCCAGTCAGAAGGGAACAGTATGACAGGTATGTCTGTACGGTATTCTAATGAGGAAAACTTTGCAGCTTTTGCAGGAAGAGAAGCAGTCTCACATGGTTTCTCTTTCGAATATGGGAGATGAACTACTGTTGGTCCATAACCAGTCATCTTGCAATGTCACCAGCACTGGCTGTTTGGGGGTGAGTTGCCAGGAAATCTGGAAGTTATGTCATGGTGCCATCCCATTCAGAAATATTAACTCCACGGTAATGAATGGTTTCTTGGGAGCTGATAGTACTTCAGCTAATAATTGGAAAATTCCTGTTACACTGAAGGTTCAGTATGGTATCCCTACAATATTATGCATCCTGTCTGAATTCCCACATCATGATGAATGCTAGATATTAGATCTCCATGGAGCATTGTGTAACACTGTAGGAGACAACAGCTGTAAAGTATCTAACATGGCATTCCTTTGTATAGTATAGGGTGTTGACAAATTTATTTACTTCATTCTATATTCCCTTTGAGTTTTTTATGTTCACCGTTGCCTTGAAGACCTGGCAGAATCATGCGCAGCCTATTTTACTAAGAGTTTTTAATCCAGTATTTATGTTGATTAATTTTACATTTTTCCCCCTGTAAGCCAGTCGACTTCACATGTTTATTATTTCATTTTGTACTTGGTTTTATAAAAGAGTTTTATCCAGGCACATAAAACCATAGTTGATATCGCCCCTTTAAATTCACCTGTCCACACATACTGAAGGTTCGGCACTGAGGTCATTAATGTCACTTTTAGGTCCAATATTCAGGCAGTTAATTTCATTTCATGCCCTCAGAAAATGTTTCCTTAACATTTGTTTTAGCACTATTATTCCATCTGTGAGAGGTCGGAAATGCATACAAAGGTTCGATAGAAACATGTGAGAGAAAGACTACTTGGAAGAACTCGGCTTAGACTGGAGGACAGTATTAAAAGAACCTTTAAGAAATAGACTGGGAGGAAGTTAACTCAATTCAGTTGTCTCAGGGTAGGGACCAATCGTAGGCTCTTGTGAATACAGAAATGGACTTTGGGTTTCATAGAATTCTAGGAATTTACGAAGCTGAACCACGGTTAATTTTGCAAGGAGGACTCTGCTTCATGGAGTTAGTTGGCTGCTTCCTTGCTTGCTCGCTCCCCCATTCAGGCTTCCCAGGTATTCCTTGCTTTAAAATTTTCCTGTCAGATTTGAAGGTACTTTTTTTCATGCACGTTCATAAAATTTTTCTCAATTTAATAAATCTAACATAATGATTAAAATATTCTTGTTTCTTTGTGTCACCCTGAAACTTGATCAGTCACATTAAGTGATGTGAAGAACATGGGAGCAGTGATGTTTGAGAACAAAGAATTCTGGAGAATGTTTTGATATAGAAGAGAGAACATGACAGGAGGATGGAGAAATCTGCATAATGAGGAGTTTCATAATTTATGATAACATCAGTCTGTCATTTGGGACAGATGCTAAATTAATATAATATTTTGATTTTAAAATGTGAAGGGAAGAGATTATTTGGGAAATCCAGGCAAAGAAGGGGAGACACTGTACTTTAAAGTAATGATTTTTTCAAAGTTCAAGTGTTATAAAACGTAAATATTCAGGAAAGTGCAGGGACATGAACAGTATCGGCGGCTTTAACTTTAATCAGGTGATTACACATAAGCCATAATTACTTGTACTTGTACTTTGCATAGGTACTCTTGGAGCATTTATGGTGCACACGTTTTCAAGGATCATTCTGGATGGAGGGGGTGGTATTTTTCGATTCTGTCAGTAGCTGGGTTGCATAGCATCGAATAGTGTAATGATGGATGAATTTCCAAAGGATTTGGCAGGAAGTGGTCATGGCCTAATAAAGGTATTTGTTGTGCTTGGGAGGAGTGACAAAAGCTAGCAGTAACCTCAGTCAGGATACCCTGGGCCCCAGCTGAGATTCAAACTGAGTGTCTCCTACATATGAGTCTAGCGTATTAATTCTATGCAGCCCATTTGATTTGAAGAACCTATATTCGTTACCAAGAGTTAGTCTTTCTAACACCATTGGCTCAATTTGATGGTCCTTTTTTTTACTGTCCTGAGTCTTTCACATGTATTTTAAACACTTGAATATTTCTATAGCCTGTATCAATACCCTTAGCATATTTTAGGTTTTTTGTCTAATTCACTTAGTGGGGGGTGTAGTCCAGCTGGGTCCACTCGGCATGGCGGCCACTGATGGACTTATTGTAGTCTGCCCTGGGTGATTATGATGATGGAGAATTTGGTGGAATGAAGATTGGCAAGGGAAACCGAAGTGCTCGGAGAAAACCCGCCCCAGCGCCACTTGACCAGACCCGGAATCAAACCCGGGCTGCCGTGGTGGGAAGCCAGCAACTAACCGCTTGAGCTATGGCGCGGCCTAGCGTATCTTAGTTGCAGCCCACCATTTGAGATACTCACCGGTTGGCATACACTAACTGTGAAACTTTCCATTTATGATTTTTGTCTCTGGTTATAATTAGTTTGTTTCTTTGAATTTAAGGTGGATGGAAGCAACACCAAAATTGAAGATGATGTTTACTATAGTGCACACTCATCACTGTTCGGGTTCGATAATCGCAACAGTCTTTTGGCAGAATTTGAAGCTGTGAAGGAGGTAAGGTAGTTTTGTGCAGCTACGTCTTTCACACCATGATAGCTCAATCTTTGAAGAAGCTGTTACTTGTGTATTTGTATTGTTCCACACATGAAGCCTATTAAAATTAGGGGATTTGTGAAGATATCTCATGGATTTACCTCTAGATATGAGTGTAATTGAAAGCTGATTTAATCTTTTTAAGGTTTTATTGTATTGTATGTTGAAGCTGTTGCAGTGTTTTGACGTACATTGCAGTCACCATGTCGTGATTCACCCTCAAGGTGGGGGCTACGCAGAAATATTGGAACAACTTTGACATGTAATATGCTGAGTGGGGAAATGGCTTTTCAGAACAAGATAGGTGCTTAAACACTGGTTATAACTTTCATGGAATAATGAACGCCTAAGATTTTGTTGTATACGAGAGTGAAATGAAATTTGCACACAACCTCTCTATACTGTGATTAATTAAAAAATTTTCATCATATCGCGTGTAGTGGAAAACCCCAGTGTACCTGCATAATCGTATAATCTTTGTTCCTATCTTTCCAGTACCAAGAAACTCTGCACGAATTCATGAGCCTGGATGAACAGAAGCAGCAACACAGAGTAACATCCAGCTCTTCAACTTCAAGGTAGAGAAATATTTCGGTTTTTGTCAGAATAATGGTTGGCCATATTCAGGGAATTTCTGTTGTAATCCATTAAGTAACTGGTTTATTGTCATACAGAAAACCCTCACTAACCCGGCTACAGTTGAGTGCATACTTTAAAGGACACATGGCATTTAAGAAGGTAGATGAGTCACTTGTCTGTTCAGACAAAACTTCACAGTTTCTTCAGACCTACATTATTATGTTCAAAAACAAGTCCCTTGTCGTTGAATAAATATATTGTTTTTTTTCATAGTTTTTAAATAAAAGCTCTGTGGTGATGTCTTATTTATTTTCATCAGTACTACTTAGTGTCATTCAACTTTCCATTTATTTGTGTTCCAAGATTTTTTCTTTTAGGGCTACCTTTTTGCTTCACTAATCTGGATTATTGCTTAATTCGGATTACCCCCCCCCCCAATTCCTGTTTCATATTCAAGAGGTCCCAGATTTAACTGCCAGTCTGCAGGCAGACTATCATGGCTGAAGTTTTTCATGGTTTTTCTCAGTTCTTGCTTCCCCATGCTTTCCAGGTTATTGATCATTAAATATTCTACCATTGAAAAATATGTACATTGAAATGCATATTTGCTGAAACTCTTGAGGAACCTCTTTTCTTACACTAACTCAAGGTTTTGACTTAAAGGGAGTAACACAGAACTGTTCATATTCTTGGAAGGTGTACAGTATGTAATTGTTATAAAAATATTTCTCTATACCTAAGCAGTTTAGCAGCAAGTCACCGTAGCTGAACAGTCTAAGGCATGCACTCTCTTCACTCGCTTTGAAGCTGGGATCGTGGGTTCGAATCCCACTCAGGGCGAGGATGTTCAGTGTTTCTGTGTGTGTGTGTGTGTGTTTTTTTTCTGTGTTTGTGTTTAGGTAGTGGCCTTGTGACAAGGTGATCACCCACCCAAAGAGTCCTACCAAATGTCTAAGATCTTAGTAAACTAAAGTGAAACAGAGAGTTTCATGGAAGTAGGCCAAGGCCCAAATTGGGGCTGTAGCGCCAAAGAAAGAAGAAAAAAACAGTTTAACTCTATTTACACACACATACAATTACATCATCAATAGTACCAAATTAATTTTCAAAATAATTAATGGCATGTGAAATAAATGCATGGGTTGTGTGGGAACAGTTTGTGGGAGAGAGAAAAATGTGAATTTGGATTGATTCCACCACGTTCACACTATGTGAGCTATGAGGTTCTCACAGTGATGACTGGAGATTACAGTCTTCTGAGATGTTAAAGCATGTGGTTTGGTAGATAGTAGCATATTGTCATGTATTTAGTGACTATAGATGGGGTTTAGATTCATAATTGGGTTTACTGGAACAAGAAACGTGTGCGCGCGCGCGCGCGCGCTCCCACACACACACACACACGCGCGCGCGCNNNNCACCCACACACCCCACACGCACCCCCCCCCCCGCACTAGTGTCCACAGCAGCCTCAAATGGTGGATGTTCCCCTTCTTCTGTGTTCCTGAACTGCTCACAACTGAGCCCCAGCAGTCCCCTAGCTAACTGAGTCCACTTCACTGGACTGGCTGTCACTATCTATCCTGCTTATAACATCACTGCGCCGACCGCTTGGAAAACACCATTCCTCTGTTGCTGTTCCATTATTGTGGTCATGTCTCATGGGGTTCCCATTATTGTTGTATCCATTGTTGCTGTGGAAACATGCTTGTTTGCAAAACCACTCTTTAGTAATGTGTGTTGTACATTTGCTTATTTCGCTTTTGTTGCCTAGCAAAGGGTCTACATGCTACAATATATTACATTTCACAGTGTGCCTTGTGGACTACAGAACAGCTTGCCGTGGGATAAATTTGTTTCCTCTCCATCTACTACTAACGTAAGTGCTTTAGCAATACTGCATGTTTTTTAAATTAAATATAGGAGTATTAATGTGATGTAGCAGTCATAGTAACTAAATCAAAACTTTTTTTTATTGCTAGTGGGGTGGGACAAAGTCCCTTGTACTGTGGCCATTTCTGGCCTATAGTACCAGCCCCGGATGATAGGTGAGGGTGATTGTGGATCAATTGGTGGAATGAAGATCGGCAGGGGTAACTGAAGTACTTGGAGAAACCCTGCCCCAGCACCACTTTGTCCACCAGAAATCCCACTTGACCAGACCTGGGATCGAACCCGGAAGAGAGAGAAATACACTTCAGACAATATGACTGCAATGTTGGATTTGTTGTCCTAGCAGCAGTGACTATAAAAAGAACAATCTTATGGGTTGTGATGCCATGTAGTTCAGTAAAAGTCCATCACTGNCTGGGATCGAACGCGGAAATCAAAACTTAGAGAGAGAAATACACTTCAGACAATATGACTGCAATGTTGGGTTTGTTGTCCTAGCAGCAGTGACTGTAGAAAGAACAGTCTTATGGGTTGTGATGCCATGTAGTTCAGTAAAAGTCCATCACTGTTTCAGAGGGACATGTTGCCTGATAATGCTAGGTTTCTTGCTTTCTTACTTTTTGACCCTGAATGTGAGCATGTTAAGTTCTTCCAAAATGTCATTGGGCTTCTATCAAATTATATAGCAGTACTACCCGGAAGTGAGTACTCTTCAGTATGATTGCAATATCAGAATATTCTCCCAGAATGCTTTATATTATAAAGGTGAAAACTACCATGTTTATGTCTGCTTTTAAAAACACTAAAAGTTGTGATATCTAAAGAAATTACACTTGTCATTTTGCATATTGTCACGTGTATGAGAGACTATAGATGAGGGTTTTGATTGGTGGTTGGATTTATTGACCACTTACGGATCATAACTACAAGTAATTATATCACCATTACTAATCTTCACACTTTACAAATCACTAGAGCACACAATATGTCTTCTCAGTCTGCTTTTGCCAGCTGTTTCCTTAACAGTATCCTCTGCTATCATCTTTACCTGCATAGTGCAAATACATCACAGTATGTTAGGTATAGTCTCAAGAAACATAGGTTACAGATGTCAGAAACAAGACTACCATGGAAAATGTTTGGATGTATAAATGAGGAAGTAAATACTTTTGGAAACCGATGGATTCATATTTCTTTAACCGAAGATGAACTCGCCTCTTAAAGCACAGTAGTTATTATATGTATCATGAGCTTTACCATTAAAGAACTATATTCTGCTCACCCAGTGATTTTATGGCTGTGCTATGGTTTTCAGAATAAGCAGCGTTTTTTTTTCAAAACATCACTAACATTGGTTAATACGTTTACCACATGATTTAATATTAAAAACTCTTAAATGTGTTTATAAAATATATGTATATGTTTTATATTCTCAGAATTAACAGTGATTATTTACCAACTGCTCTCTTTAATAAAGACAAAACATTTTTTCTGTGATGTTGAAACTAAATTGTTTGATATTGTTTTTCCATCTTCACGTTTCAAATGGTCAGATTACACTGGTTTCATATTAGTCATTAGTGAACTGGCAAAGAACAGATTTAGTATCTGTTTTATATACTGCAAAACTGAATTTCCATTATGTAAGATTTGAGGCTTTCACGGCGGTGCCAAATCCCAGAAGACTGCTTTCTTCTTGAATTTCCATTCATCATCATGTTTCCTCTGATCTGTTAGTGGGGCACATATGTGAGCACTTGTGTGTATCTTCCTTCATGTTTTTTTTGTTTGTTCCTGTTTGTTCAGGCTTGTTTATTTGTATATATTTGTGTGTGCATGTGGGAGGGTGTCTTTATTACTGATAAGTGGTAGGTGTAACTACATTGATGACAGTCAAAGTCCTGATATTATATCTGTTCTTTGTTGCAGGTGGCAGACAGGGAGGTGCAGGTCACGTGGCCCCTTGAATTTCGAAATCAGGAAAGCCAGACTTTGTAAGTAATGGTGTATTCTTCATTCTCACCGCCTTAAAATTTCCAGATTCAAATGCTTCCTGAATATCTTACCCTCCCACATGAGGTTTCTGTAGTATGTCTTACCATTTCATGTTCATTTCACAGCTATACTTGAAGAGAGGTTAAAGAAAGATATTTTTTGTAACAATACATTTCTACCCTTTACTAATGCAATATACCCCTTTGTGCATGCCTACTACTACCCCTACTACTGCTTCTTTCCTTTCATGTTCCCTGTGTCTGGAAATTGAGATGTACTGCCTGGAGAACCCTGAAACTGGAAGGGGATTTCTAAATTTCTATTTTGTATATTATTCTAAAATAATTTCAGAGGTACAAAGTCAATAGAAAGTCCGTCGAGTGTAACAATGTTTTTAGGTCACTTCTTTATCACATTTGCCTTACATGTTTCGGTTTAATAAAACCATCATCAGAGGCACATATTACAAACACATGAAAACACTGGCGTTGTTTAAATGTACACAGTATATATGCTGCGTGGACGCTGCTACAAATGTCGATGTGTAAAAGCACAACACTTGCTAGGAATATTGAATGCACGTTCAACTCTCGTTTTCATGTGTTTGTAATATGGGCCTCTGATGATGGTTTTATTAAACCGAAACATGTAAGGCAAATGTGATAAAGAAGTGACCTAAAAACATTGTTACACTCGACGGACTTTCTATTGACTTTGTGATTGATAGTGTAACGGACCAAAAATGAAGCAATTTCAGAGGTAGTTTCCTTCCATTCCAGCAGGCAGCTGGTCACTGCAACCTCTACTGAAGCGAGTTGCCTAGTTATTGAATGTTCTACATCAGTTTGAGAGACATTGTGTAGACCATTGGTTCTCATTATTCTTTTTATTTATGTTATATGTTTTGTTTGGGGCTGTATCTTTTGTTGTTGCAGTTTGCATTCATTTCAGTCTGAAAGTATATTTTTTCCATTAATTGAAATTTTTCCACTTTGACTTAATTGTGTTGCCTTTTATTGATTGTCCACCCAATCAGTCCATACCAGTACTAGCAACTTGGTGTATAACAATTCAGCCTAAAGCTTTCAAATCTGATGCCCCCCCCCACCCACCCAAAAGGCAACTCCATGTACTCTGCTGCAAGAGTTACAGAAGCAAGAAACTGCCATCTTTCCCGAGTTGTGCTAAATAAACGGTTTTACCATATATGCCCTGACATAGTTCTGTCAGAAAGGCAGTGAATATTTAGTAATGTCTTGTTCTGCTTCCTTCACAGGCCCAACAGTACTGGAGACATGAGGCAACAGGTGCAGTCCTTCATCAAACAGACAGATCCAGGTAATGGCTCTCATGAAGCTGCTTTATTTGTGGGTTTTTTTTTTTATTTCTTCCTCATGCTTCTCAGCTTTAAATCATTTCCAGGTGATTTGTGTTGATTATAAAACTGTATACATTAATTACTGCATGACAAATATAAACCCTTTCACGTCCTCCTTACCTGTCTTCAGATGGCAATGCCATAACTGTAACTGTAACTTACTCTAGCAGCATAAAATAATAAGAATATTAATCTTGTTTGCAGACAACTTCATGATTATAGATGAGGAACTGTGTCATGAGAAGCAGCATATGACCACTTCAGTCTCCAATTTTGAGGTTAGTATTTGGAAGCTCTAAAAGAATATAATAACAACTGATTTGTTAATATTTCTTATGTTGGTAAGGAAAGTATGTGCAATAACTGGAGTAAGAGCCATGGCACAGCTCTGGCTGTTAGCTGCTGGATTCTTACCACAGACAAAGGGATATTGATAAAGCCAGTTGTCATTCTATCACTGCTCTGCTTTCATCTCACTGCCCCCCAAGCAACCTGCATTTCTGAAAATGTTTCTGTTTGCATACCCCTTGGTCTCAGAGTGAGATTTCACATATCCCTTTCGAATGATGATTTCGCTTGTATCTCATATTATGTGTAATTGTATAACTCAGTCAGCATGTGCAAGAATGACTTCTTCACTTATGAGATGAGAGTATGGAAAAATTTCAAGAATCTAGACAAGAAAGAAAATTTTCTCTAATATACCAGTTTTTTTTCGCTGTAATTTATAACACTAGCCAATTTTCACAGTGCACTTAAATATACTGTCCTGTTTACCTGAATGGAAGATGATTTTGAATGCTGACACCCCCACACTAGGAAACACATGTGCACAAAACAAGTAATTTTAGGAGTTACATTTTTAGTGGAAGAAAGTTAATAATAGAGAATATATTATGCATAAAGTTTATTCAAGTTAGTTTTCTTCTTTAAGTCACTAAACTTTATTCAGCTTCATCAGTCTCAATCTGTCCACCATTCCCTTCTCCTGTATCAGTTTCTATGTCTTCACAGTTCTCATCATCTGTCTCTCATTTGCTGCTCACACTCTCATCTTTACTGTCAGCATTTTCAACCTTTCCCTTATCCTCCATTCCATACACTTAATCAAATATACAACATTCTTTAAATCCTGGTATGGCAAGAACCATTGCCATGGTCTTTATCCTCATGTACAGAAGGTTACACTGGGTTTCATTATCGTCCTGTGATGTCAGAACAGATTATCCTACAAAGAGCTATTCAGAATACACTTGTTTTACTTGATAATTAAAAGGTATATGCACTAGAATGTGTAAGCATGAATTCATCTGTCCACATGTGATTAGGTATGATTCACTGTGTGAATCAGAGATCTGGTGTCTGATATTAGACCTAGAGATGCATTCAACAAGAGCATTCCTTGTATGTTCATTAATGCTCTTGGGCTTCTGTTCCAAACAAGTTGTAACCAGTCTGCCATCACTTCATTCAATCACCTGTCCATTGCGTAGACACATTAGTGTTAGCCCCACAAGCAGCTGCAGACCTGTAAATTGTGCCCTGAAACATTGTGTTGAAAATAATAACAGTAAGATGCGTAATGTCCAGAAACATAATACTTGTATTAATGTACCATCATCACAGACTTTTAGTTCATAATATTCTTACATTGACAAAAATTATAAGAACACTAAGAAAAATAAGAGGTAAAAATAATGCAAAATGCAGAATGCTGCGACATGATGGAGAATTTGTGTATCCAGATTTAGGATCGGCACATCAGAGTTCATATAGAAAGATAATCTTCTTCTCTTTTACCATAAGCTTGTTTGCTAGCATGATTGTCCCTCAGTATTTGTCAAGGCATCCTAAGTAATATCTTCCATACACAAAAATGAATAGTGATTTTCACATGCATCCTATATATCTCACTCATCTCATCCTCCTTAATTTAACTCTAGCAATATTAGCCCGAGCATACAAATTGTACAACTCATGCTGTAACAGTTTTCATTCTTTCTCAACCTAAATATGAAACATGTAGATGTAGATGACTGCAGATTATTTATTGTTTTGTAGGAATGTTCAGTCCCTTCATCAGACTTTGTGCAGATAGAGCTGCAGATTTCCACCGTGTTCCATCCTAACACAGAGCTGGTGAGGTGGGTGCATGACACTGATGCACTGATTTCTGTAAGGTAAGAAGTTATGTACCTTAACATGCAAGGTTTAGGTTTTATTTTCATTCAACTGAGTTGGATCTCTCCATTATTTTGCACATTTTTGTTTCTAATCCAGATGATATATAATTAGCATTTTGACTTTTGCACTGGAACATTTTTGTGTCTGAATAATATCTGGGGATGGACTCTGCTTAGTGTTCTTATGGGTTGCTTGAGTTCCTTCGTTCTATGACACAAGTTGCCTTGAAAATAGTCTAGGACCAAATCAAATTCATTTAGAAATTGGCAGTTAGGCTGGAGCCTGCTCATGTGTGCAAGTACACAGCTATAGGAATTCTTCAGCAGAAGTCTCAGAGGAGAATGTTATGAGTGTTGCTCAGAAAGCTTTGAATTTGGAAAATGGATTATCTCAAGCAATAGGCTAACATCTGATATTGCCAGTAAATGTGAAAATTTGGTGACAACTAGCAGGCAGAGCAAGTTTCAGAGGAGGTGTGCAGATTTTGAAGTAAGGAAATAGATTGTCTCTAGCAGCAAGCTAACATCCAGCTTTGCTATGATTGGGAAAATCAGTGATGGACTCGATGATGAGTTCCATATGAGAATACAGTGTGTACAGGGTTGCAATTTGGTGAAGTGCATCACCTCTAGCAGCAGCTCGGTATGTGCAGAATGAAGATCACCTGTGACATGTATGGCTTACAACATGCTATGATGATGTCAGAGTGAGGTGCTGGAGGTTTCTTGTTAGACATTACAGATAGAATCAGAATTCTGTTTGGTAGCTGTGAGACCGTCCTCGGGTCTGAATTATTGCCAGAACATTGTGCTATTGTGTCCACAGTGTGTCATGAGGATGAATCATGAATTCATCCACACAGCAGATAATAATCTTGACTTTGTATGAAATATTGTCAGCAGTAACAAAATGTGTTTTATCCTGTACAGTTGCCAAAGTGAATGAAAGTCTCATATAACAAAATTTTCATTTTAGCCCATAACCACAGAATATTGGCAGAAACACTGAAATAGAAAGTTTATGTTGGATGTATTTTCCTAATACCACATCATGTACCAGGAATTTATTTCTGATGGTGCTGTAGAAGTGTGTAAGAAATGTTTACCTATCTTTGGGAGGCAGTTCATGTGAAGTTTCCTGTAGCGGGTGACCATAAGCTGGGTTCTTTTCCATAGTAACAGTCACTGCTTGTGCAGCAGAAACACACCAAGCAATAATGTGCTGCCTTCCATCCTGACATTGCACTTTGTGTTATTCCCTCTTTCTGCAGATAAAGGACTAACTGAAAGGCTTTACTTCAGTGATGCATTAGAAGTTGAAATGGCTATAAATTTTATTGATATTCCTTGCACTATTGTAGCAGTGCACGCACATGCTCTTGCATGCATTTTTTTTTTCGTTACTAATACTGTAACCTCCAAGTTAAAATCTTGCCAACGGTCCCGTAATACAAGGGGATGTCCCCTAAGGAGCACGTCAAGAGAAGACCAAGGACTGTCCTACTCCCCGATTAGCCCTTATCCTTTCATATTCTTCAGAATCTTGTGTACTTCGGCTCACTTGGCTAACTGGAGGCTGAGAGATCGAAAGAGCGTCTCCTGAATCGATACAATGATGAACTATCGGTGTGCTCACATCCATCGCTACTCTTTCCTATAATTAAAAAACTAACTTCTCGTGTTTTCCTGATTCTCCTGTGTCGTGGTCATGCCTGACATCGTCACCACATTTTGCAGCTGTTCACTAATTACTTCAGTTTCTGAAGTTTGAAATTTACTGAAGCTTTGACAGGCCCTGCCCACGTGACAGATTCACAGGGACTAATGGTGCCTTGCAACATCTGGTCTCTGTCGTTCACATTCATGACGCTGACGGGTACCTCTCATCAAGCTTGAGTCAACGTCCTGGCTATGTGTAGTCCCCATTGGTAAGATTTTTTAAAGCTGGATTCCAGTAGCAAGTTCACCGCCTCCATGGGATCTTTCAGCTGTGTAATCACAACCCTCTCACATCAAGCCAATTTGTTGGCTTCTGGAGGCCATAACGACACATCTTCGCCCAGTCTCAGCACATGCCCCATCAAATTTATCATCCTTTCGTCGTGCGTCACGTTTTTCTGATGTGACCTGTGTCTCCACACTGTCCTTCAGTACTGCGGCGCTTGGTCGCTGGTGACCATGTTCTCGTGGGGCTCTTGCCCTTACACTTTGCCGCTTCATCAGTGGTCCAGGTGCCGCCTTTGTAGCCTCTAGATTCAGAGCCTGGTTAAGGACTTCACTGAGGGACACTTCGATACCCATGAAGGGGGGCTGCTTCACGTCCTGGCCCATTTCTTCATTGACGGATACATAGCCCCCGCCCATCTGGATGAAGTCTTTTCGTAACCCTACAAGGGCCCAAAGGGCCAACTTGTCAACGGCCGCAATAACTTCTTGGAGCGACTCACCACACAACTGTAACCTAGCTTTGAGTTGTGACCGGCACGCCGCCGCCAGCTGATGGTCTCAGTAATGGACCTCTAGCGCACTGTCTGTGTCGGCAGCTTGTCCCTGCAGAATGGCCTCCTTCCTGGCTGTCCGACGGTTCTGATCGCGAAAGACTTCAGGCTGTCTGTGAAACTTTCCAAGAGACTTGGAACCATGAATTTTCTGCTGTCTAACCACGATGTTAAAGGTCCCTCTGTCCACACTGTCCCCGCACCATGTCCAGACTTATACTGCCGTCAGCTGCCTCTCGAAGTTTCGACATGCGGGTTTCAGGTCGCGTCAGTTCGCTTCTCCGTCTCTCCCTGTCGTGTGCAGCTCACTACTGACCTCAAGAAGACTCTGGGCCTGCTGCTGAACCAAGACCATTACTCCATCTATCTGCCAAGCACGTCTGTTATTGTTTCGCAAATTTCACTCTGGGCAGCCACTATGGCCCGTATTTAGCATTTCAGTTTCGTTCTGTGGGCCGCCAGTGTTGGCCGGCCGTAAGCTGGTCTGACCAGCGCATCTCTGTCTTCTTTTTTTCTTGTCACCTTGTCTCGGCCGTCGCGTATTGAATTTTGCTGCTCCAAGACTGCGTGCAATGCTGCATCCATCTTCAGTCCGAGTTCTGACACCAGTTTTAACGTTTATCATGTTTTGGAACAGTTATTTTCAGTTTGTTACATACGCTCTCGGCGTCAGTTTGTTTTAGTTAACTGTTCTTTCCTTCAACATACTGCAGTCTTTACTTACATTCGTCTCGTCGCCACCAACTGGGTACTCGCTACTTTTGCTTTCCATCGCACTAACTTCTCACGCCACATTTTAAGCATAGTCGGATTTAACTCGTTAATTACATTTTATTTCGGTGTAGAAAATGGAGCGTATGATGCAACACAAAGTGAATGTGATTTTGTTTGTTGAACTGCATAAATGGCCAAGTGAAACGTGAGCGGTGTTAAAAACAGTTTATGGTGAATCCCCAGGCTAAAGAAGCCACTGATATTAAAGTCCAAGGTCCAAACAGTGTTGAACTGTTTTTTCGACATCAGCGGTATCATCCACTTTGAATTTGTACCCGAAGGGACCGCTGTAAATTCTACGTGCAGGCGTTGAGAAGGTTTACTGATGCCATGGGGCGCAGGAGAGGAGAGTTGTGGAGAGGTCGCTCATTGATTCTTCACCATAACAACGCGCCGGCATATTCTTCACTTCGGGTATCGCAGTTTTAACAGGAAAAGGCATCTCTGCCATGGATCATCCACCATACTCTCCTGACTTGGCTCCAGCTGACTTCTGGCTGTTTCCAAAACTCAGGAGCGTTTTGAAAGGAAAGCATTTCTCGGACGTTGAGGACATTAAATCATATGTGAAAGAAATTTTGACAGACATGCTTGTTCAGGATTTTAAAGAAAACTGTTTTGAGCAGTGGCCGAAGCGCTGGAAACATTGTAAAAGATTGGAGGGAGATTACACTGAAAAATTGTACGTTTGCTGATATCTGAAGCTCTTAAAATAATATTTTTTAAAATTGTATTGAACTTATTTGCCCGGCCTTGTACGTAAGCATTTCCAGCATCTGGTGTAGTCTGGGTAAGTTGCGCGTGTAGTTTGTCAGGCTGTTGGTTTGTGGAATCCGAAGTGCCACGGACCGCCTGGACGGGAGGCGTGTCAGTTATTTCCGCCTGAACGGCTCAGTGATTCGCGGAAGACTCCACGATGATCGCCTGCGTAGCGAGTGGTGCCGTGTTCCAACAACATATTTCTGAATCAAAGTACACATTCACTCTCGCGTGACAAGACATTGTTCATTTTCATGGGAGTCTGTGCCATTGGGTGGAACAGAAATCTAGTTACGCAACACTGCATTAAAAATGCCGAGAACACTCAAGGTTTTCGTGCATCTTTTGTTACATCGTTACAGTGGAGGTCACCTTCTGAAATAATTTAAGTGCATCTTTTCAACTCGGAAATTGCGCCCATGAAAGGGAATTTGACGGAATGGAGATTTCCGGAAACCTTGAAAACAATTCCTGATATTAGTGGAAAAGTGTAAGGGTTCATTTATTCCTGTTAGTCGTTAGCCTTCTTACATGCAACTTGATTTTTGAAACGTTTAAAAGTTTTAAACGTTAAAATCTCTTTTGAATTATTGGTGTATGCACATTACATGTTTCGACCAACATCGGTCATCTTGAGGTATCTCTAAAATTGCTGATGAAACTGTTACACTTCCGTCCATAAGTCTCTGCACCCAGGTGTCCTATGGTGATGGGTAGTTCTTCTTATTGTGTCATGTGTAGACATGACCAACTTTAGTCGAAACTTGTAGTGTGCATACATCAATGATGTGGAAGAAAATTTAAACTTTTGAAGGTTTTTTCTTATTGCTAGTGGGGTGGGACTAAGTCCCTTGTACTGCGGCCACTTCTGGTCTATTGTACCAGCCCCAGATGATAGGTGAGGGTGATTGTGGAGCAATTGGTGGAATGAAGATTGGCAGCGGAAACCGAAGTACTCGGAGAAAA